CAACAAGTGGTCTCACAAGTGCGAATGCCCCAAGGGAACTGAGTGGAAGTACGGCAAGTGTATTCCCAAGTGCCCCCACGGTCAGCACTTCGATAAGGACCAGTGGAAGTGTGTCTGCCCCAAGGGAAAGATCCTTGAGTACGGCAAGTGTGTCTGCCCCAAGAACCAGGTTGAGAAGTATGGCAAATGTGTTTGCAAGGATGGCTTCAAGCTTGAATACGGAAAGTGTATCCCTAAGTGCCCCAAGGGTCAGACCTTCAACAAGTGGTCTCATAAGTGCGAATGCCCCAAGGGAACTGAGTGGAAGTACGGCAAGTGTATTCCCAAGTGCCCCCACGGTCAGCACTTCGATAAGGACCAGTGGAAGTGCGTCTGCCCCAAGGGACAGATCGAGCAGTACGGCAAATGCTCGTGCCCCAAGGGCCAGTACTACGACCGCTGGAGCAAGTCGTGCAAGTGCCCCAAGGACCTGAGCTGGGACGGACACAAGTGCGCCTACGACTGCGGCGAGGACGCCGAGTACAAGTATGGCGGCTGCGTCTGCAAGAAGCACGGCCAGGTCTATGACAAGAAGTCCAAGACTTGCAGCTGCAAGCATGGCTGGTACTGGGACCAGCACAAGGGAGCCTGCAAGAAGGGCGGCTACTAAAAGGTGCTGAATCGGGGGAGATGGAGGGGAATAGCTACTTGGTGGAGGACAGCCTGGAAGAGGCTCTGATGATCTTATGAGATTGCCTTTGGCTTTGCCTTTGGCCTGGACATAGCACGCTTACTTCGCTGCACATCGTTACACTCCTTATATACTTTACTTCATAGTGGATAATACTTAAATCAAGGATATTGCGGATCACATCTTTTGACTTTGTCTCTGGTGAATTTGCTTGACATGTTTTACCGTGAAATTGGTTCATCTTCACGACTTCAACGAAAGTAGACGAGCCAATGCAACTGACTCTGACATCGAGCTAACGGCCTAACCGTTCTTGGATTGACAACTGAGCTTCTTGGTCAGTCTCCAACTGTAAGATCTCTCCAACCCATTCGGGAAAATGCCATTATTCGTTGTGATGAAAACTGAAATGGCTATGTGAAGTTCGTGTTGTTTGGTGTAGGCATTGAATCGTGGTACGGTTAGAACTTTTCAAGACAGCAACAATTTAATGATGATGTCTTCTTTCATCCTCAGCCTCACCGTGTACGTGAAAATCTCATCGCCATTCAATAATAGCTGTATGTGAAGTGCATAATTGTCTGGCAGCTGTTTGGCACTGCAGCTGTATTGTTCTGATTCACTGCGATCCCACGTGACGCAGGTAAACAACTTCAAGTCCAACCCAACTCAAAACAAACTTACGACGTCGCCTCAACTTGTTTTTACTTTTGCCCTCAAAGCAAAAGCGACATCGCCTGTTTTGATCGTTACCTGGTCCTTTTTCTTGATTCATCATGCCTCGACTCTTCAAGTTCTTTGGTAAATCCACCATGACGCGCCGTCACTTGGATGACTGTGACTGGAGCATACCTCTCTCTATACCTAAAAGGCGAAGAGCACAAACTCCTGGGTACGTTACTCTATCAATCCATGCCGTTGTTCTGACCTTTGTACAGAAAGCTCTCGCTACTTCTTGCTTGCCCTGTCGAGATCCAACTCAGCGTCTTGGCCTTTCTATTCAAGGAGGACTTGGTGGCCTTGTCGCTTGTCAACAGGCATCTCGCCAATATCGCCCAGCCGATTCTTCACAAGGAAGTGGATGTCAGTTGTCCTACCCGCGGTACTAAAGGCGAACCCAACCCACTGGTCCTCGTGGTCCGAACCCTTCTCGCGCGGCCTGATCTTGCCCAGGCTGTTCAGCATCTGCGCTTCGATGGATATGACTTTCCCGCAAGAAAAGTTGATGTGATCCCGACCACTCGTCTTACCCGCCTCACACGAAACGACAAGAGAAAAGCAGTGGAGCTGATTCGCTCTTCGGGTCTCGAAGACGCAATTGGCTGGGCGAAATGCTTCCTCGGGGGTCAAGTTGATTCTATAGTGGCGCTTCTGGTGGCCCTTACGCCTAGAGTCAGAACGATCTATCTTGGTGAAGACTTCTCTGTCGAGGTTCACTATCTCCGACTGCTGTTCGAGCCTCAGCACCTCACTGCTTCAAATACTAGCAGCTTGCACAAGTTCGAGTATCTCCGCGATATTACTGTGAACAACCACGCCGCAACCTATTACCATAGACGCTTCGACTTCACCAACGTTTTCCAAAGTTTCTTTCATCTTCATATGCTTGATAGGCTCTACATCTCTGGCAGCTTCCCTGAGGCTTCACGGCCCGTCGTGGCTGGCAAGAAGCTGGAACATCTGAGCCGGCTAGACCTGAAAAGGATTGGCGAAGCCGAGCTTGAGCAGATTCTGTCCCTCGCACCCAACCTCACAAACCTGGCATATACTTATGCCTGGCATTCAAAGACAGGGGATAGCTCCACTCAGCCTCTGACACTGGATCTGAGCACACTGCGGAATTCTCTCGAAGGTCACCGGCTCAAACTCAGATGGCTGGAGCTCCTCGCCATCGACAACACTGACGTCGTGAAGCAAAATACGCTTTGTCCTTTGGGTCTTCAAGGTTCCCCTCTGAAGCTACATGACTTTTCTAATCTTCGCATCGTTTTCATTCCGTGGATCTTCATCAATGGCCCGTCGCATGGGACGCAAACCTCACCGCTACAATACGTGATCCCGAAATCAGTCGTGTTTCTGAGCTTGACGGATGACCTGCACAGACAGCCATACTGGTGCTGGAATATCAAGGACATGAAGCAGATGGTGACCGACTATCTGCAGTATGTGAAGGAGGCGAAGACTGCCCTTACTGCGTTATACATGGTAGGACCATTGCTCGGAGAGGCCTGGACAGCTAAAGAGTCCTTTTCGACAAGAACACTTGCTCGTTCTGCCGGTGTCCGCTTTAGGGCAGTAACGATGACTGTGGCCGAGAACAGGGAGTCCGGCGAGGTGAAAGAGCGCTATCGTCGCTATGGAAAAGGCCCGCGAGGGGCATAAAATGAGATGAATTTGATTATGGGGTGAGCTTTGCGATTGAGGATTTCGAAACTTGGTCTCACTTCTCACTTTAAAGACATGATGCTTTGTTTGCTTGTATTTGTCACGGCTGAGATCGAGTTTGGGGCGAAGAAATTTGATCAACCCGCAGGTAGCAGAGTCAAGTTCTCTGTGCTGATATAAGCTCTCGGCCACAAGTCTCAACTGCAAATAACACATCTGGCTCACAAATTAGACATTATACCAAAATGCCTGACTAATTGCTACAGCGTAAAAGCTAATATGAGGAAAACATTGATTATGACTCTTTGACCGGCTTTGAAGGCATATAAGATGCTCCAAACCGAGAAAAGGTTGACCTGATGAAGGTTTCGTAATGACACGTATGTCGGTGCCATTGAGGCAATCAGAAGGTGGTGGTGGTATGAGTTTATGAGTTAGTCATAAGGTTAGCAAATATACTTCTGGTTTAACACAATGGGCAGAGTCAAAGGATGCAGTTATCAAGGCATATGACTGATTTTATAGTGAGAAACTACGCCTTCATGCATCGGCCTCAGAAAACCAGACGAAACATTTGGTTATGGCGGGACTATTTATTGCGAGTGGTTAAAGGCATGGTCCTGTTTATGTTCCTGGCGGAAGCGAGGTTTGTTCAGCGTTTGTGGAGTTTAGTCCCTTCGTGGTTCGTACTAAGATTCAAAGTTTCATTCCCTGTGAAGAGTAGCTGGAGACTTGAAAGTTATTTTTCTTGACGGTACATTAAGTGATAGAAACGCACGGACTATATCTTCGCCATCTGCACTCTTCCTCTTTTTCTTCCTTTTCATCATCGTCAATCCACAGTCACAGGATCAATCACCGCAAATCAACGCCATTATCTCCACCACCACGCGCTTATTCATTTCAGCACTTGAATTTCTGATATCGCGTGATCGTAAGCTATTGTTTCATATTACTTTTCCTATACTTGTTTTCTATTCTTCTTACTTGAACCGATTCGTTTTCGACACGGCGCTGCTATTGTCAGTAACCAACGAGCTCAGAGTATGGCACCACCTAGCCCCTAGGAGACGGCTAGTAGTAAGGTACCTATTGAGAAGCAAGTTGAAGACACCCAGACAGCTCTGCTTCAAGGGGCTCAGTGGGCAGATTTAGATACACCACACCAAGCCTCAGCGTCTCGTCCACGCGCTAACCCATCCCACTGGATAGTGGTCGATCTTGATATCACTCCTCGCCAGACACCTATCCCCCGCGCTACCACCTCTGCCAAGCAGTACATCTCTACCGCTACCATGGACCCAAGCAAGCTTGTCCATGTAGGATGGAAGCGCGTGGCTTGGCCCGAACTACGAATCCAGCGACTTGAATCATCCCGTGAACGACGACTGCCTAGCTCTGTTGAAAAGCTGAGAACCGACATCCGGAACCATGCTTATACTCTCCTTAAAAAGCACAACCTGTTCTACCGAGACGAAAACGGAGATGAGAACGAGGTCCTACTGGAGATGCTCCAGCACCCCCTGGAACCCGACACTGCGCAACCCACCATCATCATGCTCGCTCGCTGGTCACCTGCCAATGCTGTTGCTTTCAGGAATGTGGCACAAGAAATGGTTGACTGGTTGGCCGACTGGGCGACCAACGTTTCTCAACGCATAAATGTAGAGATCACAGCACCGGAAAATGTTCAGACAATCTATTATGGTGCAGTCGGCGACCGAGCCCTATCCAACGCCTGGGACTCTACCAGGGAGGCCGTCGATAACCTTCTTGAGTCCCTTCCGTCCACCAAAGGCTCACTGACGTGCCTGGCGTTGCAAAAATATGGAGTCAATCCAGAAATCAATGCCAATCCCCCAACAGTTTACATGTCAATGGATCATCGCTCAAATGAAGCTACCTGGAACTATGTTGCTACCCGCGTCAAAGAGCTTCTCAACAAGCAAGGATGGAATCATGTTCAAGTTCACATTGAACACAATCTCAACATGTTTTGTACATTCCCACTGCTGCCAATAACCGATGATAAAGCCGCACGAATGGAAAACGGGTACAGAAACAGCAAACGCATTACTGGCGATTACCGCAACACAGTCCAAATTGGCGACGACATTGGGGCCGCTCGCTACACCACACGAGAGGAGGATGAAAGATCTAGAGACCCAGGAGCTGGTACTCTTGGTTGTTTTGTCCAGATTAAAACAACCAATCACCAGGAATGGCGAACCATGATCCTCACCAACTACCATGTTGTCAGGCCTGCTTTCGACGGGTTTAAGTTGAAGACGGTAGGCTCAGAAAGTGTTGCCGCAGCTCCAGACAATGACAGTGATCTCTGGTATGTAGACGTCCATGGATACTCGCCGCACAACAAACATAACCTCAAGGGCCGTGTTTGTAGCATGGAAAGCCCGAGTCGCACCAAGCATAACTTCACTATCACAAGTATTGACGATACTATCGCGACTCTAAAAGAGCAAGCAAAGTTCTGGCAGCAGACTTTCAACTCTACAAAAGACGAGCGACACGAAAGGAATCTACGTGGTCTCAAATCGAGAATTGCAGCTTTGAAGGTTGAGAGGAGAGAAAAGGTCACGTTCTTTGATGGTGATAAACACTTCGCTGGCAGAATCTTTCTCTGTCCTGGCTTCCTACGTAAATCTAAGGGGCGAAGGATGGATTGGGCTTTAATCCACCTTGACAAATCTCGCTCATGGTCAAATCGTCTCCCAGACATGGACGATTGGAAATCTCTCCAAGATGAAGACAAGCCCTATCGCACCTACGACATGCCAATCACAGATCCATTGCACTCACTGGAGGAACGAACAAGCCTAGGCCATGTTTACAAAGTCGGAGCTGTCACTGGAGCGACAACTGGGGACTGCCATGACGAGCAGGAGAACGTCAAACTGGTCGACGATGTACATCTTGGTCAGGATGAACGCAGCAAAACAACAGAGCTCATTATCAAGCCTGGAGGCCCGGGAAAGTTCTGCTCCCATGGCGACTCAGGATCTGTTGTCTTTGACAGCGACGGAGGAATTGTTGGTTTGTTTTTTAGAGGACACAAACACAATGGTTCTTTCGATGACGGGTATGGGTACGCAACGCCTATCGAGTTGGTGTTTCAGGACATCAAGGACTTTTCGGAGCAAGGTGTGACGGACATTCGAATTGCGAAGGCATAAAATAAAGGGGTTTGGTCTTTCGAAGTAGGCTGAGGGTTATAGGATTGCTCTCAAGGGGATTTCTTTTAAGGGGAAATATGCTCCTCGACGGGCATTGAGGCCGAGGGATACTCGAGCTGTATACCGTTTTTCTCAAAACTGCCAAGAGGGCAACCTATTTTAGACAATTATTAATAATGGCAACAAGGATTGTGGTTTTAAGGTTGTATTGCTAGGTGCTTGCACGACAGCTGAAGTTATAGCTTCTTGGCAATGTCTCCGCTCTTTGACACCTGGTTCCGCGTCTCAAACCACGTGGCTTGACGGGCCCGAACCGATGGAGCGGTATGAATACGACCATAGCTCTTGGGAAGGACGGGATGTTGCCTGTTCTCGAACTGACAGCCGCTGAGTTGCTATCAAAGAAGTCGGTCTACCGGGGCATGCCACTGTTATACATTTGCGTTTACTATCTATTGTTCTGGTTTATTATCTTTGGGAACAATATGATGCTGAGGAAACATTGACGAATGAGATTCACGACAGGCCTACCGATTCACCGACCTGAACAAGGAAACGCAATCGCACGAGCTATATCAGCCAGTTTATGCACCAGCATATCTTGAATCACAATTCAATTCCGCACAACCGATACCATCCCCTTATCGCGGAAGATTCTTGCCGGTGGCAACGCAGCAACACCAAATGTGTTCCAAGAGCCGATATCACCAGACCTAAAACCGCGGAATTAACAGACTAAGACGAGTAGTATTCTAGATGCGGATAGTCGACGCAGCTAACTGACAGCTGAACCTTGATAAGCCCAGCTGCCGTTTTCTGTCTCACTAACAAGCGATAGCGTGCACATACCGTTAGCTACCCGGAGGATCACCCCGTTCTGAGCTTTAGACCCGCCTCTCTATTTCGGGGTGGTGCCAAGCCGCGGGACTGTCAAAGCATCTCCATGGGACTGGTAATTTGACGATGGAGGGTTTCAATTGCGACGACAAGAAGGGATAAATATATCCGGATGAATCGGATGCATAAATGTGGTGATAATGGGTCGGTCAAGAGTGAAACGTGAATTTTGCCCAGTCGTTAATTCGTGGCTTGAGGCGTATGACACCACTTCTTCTAGCCTGACACCATCAACGCGCTTAAAAACAATTAGTGAAGAAAAGAACAAAGCCAAAGTCTTCGAGAATGGAGCGGTTCAAGAGTTAATAAAAGATAGTTTCGGTGCAATTGTGGTCTAGGTAATTACCAGCGAAGTGCAGAACCGAATGATCCGAGATAAATGGCCGAGACAGTTTTGAGGGGGGCATCCACAACGCGACTCCACCGTATCTTTCTGCAGGGGGGGGGGGCTAATTTTTCAGCGAAAGGTCAAACTGTTACGTCTCCTTTATGTAACGACAAGACTTTTCTATGGCTGGCCCTACGAACACCACGTTTTCCCCAGACTTTCGTGAACGGTTTATGAGTAAAAGCTTTATTTCCCCAGATTTTCTAAACGAGCAGATTGCCGCGACGTTTAAATGATGTGAATGAAGTGGCTTGTTGATGCCGACGGGACTGGATCTTGAGCTTGTGATTAGGGCGTTCGATTCCCACGTGTCAGCGAGGGAGTCTGAGCCAACAGCACCGAACAATTGGCCCGGAGGAATTCATCGTTATCAGGGGAAATTATAGCGCACTCTGGCTGACTCAGATTGAAGACGCAATCAGTTATTTGCAGCTTATCAGACCATTCTTCCCTCTCCTTTTTGCTGGCTTCAACTGTTGCATCCCTGCCGCCACAATCTTTAGCAATTTCTGCAAGGGGAAAGTCGCCGTGTGCCTGGTCCATAACGCCAAACCGCATTCCAGCACCAGTGCCGACTTCGCAATCGCTGCACGTCGCCAAGAACTGAAAAAAAGCATTGCGCTCGGGCATAATTGACAGTTGAGGCACCGGTGTCGCAAGAGGTGATACGATGTATTTGTCCGAGCTATCGGTAACAGTTTCATATGTGATCCCTTGACGAATTGTCATTGGTTCGAGATCGAGCCAATTATCCTTTTGGTCAACGACTCGCCCATGATGGAGGCTTTTAGTGGCTGCATGCCCCTGGCGTCAAACTCCATTGACGTGCCGCCATCACCTCAACCGTATCGAACTGCAGCCAACTGCGCCGCTTAGTCTGACCTCGAATTGTCTGGGCCCTGATAAAGTTGGCCAGGGGGCATTCTGCACCCCTTGCTGCAGTGTTCAGTCGATCCATTGTTCATTAATGTCCCGCATTCCCCTCGTTTTTGCTTTTGCTTTGCCTTGGTTGTTAAAAACTTTCTATCTGGTTTATTCTACCTTACGTTGCAGGCTCTAAGGGCCATAGCCCTCCAGTATGCCGCTCTACTCGGACGCCCCCGATGCGCGCCAGTTCTACGAGGATAAGCCGACGCTGCTTGTATCATGGTGGATCACGGTCTTTTGTGTGGCCATCATCCTGACGCGAATGTCGGGTCGATACGTACGAGTCGAGAAGTTACTCAAGGAGGATAAGATCGCTGCTGGTGCACTTATACCGCTGGTACTACGAGCTGTCTGTGTTCATTTTGTGCTCAAGAATGGAACGAATAATGTCAACTTGGATGGATTGAAGTTGAGTGCTGAGGATATTGATAAGAGGATCGTTGGGAGTAAGATGGTGCTTGCGAGTCGAGTCTTCTATGCTTCCATGTAAGTTCGCATCACCGGCCGATGTGCATAAAGCTAATAATGTTTTAGTCTTTGGATCCTTAAACTTACGACGCTTGAGTTCTTTGAACGTCTTGCTGGTGCTACTCGACGCAGGTCACATCGCATAATGATCCACGCCATGCGCGCAACACTCGCCGCTACATTCCTCGCTGTTGTTATAAGCGACCTTGCAGAATGTCAACCTTTCCCTCGTTACTGGCAGGTCACACCCGACCCTGGGCCTCAGTGCCGTCAGGGGTTCGTGCAAATGCTCACCATGGGCGCTTGCAACGCCTTTACCGATCTTGTCCTCATCGCCTTTCCCATCCCCATCATCCTCTCCACCCAAATCGCCACCAAGCGCAAGGTCCTTCTCATCATGCTCTTCAGCTTCGGTTTGCTTACTGTCGGTATTACATTATATCGTATACCCCGCATCATCGAAGCAAACGGGAGTCAAGTCGTTCGTACAATGTGGGCATCAATTGAGATCCTCGCCGCCACAGCAGTCGGCAACATCGTCGCGCTAGGCTCATTCCTCCGCGACAGCGGTGTCAAGCGCAAGAAGTTCAAAGAGTCAAACAGCTACTCCGGCTATTCCAACTCGCGCTCTCAGTCGCAACCTACAAAACTTACCCGCACGGCACATAGTCAGTGGGAGGATGAGGATCATGTTCGCACGACAGAGGGGATCTGGGCAAAGTCGCATGACACAAGCGATTCAATTTCTAAAGATGAAGATTTGCGAAAGTCGGGTGAAAGACCTGTTAGTCCGACGCAGAGTCACGATTCGCTTATTACGCGGGATCAATTGACTGGGTCGATGGACCGTGATGAGTTTGCGTATCAGCAACCGCCGACGGCTGTTATCGCGGGAGGATCTAGACAGGTTCAGCGCGCGCAGCCGACGAGGGATAATTGAATGCGATAATTATGTATATTAGGACATGACAATAATCACGATTTACTTTGTTGATACCGTTGGTGGCTTGTCAGTGATTACATGATCCTCTCATGTAAGCGACCGTTTATTGTACGTAATAGCTCACCACGATGGCTTCAGGGACCAGGACCATCCCCGGACCCAGTGTGGATATGGCCAGATTCTCTTCCCCATGGGCAGAACAAGATGGGGGACGACTTGACATGTCCAGTGAATCACCTTCCAGGTACAGAATGGCATGAGAATTGACGAGAGTTACAGAGTGAGGCAATAAACTTGACCCAGTAACAGTGCACGAACCAAGTGGAATCTCGCTGATCCCACGCAAGTGAAACGTTGCGCTCCTTCCACCCCCTCAATTATCTCTCCTCAATCGCATTTATCTTCTTTCAATTACTTTCTCACTGTGCCGCATTAATTCTCCTGATCTTCACAAGCAAGAGTGCATTTTGGCGTTCTGTTAGTCCTCTTTTGGCATACTCGTAGCCCATCATTGGTTCCCCATCCCGACAATCTGCACCCGAAGTAAACCGCGCATATCCCAAAAGTCCTTCTAGAAGCCTTCCAGAACGCCCGTTTGAAGACTTTTCTTCATGGTTACAAATGATCGGCATCCAACCCCCGTTGTAACGTCATTCGCTACCCCAATTCCCTCCGCAACTGTCATCTTTCATCCTTTCATCCCCCGCAACCAACGATGAAAGATCCCCGCGATGCGCAAACAATGCAAACGCTCAATATAGAAATGGGCTCCTCGTGGAGCATACACGCCCATAAACCACGGACTTCATGGCTCCATAGCTTCCGGCGCGCAGATCCTCTCCCAGGCTATCATCCCACTGACGCACCAGAGCGCTACTACGACCTACGCGCCGCAAATGCGAAAACGGCAAATACAGCGCTTGCGCGAGAATTAAAAGGTCGCCATCTGCAAATGATTGCCTTCAGCGGTGCGATTGGTAAGCCTGGCTTTCCATCTCGGCAAATCTCGGCTAACGTGGTGTAGGAACTGGATTGTTCGTCGCGTCGGGTGCATCGCTTTACAGAGGCGGACCAGCCAGTTTGTTGATCTCATATTTACTGCTCGGGGCGATGCAGTATTGTACTATGCAGTGTCTTGGGGAGTTATGTGTCATGTTTCCTATCGCGGGCTCGTTTTCGGCGTTTTCGACGAGGTTTTTGGATCCGTCTTGGGGGTTTGCCATGGGTTGGAAGTAAGCTGACTGAAAATCTCTGATTTGCCTTTACTAACTGTTGCAGTTACTGTTTACAGTGGCTGTTCATTCTACCGCTGGAGATAATCGCTGGGGCGTTCACGATAGGGTACTGGAATCCGGATCTGACAAAGTCCATATTCGTCGCTATTTTTCTCTTCGCTATTGTCGTTATCAACCTTTTTGGCGTCAAGACATATGGCGAGGCTGAGTTTATCTTTTCTCTTATCAAGATCACCGCCATCGTTGGCTTCATGTACGTCAATCTCCTCCCGGCTCTCCCGATACTGACAGTTTAGATTACTCGCCATCGTGATAAATGTCGGTGGGGAGCCCGAGAGTGGTTACATCGGCGGCATGTACTGGCGTAACCCAGGCCCCTTCAACAACGGCTTCAAGGGCTTTTGCAGCGTCCTCGTTACATCTGCATTCTCCTTCACAGGCACAGAGCTCATCGGTCTCGCCGCTGCCGAGACAGCGAATCCGCGCAAATCATTACCGACGGCGATCAAGCAGGTTTTCTGGCGTATCACGATTTTTTACATCGTTGCGCTATTGCTGGTTGGGTTGTTGGTACCTTCTGACGATAAAAGACTTGTCGGCGGTGATAACGTCGCTGATGCGACGGCGAGTCCGTTCGTCATTGCGATTGAGAAGGCTGGGACTTCTCTGCTTCCGAGTATCATGAATGCAATTATCCTTGTTGCAGTGATCAGTGTTGGGAATTCAGCGGTTTTTGGATCGTCGAGAACTTTGGCTGCTTTGGCTGAACAATCGCATGCGCCGCAGATTTTTGCATACGTGGATCGTCAAGGCCGTCCGCTTATGGCAATCCTGTTTGCATCGTGCATCGGTCTACTCGCATTTCTCGCTGATGTCAGTTTTCACGATTCTATCTTCAATTGGCTTCTCTCTATCAGTGCATTGAGCACTTTGTTTACATGGGGAAGCATCTGTTTATGTTATATCCGGTTTCGAAAGGCTTGGTATTACAACGCGCATACGCTGGAACAACTACCGTTCAAGTCTCACGTTGGCGTCGCAGGAGCGTGGTTTGCTTTTGTTGGGTACATCCTTGTGTTAGGCTCTCAGATTTGGATCGCGGTCTCGCCTGTTCATGAGCCCGGTATTGACAGGAGCGCATCTGGACTTACACAGAATTTCTTCTTGAAAGTTTTGACGATACCCATCATCTTGTTGTTTTATGTATCTCATAAGGTTTGGTATCGTACGCAGATTGTGCGTCTACCGGATATGGATGTGGTGACGGGGCGGAGATACTTTCGTGTGCATGTTATGACTGAGCAAGAGCGGGAAGAACGACATGGCTGGCCCAAGTGGAAAAAGGTCTACCGGTTTCTTTGTTGATGTACTTGCATTTGATGGTGTTTGCATAGCGACTGATGGATGGTGTATTTATATATAGAGGCGGAACAATAGCGTTATGCAATGCTTACTGTATACCTAGTCAACTCATGATTCATCAAGATATGAGTGAAGCACATCCAGCAACCCAAAAAGCTACCATTTGTTGTGTTCCACTGTCTCAAGAAGTGAATTCTAATACATTAACTGATTCTACATAGTCCTAGATGTCTTCTCTAATTTATGTCTTTACATGAAACTCACTACACAATGGCCTCGATAAAATCCATCCAACACCATCCTCTATGACTTTATCCCACCTTTCCGATGCCGGTATCTTCTCCTCATGCGATCTAAACCCGTGCGGCAGGCCCAGGAACAAATTAACGTCTGTCGGAACACTATATCTCGTTAATCACCGTCCGCCAGACAACCTATAACATCAGCCACTCACCCGGCTTCTGACAGCATCTTCCCATACAGAAGGGCCTCGTCTCTAAGAGGATCCAGGCCTACGACACCAAGTACAGTAGGAGGCATGCCTTTAACTTGTTCTGGTGATGCATTTCCTGGGTTGATCTTTAAATCATTGACATCCGGGTTCTCAATCTTCAACAGACTCGTGAACCAGCGAAGTTCTTCGACGGATAACATCGGTGCGGATAAATTTGTCTTGTAAGATGAGATAGATTCGTTCTCCATCTTTCTCAGCTGCGGCTCGTAGCAATCAACGTGGGCTAGACAGGGAATCATGAGAACTTGGCCTGCGATAGGAGACCTTCGCTCTGTTGTCCTATTCAGATGCTTTTGCAATGTGAAAGATGCAGCTACCCAAGCACCAGCTGATATCCCACCGATGATGACCTTTGAAGGGTCCCAGAACATCTTGTTCATGTTATCGTGAGCCCACTCGAAGGCATCTTGAGCATCATTCCACTGCGTCGGATACGTAAACTCCGGCGTATGTCTGTAATCCACATTCAAAACCGCCACATTAGACCCAATTGCTATGCGTGCACATATCGCATCTTCAGCGTCTAGTGTACCGAACATGAAACCACCGCCTTGGAAGTGAATATACAGCGGTAGCAAGACATCGTCTGGTGCATTGACTGGTCGGTAACTCCTGGCTGGTATGGTACTTCCATCGCGAGAGGGAATGCTGTGGTCCTGTATCTGCAACCGAAGGGCGAGTTTGATCATTGAGGTTCTTGCGATGGCTTCTCGTTCTCTGTTTGCCAATCTTTTCATCTCCGGGATCGGCAATTCTGGTACTGGTGCCGGCGGCAAGGATACTTCGAGGGCAAGCCACTCGGGGCTTACTCCGTCGTAGCATGAGAAGTCACACATTAGAAAGTCCTTGAGCAATGATGGAGGAAGTCAATGTGTATAAATCTATATACCTAAGACGTTGCTGACCGGTTCTTTAATTTCCATTAACCGAGGCTATCGGTGATCGTTGAGCGCTAGGCCGCGAAGGGAAGAGTTTAGAAGCATAGTAGTGGAACAGTAATTAGGAGATAAAAGATGGGATTTTGAAATTCTTAAATTATATAAATGCCAAACAAAACAATTCAATGAATTGCCCTTGTAGGTAATATAGTACTTTTAGCAGTACCTTAGGATATGTTAACTGAAAATACCTGCCCGCATAGTCAGTCGCAGAGTACAAAGCAACCATCATTATGTAATCCACTCAAACGTGTTATGTGCTATCTTGTTTGTTGGCCCAAATGCTTTATTGTTTGAGACATTTTGGGTAAAATCTTATGTTGAAGAAAAGAAACGTGACCTTGTCACGCGCGTTGGCAGCCTAAATTTCAACCTTTTGGCCAGCAAGCGTCTCCAGAGCTCTCAACACTCTCGACTTACATCTCCGTTTTGTTTTGTTTTCCCATCTCAAGCACGCGCACACACAACAAGAATGGAGACACATTCTGATGATCGCATCATTTCGCGACTCGCCTGTGACATTTAGCTTGATCACTGCAAGGTCATTCATGACATTATCTCCGCAAAACTATCGGCGATTCATCCAGAACGCCGTGTATCGTCCTTGGGCCTGCTGGACACTTTACCAGCAGAGCTACTCGTCATCGCACTTGAACTTTTCGACTTTCAGTCACTCTCACGTCTCTCGCGCGCTTGCTCGAGAGGCAAGAGAGTCGTTGAGAATTACGTACCGTATCAGCATGTGACTCAGCATGCACCGAAAGTTCCAACAGCGTTAACAAAGACGAACCTCGTTGGTTATTACCCTGCTTCAGCGGTATATCGCACCCTCCGGACCCATCGCTGCGTTTCCTGCTCAGAATATGGGGTCTTTTTATACCTACCCACATGCGAGAGGGTCTGCCTTGAGTGTCTTTTTCAAAACAGAGGCCTGTGGATGATGACGCCAAAGATGGCTACATGGTACTTCCGCTTGACACACCGACAAGTTCAGACCCTCCCTATTATGGAACTTATCCCAGGGACGTACAGTCCCAGGGGCCCTGAAACGGTGCACGGCGAAGTTTTCCAGCTGGTTAATGTGAAGATGGCTAAAAGGTTGGCGGTTGAAGTTCACGGCTCCATGAAGAATCTGAACGACGTATTGCCCCGACAGATGATAACATCAAACAATACTTATCTTTTTTTTCGCTATCGCGAAGCACTTCTGGAGGGACCAGGATGCGACCCGTGGAAGCTTCCAGAACAGCGTAATATGGGTGATGATCCTTACGCTGGTGTGTCCAGTCTACGCGTGCCGTACATTACAGACTCGAGAGCGGACTGGGGACAGCTTTGTAAGGGATGTGAGATCGCATACAAGGACTTTAGGAAGGGGTCTCTGCCTTTGGGTGTTCTTGCAGGATTACGTGCCCTTCACAGAAGACCAGGCCGACCTCTTATTGCATGAACAGCGAAATTGCATTCACGCCATGGGCTGTTGGCCCACGCTAAAGACTGTTATGGGGCACAGAAACTACTCAAGAGTTCGGGGGGCCAAGACCAAGTCGAGGCTCCCAACGTTGTTCCCGTTGCTAACGATAGTTGAAAGTAACAGGTGCACCTCGCCCTGAGTCATCTGTCAACTCAGATGCCAGTTTCTGAATTTCAGCCTTCCCCGTCTTCTCATCATATTGCTCAGCATGCTCAAAGCCAATCATCTTGACGTTCCCAGTGGACCGCTCGACAATAAAGTTGTAGCGATTGGCGTCTCCATGGACAAACCCCAACTGGTGCAACTTGCGCAAAGCCGCCTCGCATTTTGGCAGATCCGCCAGTGTCGCATAATCGCCCTCTATCTTTTCTAAAAGAAGCCCAATATTTCTACCTCCCTCGAAGAGGTGTCCCAAAACTTCGGGGGTTATTCGGACCTCGTCAGGACTTTGCAACCTGGTCAAAGCTTCGTACGTCCTAGTCTCGTGCTCGAGTTGCGGAACGAGCCACTGCAGAACGGCAATTTTGGATATGGCAGTCTTGTCCTGATATTCGACCTCTCGAACCCGTTGCTTGTGATATTTGATGCGCTTCAACGAAAGAACGTCGATGTGTCGTGGATGCCAGGTGGATTCGACCTTGTCCAGTGGTTCGAAAGAAATATCCGATTGAACGCTGCCGTCCGGGCCGAGAGAAAGCCTCATCTTCGTCCAGTCTGCGTCCGGGAATGGGGGAAGTTCTGGCACAAGAAGATATGGCCTACAGAGCGTGTCTTCATCGAAAATGCGATTGGGACTCGCATAGCCAGGAATTGTAACATAATGTACACGCTTACCGGCCCGAATGCGGTATAGTCCTTCGTCATCGTCTATTTCTTGGTTGAGGATTTCAATATTCGACTTGGGCACAATGTTTCCCTGCTTTGTAATGGCGTTCGACATAATGGCAGTTATATCGGTGATAGTGCTGAAGGAAGAATCATGGGGTTGTCAAGAAGTTTTATAAGCAACAGGGCGCCGCGGTTCGAAGCATCAAGGCATGTTTCCCCGCCACTCATAACAGTTAGCGGCAAATGATTCAACCCCGAATCTGATCTGGGCGCTTACGCCTCGCTGGGTAGTAGCCGGCGGTGGTTCTTCCTGGCCTGCGCCCATACAGTCATTTCATAGGCCTAACTGCCAACGGTTGGTTATTTGAAGAATCTAAAAACTACAACCAAATCATGATCTCCCTCGACGCGCCACACATCATATTCTTAATCCACCGGAAAATTCAGTGTACTGTCGAAAGTATTACAAATAGCTCAAGTCTTCATCGAAACTACTGCGCCAAACATCTGATCAAGGCAAGAAAGACAAAGGACTAATTCAGGGAACGCTTAGCATGTTAGAGACATGTTGGTGCCCCCCACGTAGCTGGGTTCTCTTCCAGGAACCTTAGCGGCCTAAATTTTAACCTTATTGGCAGCAATCAGCTACATAGTAGCTGTAGAATTCGGATAGATTGAAGTGTTGTGTACGAGCTTGGAAGATGCATCAGTATACCTGTCAATGGAAATTGTTTATGGTCGAAATATGATTTGAATTTACAAGAATACCTTGGTAGGAGGTGGAGTGGCGGGAAATGTCTGCCCGCTTATGTCATCGTCAAAATATCTCACCTCACAATCGCCTCGCTTGCGAGCGGACCATCATCTTCCTTCAAGACCACGGCCCGTCAAGATCCATTCCGCCATTATGAAAGCATCACAACGTCGATCCCAGCGTGCATCTGCGGCCTGTGACTTTTGCCGAAGGCGAAAGGTGCCAATCCATTCACCATACTCCAGCGAATCTGCTGACTTATTTAGTTGGGTTGCAATAGCGCAAAGCCCAGGTGTGAGAATTGCCAGGGTCGGGCTATTGAGTGCACGTATTCTCAGAGAACTGCTCAAGCCAGGTGAGATTGTTCCGCGACCGTTGAGTGCTGGTGGTTAACATGGGTGTCAAGACCGTCTAATGCGCGCATACATAAACTGGAGGAGGAAAATGCCCGTTTGCGCGAACAACTGTGTCCAAGGAGTCCGGAGTTGAGCAGTTTGCCTTCTGATACTCTGCGGGGAGAAGTTCACTTGGCTGAAAGACCGAGTGCTGATGGATCTACACCTACGCTGAACAGCATCAACGATCATGCTCGCCAAGCAAAGGCGCAAGCAGTCTCTCCTTCTTGTCATTTAACGACCGGGCAACCCGAGGGTGCCGCTTTTCATGGCCCTTCTAGCGGAGCTATCAACATAGGAACTGCCAAAGACTCGTCTCGTATGCTCAGCTCCGACGATATTGCGAAGAACCAACTTTTGGCAGAGACAACTAGGCAACGTGAGTACATATCACTCGAGACTCAAGATTCGATGCTCATTCAGACCAGGTCAACTAGAAAAGGTCAACCTCAGAGCAGGAAAGCTTGACTTTGGTGACCTCGACCCAAAGATCGGCATGGATCTTCTTTCCAAGTTTTGGAACCGCCAACATTACATGGGTTCTATCGTCTATCGACCAGCCTTTATGCGCGACATGGCATGCAACGGTCCTTACTACTCTGAGGTCCTTCTTAGGGCTATGCTGTTTTCCGGATCAATGCATACAGTTGATGCAGCCGCTCTCCGAAACACTGGCAAGCTGAATTCCATTGGGCGTCCATATCGTATCAAGTTCGAACAAGCCTTGCACGCTTGCGGCGCTCAGGTGTTGTTCAAGAGTGATATCACTACGATACAGGCGCTACTGGTCGTTGCCGATGCCCTGTTCTCATGGTGTAACGAGAGGAGTCTCTCGTGGCATTACTTAGGTATCGCGATCGGTATGATAATCGACCTTGGTCTACACATCGACGGGCCAGCTCGAAGATCGTTAAAGAAAATAGCCCCAGAAGATATGGAGATCGAGCGTCGCGTGTTCTGGGCAACATTCAGTAAGCCTTCAAACTTCTGCAGAATTATTTATAGCTGATCTTTCTAGTTTCGGACAAGGTCCAGTCTATCTACCAAGGTCGTCCAACTCGATTACGCGAGCATGATAACCGTGTGCCGATCGTGTTCCTCGATGAATATGAAGAACTGGAGGATTTTCATACTCGAACCTATTCTGCTCAGCCGTCTCAGTTGGACTGTCCGACACATAGTGTCTCCACGTTTGAGCAACTTTGTAGACTCAGCATTATCATGGATCGAATTCTATGCGCTCTCTATGCGGAGAAGAGCGACGCGAAGAGTGCTGATGGACTATGGCAGACCGCAATGTCTCTTCACCGCGACCTCCAGTCTTGGAAGGATGGGTTGCCGGTGTATTTGAGAGTTGATCTGAACGACTCCGCATCTTCTACCATCCTTCCTCATAACCTCTCCCTGATGTAAGCTTTCTAATTCGCCATTTCTGTCCACGTACTGATTACAGCAGGGCATTACGCAACTCATTAATCATCTTGATCTACCGCCCTTTTCTCTCAGAAGGCCATCTGACATCTGTCTCCACAACGGTCGCACCTGAAGCCTTCTTTAACTGTGTCACAGCAGCGATAGAGATTCATCAAATTCTACTACTCTACAGACAGAAGTTCTGTTTCAGGACAGCGCCTTACTTTATCTCATACGCCACATACGTTAGTGCGACCATTCATGTCCGCATGGCTGCACAGAAAAGCGCGGGCTCGCAAGCCCATTTGTGCCTCAGAAATTGTCTGGAGATTTTATCCGAACAGCAGACGTGGTGTCATGCACCAAAACGAACAATGAAGATTCTTTTAGGTATTATGAACCGCTTGGGAGTCAACGTTGGAGAGTTTGTGGCGATAGAACCGACAAGCTGTCAAGATGGTCACCTGGGAGAGGTTGACATGTCTGAGGTAGCTGAAGTCGGTTCTGACATAGCTTACCAAATCTCTGCCGTGCCGCTGGTGCAGCAGCCTACACCTGATACGACAGTTGACTTTTCTAGCATGGAACTTTCCGACTTTGACATCAATCAGGTTATGCAAAGCTTTGTGTTTGAGGTTCCTGCGATGCCACAGGAAGACTTGGTACTAATGTCTGAACCTGGCTTCAATAATTATGACACGGGCGACGAGGCACTCATTAGCCGGGATATGATGGTGTTTGATGACTTGTTCGGGTTCGACTCTAGTACCTCTTAGGTCATCAGTCTGACTGTCGTAGCCTGGTTAGTCAATACACTCTACCTCAGGATCCAATTCAGTTCATATCGAAGGGAGCAATCGGCTCCCTGAAAGTCGCGATTAGATCTCTCGGGCCAGTCCCCGTATCTGCACCAACTTCTATACGTCATGTCAATCGGACCGTTTACAACGAAACGTTGGACTGAAACCTGGAAACATTCGGCCAAAGTCTCGAAAAATCAATTTCAAACGATTAATCCCATCGAATGAGGCTCAAAAACCTAGCGTCTTAGCGGCTCTTTCACGGATTTTAGCCTCCGTCGAAGTTGACGACCGGCGGAAAGCCGATGCAGCGGACACTTGTCCGGTCCGAGATATCCGATCGAACCGCTTTAATTTACATCATTGCACCTGTAAGGCTGAGCACTAGAATTTTCTGTGACAGTGTTATGGATCTACAGTGATGCAATTGTCACGATTACCGAGGTCAGAAGCATGTCAGAAAATATGTATAATAACAGAGTCACATTTTCTTGGAGAGATGTTTCACTCATCAGCTTATAGACAACACAGACATACTACTGCTCCAAATCATCATGACCTCTCCAAGCGCTGACGTTCTCGGCTACGAGAAATCTATTTTTGACGCCGGTCTTCATTTTGCTCGTCCTGCATTTACCTTTCAGACCTCCCAATGGGAGCCTTTGGCGAAAGAGACTCTATCTGCAACTTCTTGGGGCTACATCCATGGAAATTGTGGCAGCGGCTCGACTTACAGGAACAACCTGACGGCTTTTTCTCGCTGGTCAATAGTTCCGAATCGCCTCGTGCCTAGTCGCAGGGATGAGGATGGCAATGAGCAGTTCGCTGATACTTCTACGACGGTCCTTGGCCAGAAGCTTCCCTTTCCGCTGGCAATTGCACCCATTGGGGTCCAGAAGATATTCAACCCCGAGGGTGAAGCCGCTACTGCTCGGGCTGCTGCATTGCTTGGAGTTCCGTATACTCTTAGCACAGCTTCGAGCACAAGTATCGAAGATGTTGCAGCAGCAAATGGCAAAGACGCACCTCGATGGTTTCAACTCTACTGGCCGAGCCGTGAACACGACGACATAACCATCTCGATGCTCAACCGCGCCAAAGCATCCGGTTATACGGCACTTTTCGTCACTCTCGACACTTACGTCCTCGGCTGGCGTCCGAGCGATCTAGACAATGGCTACAACCCGTTCATCCACCCAGATCACATTGGTGTCGAAATCGGCCTGACAGATCCTGTTTTTCAAAAGAAGTTCAAGGAGAAGCACGACTATAATATCACTGATGCAGCGAGTGGAGTCTATCAAGCAGCTCAGGGCGGATCCGCTGGAGCTAGTCTCGGTGACGCGGCGAGAGAGTGGGCCAAGATCGTATTCCCCGGTCATTCCCATTCCTGGGAAGACGTTGAGTTCTTAAAAAAGCATTGGGACGGTCCCATTGTCCTCAAAGGAATTCAGAGTGTTCATGATGCCAAGAAGTGTGTTGACGTGGGTGTTCAGGGAATCGTAGTGAGCAACCACGGCGGTCGCCAACAAGATGGTGGAGCTAGCAGTCTAGGCATGCTTCCGCGAATTGTCGACACTGTTGGGGATAAGCTTGATATCTTCTTTGATAGTGGTATCAGATGCGGTGCTGATATCATGAAGGCTATTGCCCTGGGAGCGAAGTGTGTTCTTGTTGGACGGCCTTATGCTTATGGTTTGGCGTTGGGTGGTGAGGATGGTGTAAGGCATGTTCTGAGAGCGCTGTGTGGTGATTTGACTATGAACATGCACTTGGCTGGACTGAGGGATGTTGGTGAGGTGAATCGGGATATTTTGGTAAAGGAGAGTGATCTCGTGTAACGAAGGGTTTATTAGTAGTAGACAAGACACGAAATGTTCACGGCGGACCTATATACTCTAGATCTTGCAACGGGACCATATTTTTTCTTTCTTATGTCCTAAATCTTGATCTATCTCCCGTGATCTTGATCCAGCTGCAGGTCTATCAGGGTCGACCGATTTCATTAACCATCTTAGTCTACAGTATGGGCATTGTGGACTAATCTATCAAGCTGAGTAGTTCAATTATTGAGCAAGATTGATATGATATGTGGGAACATAGTCGTTGATGTTGAAGCAAAAAGATCTAAGACTGTTTGTGCACAAAGAACAAAGGCGAGAGATCCTGATCTTGACATTGGCCTGCAAACCCTTGCATTACTACAAATGTTTGCTTTCAGGTCTTGTGTTTCATTGTCGCTCTTTTTTTCTTTTTGAGCCTCTTTGATGCTTCACATTGTCCAAAGACATTACATCCGTCAGTTGAGATTTACGTGCATGTTCCGTGTTTTTTTTGTTTTTGTTTTTTTGTTCCATCTTTGCTTTTGTGAATAAACACTGTTCGCATTGTCAAATAAAACTTGCATCGCCTCTTGTGCATGTTCAGTTGTGCTAGTTATAGATTGTTCGGGTAACTTGACAAAGAACATATCCCCGCGGGTTTCTTGATATAAAAAACGACCCAAACCCGTACAATTGTTACAGGTCAACAAGCCTCTCTGACATTCAGACTTGAATCAACAATTGCAGATATCGTTCGAATTCGCATCCACAACACTCCTAACATCAACCATCATGTCTTATCACAGCCGAAACGCCAGTGGAAGCAGCCACTCTTCTCTGCTCCGTCTCCCTAGCCCCATTGAGCTAGATGAGGATCATACCTTCTCCAAAGCAGCTCTCTATCCCCTCGACCACACAGACTACGAGCCTTGTCGCAAGAGGATCATCAACACCAGCTTCGGCGCCCGCCGGGTCATCCGTTTCATCAACCATCTAGAGACCCATGACCCCGTCCAGCACGATGCCGCGGTGAAGAGGCTTATCGAGATTGGTGTCGATGTGGATGACTTGGTTCGTCTTTCTAAGCGTCGTGCTGAAGTTCCCTGGGAGGAGACTTGGCCGTATAACTGGGAGAAGAAAGAGGGTTTGCTTTTGGGATATATGAAGAGGAACTTGCCTCGTTGGATTGCGATTATGAAAAAGACAGAGGCTCGGGAGGCTGCCGAAGCTATGGGTGAAACTCTTGAAGACGATGATTCAGACGATTATATCACCGCTGATGAGATGGCTGAGACTGAAGCTACCCAGGAGCACGAGGTTCGTCCAAAGGAAGAGGTTGAGGATGGCGTGGATATCGAACAGACGAAAGGTTCCACGGCTAAGGATGAAGATATTCATACCGAGGCTAGTTCTCCTAAGAGTTCGATGACTCTCATGGAGTTAATCGCGTCCTATCGCAAGGCCCATGCGGAACAGAAACGAGCTGGACAGATGCAGAACCAGAAGAAGGAGATCGAAGTCTGATAGGAGAGAGGTGGACAGTTTGTTATTTTTACTTACCTCGTGTCTATAGTTGGTCTTTGGAGTTTGAATATTGGCTTTTCGAGATTTAAATAAATCTTAGAACATTTTCTTATTCAGATTGCAATTAAAAACTCCTCCACGAGGTGTGTATGGGCTTCACCTTAATGTTACGGTCTATGAACTATAAATGTCGACTTACCTCTGTATAAATGCCATGAGATCAAATATGCTCCAGTAATAACAGGTACTCTAGTTATGCAAAGTAACCGAAGAATGATTTGCACTTGGAACTTTTGGAACGATCGGACATTTTGGGTGGCATCAAAGCGTACTATTGTGACCATGGCGTTGTTTTATCGGACTTGATGAATTGATCTGCATGCCGTCTGTTCCGGCGTGAGACTTGTCGAAATCCCTACCCAAAGTGAGAGCGCTGCTATCACATGACAGACCTAATCGCTTCAGTATATAAGCTAAGTGAATAGTGCTTACCTCTCAGATATTTGATGTTTATTCATACTCAAAACCCGGAGTCAGAAATTTCATAGAAACATCTGCATCCTCCCTCACCACTCAAAGTTCCGTTGTAATCATAAGCTCGCAGCCACTACTCTCGACTAGTCTTACTACTGTGCGCCCCATCGACAGAATGACTAGCAACACCTCATCTCAAGTGACACCGCGGCCCAGTGAGCTTCCAGATGCAAAACGGGACGCTATCAGGGCCTTCGAAGTTTTGAAAAACGGCGGCGTCATCATTGCCCCAACCGATGTCGGATACGGCATGATGGCCGCAAGCGTCGATGCGATCGAGCGTATCTTTACCGCTAAGAGGCGTAAAGCAGGACATTCCATGGGCGTCATCGGAACATACGACCTTCTCACGCGACTATATGAGCTTCCAGATGGGAAATACACCATCGTTCAAACATTTACGGAAGAATTAGGTTTGACAGTTGCTTTCGTTGGAAAAATGAAAGAGTCAGCGGCAGAACTTATTCCGAATGTCGAGCGGGTCGTAAAGAATGGTACTTTAGGCTTCGCCATAGGGGAAGGTCCTTTTTCACGTGAACTTGCGCGGCTAAACAATGAGAATGGTTTAGTGATGGTGGGCAGCAGTGCCAACTTGACGGATCAGGGGCAGAAATTTCGAGTTGAAGACATTGAGCCTGAGATTATTAAAGCAGCTGATTTGGTTGTTAACTATGGTCGACAGAAGTGGCACTTGTATGGAAGAGCTGGGACTATTTTGGACCTGGATAATGAACGTGTCTTGCGGATTGGGGCAAACTATGAGAATATAAGGGAGAAGCTGATTGATTTGTTTGGATGGGCTGTTCCAGAAGATCCGGACTATGATATGACTGGGAAGAAGACGGTTGGCTTCTCAATCAAAGCGAGTTCTGATAGCCGAAACTTATAGCACAGAACATTGAAAGAAAATGCGAGATGATTACAAACTCATAAGAGTTCTATAAATAATGGTGAATGGATGGTATATACCCGAACTCCCTACTCCTGTTCCCGTTCATGGTCGATGCTGTACCGTGTTATCGGCTGGCAACTCATGCGTGAAATGCGTAGGCGACCCTCCCATTTCCCATGGTCCATGTCTCGCAGCGTTATTGTTCGGTGCTTCGACCGATGCATATCCATGTTTCGGCCCATCTTCTGCCGCAAGTGCAGGGGGTGCAGCCTTGTTTGCCCGTCTTCGTCTCCAGAGCATGAAACCAGCGCCGGCAATGAGAAATGCTCCAGCAACAGCGCCTACAGCCACTCCGGCAGTTGCTCCCGTGGATAGCCCGGACGACGGCTCGTTTGTCGACGAAGCAGTGGCCGCACCATCGCTAGTCGTTTCACTTGCTTCGCTGGAAGTCTTTGTCTTGGGGTTCGGTTTGTTTGTTCGTGTACCCGTTGGCGCTGAAGTAGTTGCTGACGAGGGATCGGTGATGTTGAATGTATGGCTTGCGAAAAGGGCTCCTGTATCGCCTGTCTTGAAAAGCCAGAGACTAAATGAGTTTCCGTCCGCGGGGTCGATGCCTTGATATGATGCGATCCATATGTACTCCTTCGATTTGCTGTTTGCTGGTACACGGTCAACCAACAGTTCACCACTGACTTCTAATAAACTTACATTGTAGGTTGTATCTCTTCCCAGTGTCGGTTTGCCACATGGTAAGATCAGTAAACTCCGCATCTGTCTCCCAGGTGATCTTGATCTCCTCTCCCAGCTTATAGTGAGGATTATTTATACTCGAGTCGCTCGGTGGCGGGTTCGTGAATGCACCGCTCACTATCTGATGAAAAGCTAGAAATGCCAGTATGGCAAGTAATCGACGAGTCGCCATTTTTCACTTTGTAATGACGAAACGCTATGATGCGGAGGAGAGAAAGGAAGCGAAGGAAAGACGACACGCGACACAAAGGATTATCACATCTTATAGCTTACCTGTTGATCCTTCTCTCATGGGCGCAGTGGTGCATGACAAGGATCGACATCCTGCAAATGTCCTTAATTAAGAAGCGGGAATGAGCCTCGCCATTCATCTAGTATCCGCTAGTGAGTGGCTTGGTGTGTCAGACAGATATCGGCCCCCGTTGTCAACAGGCTGTGTAGATGAGGAGTATTGCTGATTAAATCATCTTCAAAGGAAGTTTGTATAGATTTGCGACATGCGATGATCTTGAAGATATACACCTTTCAGTCGCTATAGCGACAAACTCTCAAGGCATCCTTCACGCAGTCTCCGAAGTCGAGCGTTTCCTCAGTAGAAAATAAGACATCAACATGGACCATCCCTGCTAAGACGGCAGTGAGGTGATCACTAAATGGTCCCGTGCAATCAGAGGCCCGCTTCCTTCGGTGCCTCAGCCCCCCGGTTTCAAGACGCTAGGATCGACAACCCTATCAAAGATGTTTCATCTCACTCAGCTCTCGATATTGCACTCTAGATGAAGATTCCTTAACAGTCGTCCCGCTGGAGCTTCTTGACCTTCGTGGCAGTGGGTACTCAACTACTCAATAGTCATCATAATCTCATGGAAATACCGACTGTCTCTCAACTTTCTCTCTTGTCTCGTATTCGCTCTCACTTGGTATCACTAATGCATGCGATGTTGGGGGAATCTGACTTTGCGCTCGTGTGATTGGTTCTGATCTCCCTGTTGTGATCCTTCTTGGTCCCGAGACTTGGGGAGCTTTACTATTCAACCAAGACGCGGGGAAACTACAGTTAAATCCGACAGATTTTATAACAGCTTGGGTTCTTAGTTATGGACAAATATCTTCATATACCTGAAATCTTCACAAACCAAGTACTTTCATGTGTCTTGGCATCTTAGGATAGAAGTTGCTTGTCTTTGGATGTTCAGAGCCTCCGGCTGATGAAAGGATCGACTTCATCTAGCCATCCTTGGCTAGAGCACTTGCATCGCCTATCTGGGCGTCCATTGCGAGTTATTTCCGGAACAACTCAGCCTCTCTCGGACTCTCATTATTTATCGCTGCGGATCTTTGGCTGGTGGCGTCTTTACCTAGCCATTATTATAACTCTGATCTAAATCTTCAATCTGCTATTGTCATAGGCGACAAGCTTTATTCAACTCAGCTAAAGCTTTAATGTTTCCCCCGGTCAAGCCTAGGGCTGGGTTTAGTAGTTGAGTACCCTAAATTCCCGAGGCTTCGTGTATGCTGTCTTGACTCATATTTGTCCGCGGCCTTCTTGGCTATCAACGTCGTTGCAACATTGCTGAGGAATCGAAAAGGAGAATCGAGGCATATTCCCCGACAATGCGGTTCTCTATGATATGCAACGTCAGGTATCAAACTGTATTCTAGCCCACATACCGAGACAGGCCCTTTTTTCATGATCCTCCATACAGTCATGGCAAAAGGCATGCAAGATATAAGAAACAGCGTAGTAAGCAATCAACTCCTTCGACGGAAGGATGACCGAGGAGGCCAATGCTCACAACCTTTAGACATTTCTGTCCGACAGCCCTGTTTCCTTCTGTTTGTGTCTCTGGGAAACTAGCTTAACAGAAGAGATGCAATGTCTAAGGACGTCAACTATCATCCAGAAATTGAAAGCTCGCTTTACCTCTTATACAGAAGTCAAGACCAGATGCAGCAGTATTGATGTCTCTCAAAAGAATATTTGATACAGCCAAATATGAGTACATCATTTTCGCTTTCTACAATATACCGTGGAGGAGGGTTAGCCTGGCACACATGAGGGCAGGCACCGATTACTTTGGTTTCGTTAGCTCTCGAGACCAGGGAACTCAACGAACCGCAAGCTGAATGACGCAACTCGAACACACCGGAGGCGTCGGAGTTCATGCATAGAGTGTTCAATCTACCGAGCCTTTAAACACCATTGGCAATTACTTCGGTAATCTATAAAATAAGCACGGGAGAGTCGTCCGTTCCGAGTATCCGAAAAAGCCGGGACGATCAAATTGACGGACCCTCTTGTTCTCCGATATCCGTCAACGAGGTACCTTACGTGGCGATTGACTCTGGACGGAGATAAGATACGAGCTGGTGAACAAAGAACAAAACGTTCACAAGCTTGCCTGTAACAGAACAGAGTCAAAAATAAGAGAATGATGATAGGAAATACAATGCAATTTTTTTTTTTTATCAAGCTGGACAAATGCACAAGATCATTATCCAAAGCTGGAGTTGTATCAACAACTGATGATGTCAGTCTCAAGCTCCGATTGGCCCCGAGCTCATGCGTAAGCCCGCCTAAACTCCGCGGATATGGTGGGGGCAGGGAGCTTAGCAGGCTTAGTTTACCTGCATAAGCAGAAGCTATGATGAGGTGGAACTGAATTTTTGACCTCAACCTTACGAGTGGTTTTTCTCTCACTCACCCTCAAAAACCTCTCACTTCCTATCATTAAGCTTCGTTCTTGCAAAGCATTGCATATCTGCATGTTATTATTCCAGGATCTGAAGCGGATGGTCCCATCTCTTCTGTCAGCATCGGGGTAAACGCCACAAAGAGGGGCCCAAGATCCCTCATTCAGCCTAAGACGTCAGCATTCGAGGCTCAGCATCAATTCGCGCGTATATCACCAGAATACCCTTCCATCACAATCTCACTCAGTCAATTCGACTCTAAAGATTCATCAAAATGAGTCGTTTAGCGGGTTGGTTCCGGTCTGGGACCGCGACGCCTGCCACTGAAGCCAACAGCGATGCTGGTTCAATCACCACCAAGGATAACATGGCCCGAGAGATGGAGGACATTGACGACGCCATGGCATCGTGCGGTCTCATAATGAACGACGATATCGACGGAGCATGGGAGAAGCTGCAGACGGGAGACTCGTCCTTTCACCAGCTAGGATTGGCAGTCACTATCTTCATGCGCTCCGTGCTGGGCTTTGAAAAAGCCGTCATGACCGAGACAACCACCAAGCTCGATGAGTGTGAAGCGAAAGCTTGGGCGGACTACAAGAAGGCTCAGAAGCATGGCAAAGCTCGTGCGGGGAGTAAATTGTATCCTCCCGGTACAGAATTCGAGCTCGTTCGTGCGGAGACGCAGCTCATGGGCGCTGTAGTGGGTGTTTTGCATGAAAGTCTCATCGATGCGATGAAGAGTTTTCTCAAGCTTCGCAAGGCATTCATGACGCTTGATGCCATTATTGAGGCTGAGGCGAAAACACTCAAGGATATGCCTCAATCAACTTCAGAGGCATCGCTGTCTGCTAAGCCAATTACAGAGATGGGCAAGAGCATGGAGAAGCTTGATATTGAGTCGGCTTCTGGTACCGAGACACCTGCGAACGGGGACTCTTCAAGCTCGTCAAGCATGGAGGACGAGAAGATCGATGAAGGTGCACCCCTGCGTGAAGCTCGATCTAAGCCTACCGAGTCCGACTCTGTTCTTCTTGAAAACCCTCTGGACATCTTTGTCCACTCTGGGGCCAATATGTGTTTTGGTATGATCCTTCTCATGTTGACCCTCGTTCCTCCCGCTTTCACTCGTCTTCTTTCCGTCGTTGGCTTCCGTGGTGATCGTGAGCGTGGCGTTCGTATGCTCTGGCGCTCCACTGCTTACGCCAACGTCAATGGCGCCATCGCTGGTCTTGTCCTGTTGTCTTACTACAACGCTCTTCTCGGCGCAGTCGACATCCTCCCCGATGCGAAGGATTTTGACGAGGGTGCTGAGATTGTAGGGCCTCCACGCGAAAAATGTGAGAAGCTTCTTGCATCGATGCGCTCTCGATATCCCGACTCGCGACTCTGGCTCATTGAAGAGGCGCGACTGCACAGCAATGAGCGAGACCTCCCCAAAGCCGTTGATGTTCTCACCACCGGCGGCGAGTCCAAGATGAAGCAGGTCACAGCACTCAATAACTTTGAGCTCTCGCTCAATTCAATGGCAATCCAGGACTGGCCTCTTATGCGCGACTCATTCATGCGATGCCTCGAGCTTAACGACTGGAGTCACGCGCTGTACTACTACATGGCAGGCATCGCCTCCGTCGAACTCTACCGCGACGCCGTAGCCGCCGGGGACAAAGATGAGGCGCGCCGCCAAAAAGCCAAAGCGGAAGAACACCTACGTAAGGCGCCAGGTGTAGCGGGTAAGAAGCGCTTTATGGCGCGCCAGTTGCCGTTCGAAGTATTTGTTCAGCGCAAGATACAGAAGTGGGAGGACCGCGCTAAGAGCTTTGGCGTCGATCTTGCTGATGCGATTGGACCCAGTCCCGCGTTGGAGATGAGTTACATGTGGAACACCATCAAGCGCATGGGACCCGCTGAGCTTGAGAAAGCAGTTGGGGGGATGAGTTGGGACAGATGTACTGCTAAGACGGAGGTGGTGGATAAGATCAAGGCTGAGGTTGATGAGATGGGAGCGTGGGCGCTCGTCAGCGCATCGTTGTTCCGCAACCAGAAGAAGTTTGCCGAGGCGAGGGACTTATTGGAGACGCATGTCTTCAAGTTTGACCGGTAAGTTCAATTGACATTTTATCACGTCGACTAACAAGGACAGGTTCGCATTCAAGGGTCCGACAAAGGACGACTACGTTCTCGCGGCTGCAGTGTACGAAAAGGGCGCCATCGCATGGTCAGAGTGCTGCAATCCTCCCGAGGGCACACCAGATGAGATCGCGGCGTACAGACGGGAGAAGTACGACGAATGTGTGAAGCAAATGGATGTCGCCAAGGTATGGGAGACCTTTGTGCTGGATACTAGAATTGGCATGAGAGTACAGAGCGGCATTGAGACGCTCAGCTGGTTTGCGAAGAAGATGGGATACAAATAGATGGATCAAGCAATGGGACGGATGGGAGTTTGTACACTTAGATGGCTGCACGTTATTTGCTGGGAAACGACTTTAATGTCAATTGGAAGAATGGACCTCATTCAATTGCCGGCGCGTTTTGATCGCAATCGCGAGCTCCTCCTCTTACCGCCATCATCTCCATTCGTCAATTTGTCAATTCCTCCCTGAAGAGCACTCACACCGCTATCCAACTTATCCGCCGACCTCTCCTTGACGTTATGCTTCTCCGCCTCAGCCCTCACATCATCAAGTACATCCCTCCCCCTTCCCGTATCATTCGCCCAGTCCAGAACTCCCCAGGCACCGAAATTGCAATCGCCTCCGCTCGCGTAATGAATCGCTCTGCGACGCGTCATTCCACCCATGATTATGCCAGGGACGACACTGTACCCTGACGTGGTGATTGTCTCCTCAACCGTGCAGAGCGCAAGGAAGAGGAAATACGTTACCATGTGAGGGCGCAGGGCGATGGCTGGGAGGTACATTGGGAAGAAATGATGGAGAAGAAAGGGGATTGGGTGATCTGCAAATACGAGAAGACTGTACGGCGCTGCTGATCGTGCGTGACTGAAGCGTTTGTGAAGTCTTCCAATTGCGCCGCTGGAGTGAAGAAGATTGCGATGAATGTAATAAGTCAACACCTCACGCCCCGTCATCATAAGCACCAAATGTTTCGCCAACTGCCACGGCAAAGGCAGTAACGCCGTCGGATTAAAATCATTCTCACCAACGACATATCTAAACGCCAAATGCGACGCGCCCTCCAGCAACGTCACGCACAAAAGGTTCACCAACACGAGACCCAACTGTCGCGTAAGCAAGCGCGCATTCCGCGGGGCAAGCGAAGCACGGCCGCCAAATTTGATCGACTCAGCGATGCTTGGCACACCCGTGTCAAAGAGTAACGATACCAGCGACGGTATGAGAAATAGAATTATGCGCGTTGCGAGGGAGCCGATGAGGCGCACGCGGAAGGGCGTGTGGGTTAGGACGAACGTCGTCCACTGGACGTAGAAGAAGAAGATGTTGAGGGATGTGGACCATGATGCTGAGGCGGGGGAGAGGAGGTAGGATATTATTGGGAGGGACAGAAGGACGTCCATTGTTAGTGACTGGCGATGGGTATTGTGGCGCAGATGTAGAGTTTAGGTTGGAAATGCCACGAGATTTGTTGTTTAATTTTTGGGTTTATTTTAGTGAACGGATGAGGATTGTTTCATTGGCATGACGTCGCGGTAGTTTCTATCCTGGAAACTGGGGAGATTTGGGATGATGATCTGGGGCTGGGGAATGACGTCGATGTGGCTAAGGTTCAGTCAGCCACAAACCTGATTGATGGAGTTTGATGCAGACGACACAGAGAACAGCCTAAAATGCAGTGATCTCGATGTCATCTCCTACTTCCAGCGTCTGGGAATATCGATGGATCTCGTGTTTGGACTGGTTGATTCTGTAAAGTTGGGCCTACGGCAATTGAGAACATCTCTGTTAGCCAAGATGCAGGTACCGTACCAACAGATGCAAGGGAGATGAATAAGCACAAGGGCCAGAAAATAAGGCCATGGTTCCATGCTTGGCAATAAAAACAAACAATATCAGCAATAATCTCTCCATCTCTTTTCCCGGTAATTATACAGTCAACTATACTCCGTGAGATGTCACTCATCGCAGCCTAACAGATTGGATGAAATTGGTCTACTCTAATCCAGACAGCTCCAGTCTAAAACGAACATCCGCTGTGGAGCAGTGGAGTTTCCATTTAATTGACCCCTTCTACCCGTCGCAGATCACAGAATCTCCAACCGACGCCAACACTTCAGTCGAGATCCTGGATGTTCTTGTAGCTAAGTTAGAGTTTAAGATTCTGAAACTGACAGCCTAGACGGATTGATTGGAATGTTGATAAAACGGAATGTAGATTTATTGTTGGATTGGTGCAGGGTCTAGGCTAACGGGAATGGAATAAGCTCCAGGGGAAAACTTACTTTCAGGGGTCCAGAGAGTGGACTCAGGGGTGGACTGTCACTGAAGAGAGTGCGCGAGAGAGGCACAGCGATAAACAAAACAGAATGAGATCTGAAAGTGTTTCTGTCTTGTTTTCTTTTTGTTTAGAGATTTGTCACTCTTGGTCATGCGCACTTCCCGTCGGGACGCACGCTCCCGAGTTGGCGATAGCGTCCGTGGCACCTAAAGCGAGGTAACCTTCAGCCCCTTAAGGCGTGGTATGTTGAAACCATTCCTCCCCCAGAATCTCGACTTGTCTATTCCATTCATTTATTCTCGACTGTAGTAGAGTCTAAACAATTGAACTGCAATATGAGTCTCGGGCTCCAAGGCTGATTGATTGGCCCACTGTCCCTGTCTTAGCTTCTGTATCCCCCCTAGCTTGGCCTTGTCCCCTCTCCCATTTTGTCTTTCGCTTCTCCTCGTCAACCAACTTCCATTTGCGCGACCACCAAATTATTACCCAACCCAACTTACTCTTTATCCTTGACGTGGTTGATCTCTCTCTCTCCCTTTGTTTTTTTTTTCTGGTTGTCTTCTTTTCCTTCTTTCTCCCTTCTCTGTCTTCCACGCGACAACCGGAAGATAAACCCACTTGGCTCAATCTAATATTCCTAGTACAGCCACCGCGATCCACCATCACCACTTCCACCAAACGAGCTAATATCCCCAGAGAGAATCCTCCCTCATCGTGACACTTTTTTACTCATCCCTTATTCCAAGGGTGAGAAGCCGCGCCACCCTTTGTCTGCGCGAGACACTATCGTCGACCCGCGAGACACAGCATCGCGACCGCTGCCTCCCTTGACATCCACTTCTTTTTCTTGACTCGACCTAGAGTCCGTCGCCCTAGCCATGGATTTTGACTCGGCTGATATTCCCCCTATCCCTATGCGCGCCCATAATCACCACGCTCATTCTCGACGACGCTCTCTCCAAGGCCCCTCCTCGTCAAAGCGCAACTCCGGTCTTCCTCCCGCCAGTCCGGAAGTCATCTCCAACCTCATCACCAGCCTCAGCGTCATCTCGAAGCCTGCAACAAACCATTTCGAAGCGTCGCCGACGAGTCTGTCACTGCCCGCGAGTCCCGGGAATGGTAGCTTTGGTGTGGACTACGGAGCGTTTCATCAGCCTAGCCTTGACGACCTGAGACAAGACCCCGTATCACTCGACGAACTCGCCGCTTTACCTCCTGTCATACGCACCTCGAAACCTCCCAGCGGTTATTCACCTTTGACTGCGACAAAGAGCCCGAGAAGTCCAAGAAGTCCAAGCCGCGAGGGTTCCGGGGGACTGCGATCGTTTATTCGAAATAGTACATCCCGACCGTCGTCAAAAGGATCTTCAGCTGCATCGAAGAACGATGATGCCCAGAGTATAGGGAACCTTTCGATCGAACGTCGCGGCGCCTCGACCCCCGAGTTGAACCATAAACAATCGCACGATAGCTGGGGTAGAAAAACATCAAGGAGTCAAAAGGGCTTGATGTACATGAGTTCCAAGGAGCGCCTGCGGGAGAAGGAAGCCGAGAGGAAGAGGGTTTCGGGCGGAGTTTCGGCTTCGTCGTCTGGTGCTCTTCCTGGCGAAAGTGTTCACAGCGGTGGGCGCAGCGATCCATTCTTTGCTGAGACTGCCATCCGTGAAGAGTCACATTACGAGCTGCCAATCGAACGCCCGATGGATGCACCTTGCGCTATTCCCGCGCGAAACTCGAGTCTTGCAAAGACGGGTCCGCAGAAGAGACCAAGCGCGAGGAGATCAAGACGGGAGGATGGTACGACTAATGATGTGATTCCAGAAGGCGAGGAACACAGAACTCGAGATCGGGAGTCAAGTCGAAGGAAGCAGAGTCATTCGGGACATGTCCAGTCGAGGTCATCCACCAGATCACCCGTTTATGGCCTCAAGGATGCTTCTCCGTCAAAGAGTACCAGTGTGGCAGGCAGAAGTTTCCTCGACGTGAATGACGGCTTCAGCGACGAAGAGGATGAGGGCGCACCATTTCCTGCTGTCGCTCAAGGCCGGAAGCGGGATCAGAGCAATGACCGCAATGATCGGAGACGATCCGGACGGCAGAGCCCGGCACCAAATGAGGCTATCAAGGTTAAGCGCAGCAGCTCCCGACTAAAGCGTTTGTCTGCACCACTGAATCACAAAGTCGACGAACGAGCCCGCGATTCACCCAGTCCCCAACCAGTCCAGAACCATGCTCCGGCTGGTTACGAGCGCCCTCAATCCGCCGACTCTGTTGATGATGCTGTCGAGTCTTACTTATGCTCACCACGTTTGTCGCAGAAGATCCGACATCCTCAAACAGGTCGCGTTATATCCTTCTCAGAAGTCGGTGACTCTGAAGGTTCTGCAGTCTTTTGCTGCGTCGGAATGGGATTGACGAGATACATCACCGCCTTTTATGATGAGTTGGCACTGACGTTAAAGCTGCGGCTTATTACCCCGGATAGACCGGGTGTTGGCGATAGCGAGCCTTATTCTGATGGCACTGCTACGCCGCTGAGTTGGCCAGGTAAGTTGATGTTTGTTTAATTGGGAAGTGCGCGCTAACTGTTGCAGATGATGTTTATGCTATTTGCCAGACCCTCAAGATCACAAAGTTCTCTATTCTCGCTCACTCCGCCGGCGCCATTTACGCTCTTGCTACAGCACTTCGAATGCCTCAACATATCCGCGGTCGAATACACCTCCTCGCGCCGTGGATCCCTCCCTCCCAAATGAACGTCTTTGGCACCTCGCAAACTCTCCCTCCAACCAACGCTATCCCTACCTCGCAACGAATTCTCCGAGCACTCCCGACGCCAATCCTCAAGGCTGCAAATAGCAGCTTCATGACCGCGACGAGTAGCTCAATCACCAGTTCATTACCCAAAACACCACGACGAGGAAAGCGAAAGAATAATGGCGGACGAGACAGTACAGCTAGTTCGCGTAATGTTACGCCGAGCTTGGATAAAGAGAACGTGTATAACAAATCACCCGGTCACGGCGACACGGAGTTGGAACCTCCCAATGCCTCCGAGAATATGGACAGAATGAGCATTCCGCAAGGTACAAGAGGTGATTCGGATATTATCGCAGCCGCAGCCGACGCCATGGCAGATAAGGAACGCCAAATGACCTACGACCTCCGATTAACGCACGCTATTTGGGAACTCGCCACAACAGGTGCAAATCCCGCCGTCGATCTGCTCGTCTGCCTCGAGCGTCGTCACACAATCGGTTTCCGCTACGTCGACATCACAAGACCCGTCGTCATCCACCACGGCAGTAGAGACACTCGCGTCCCCGTCGATAACGTAAAATGGCTCGGCAAGACAATGCGACGCTGCGAAGTTCGTGTTCTCGAAGGTGAGGGCCACGGTCTCATGGCTAGCGCGAGTGTGATGGGCTCTGTGCTTATGGAGATGAGTAAAGAGTGGGAGGATTGGATGAAGGTCACGGGCTCAGATGGGAGAAAAGATCGTGAGAGGGGACGAAGAGGGACGCTCGTGCGATAACAGTAATGTTTTTAACATACTTGTCCGATCGGTCGGTCGGTCTTGATACCCCAGAGACGGGCTTCATGCTTGGTTTGGTTGAGGGACCAAGGTTGGAGTATGATATCTCGTTTGTTTCTTATATAACATTAATCTCGGGGACTGCCATGTCCCATGTAATGTCTTTTACATATCAACGCTTAATGATAGCTTCTCTCAATGATACCTTCACGCTTCTACTTTAATTAATTATCCCTCCGCGAGCATTCTCGTCCAATCAAACTTCCGCCATCCCTTCTTGAAGCCATCCACTCTAGGATCGCCCCTCATCCAGCGCCCTTGCTTCTTCATAACATGCGGCTCCGCATCAACAATGCCCCCCAGGACTTCACGCGCGAAAAGATCGCCCTTTGGCCAGCGACCCGCATCTTCAACAACATGGCCCAATCCACCATCTAGCGTAAACCACACGTGAAAATACGGCATCTCCTTCGCGATACAGCGTCTAAACGCGGAGCGGCCCATGCCGTCGCGCGCTTTCGCACCTGTGTCGATGATCTTGCGATGCTGACTCCACTCTTCATCGGATGACAGGAACGCCTCTTTGAAGTACGCGGGAGCCGTGGCGCCTTCTTCGTAGGGTATCGGGACGGCGACCATGGCTGCGTGCATGCGCCGATGGGGCTGCGCCGCGTTTTCGTAGAATACGACCTCGCGACCTTGTTCGTGATACATGCGCGTGAGACTCTTCATGAAGTTTCGTATTTCCTCCCACTCATCGTCATCGCACTCTAAAAGATTCGCGCGGTGTGCGAGAGGGACGATGACGGCGCCGCCGGGGGAGATCTCGGGTTCGGTCGCAAGGGTGAGGAAGGCGCGTGTACCGAGGGCGATGACGGGTGCGAGGGGCGGTTGGTTCTTGTCTTCGTGGTGGCACAGGGGACAATTGTCCAGTGCGCGAGACATCTTCTGGAACTCGGATACGGCCATGTTCTTGAGATTGATGTCGGATTTGTGCAGGCGCTTGGCGAGCTTTTCGGCGTTTTCGTCCATGTAATCCAGATCGTTATCGAACTTACCGTCTTTTGCGATGCGTTCTGCTAGACGGAGACCTTCGCCGCCTGCTTGGTTCTTCGTGCGACGTTCCTCGCGAACCATATCGTCAATTGTCATTTCTGTGTTCTCTTCCACGTTTCCGCGCTCGCGACCGCGTTTGTTGGTGATGGCTTTAGCTTCGTTACGCGTACCGGCGAGCTGGCGATTGTCCATTACGCTAAGAACGACGGCTTCGGGGTTGGATTGGGCTGTGGCGAACATTGCTGCGGCTTTGTTGTATTCTTCTTCGAGCTGGGCGGCATTCGGGGCGCGACGGAGCTTGGCTTTCATCATTTGGGCACGGAGACGGTTGAGGGCGGTTTGATCCATCACGGGAGTTGATTGGGGATGCGTGTCGGGAATTATTGTACCTTGTTCGGGTTCGGGAGGTGGTGAGTCTTTGCGTTGGTTCTTCATTCTCTCACGGTAGAGGTCGCCCGTTGGCTTGTCGTGGCCCTTGTAGTCTTTACCGTAGATCTTGCGTCGTTCCATCTCTTCCTTCTCTTCTCGCGCGTCGTCGAAGTAGCGTAGATCGCCAAAACGTTCCATGGCGACGTCTTCAATTGGACGACCGCTTTCTTCAGCCGCTGTGTAGGCAGCTTTGAGCTTTGTCATTCGCCATGAAGAGCCAGCGTCGCCGAAAGTGTAATTTACAGTTCGTTCGGTTGGAATGTTGAGCTCATCGATGGACTTGCCCTCGTTGATGTCTTGGATATGGGTGTTAATCTCGCGCTTTGATACGACACGCTTTGGCTCGGGTTTTGGAGGCGGCGACTTGTTCTTGTCGGGTCGGTGGATATAGTCGACCTCGATGGAGGAGGGGGCTGTCATCCAAGAGTCTCGCTGGAGGGATCTCGATCGGTCGACTGGGTCTTGGCTGGCTGGCTTCTCCTCGTCGGGGATGGGGAGATCTTCTTTGGGGTCTGTTGTCTTGCGATGGCGGTCGTCGCCGTGTCTTCGCGATCGGTGGTTGTCTTCGTCGTCGCGTGAATGGCGCGAGCGTTTATTTCGGTGACCATCATCTTCTTCATCGTTTCTCCGACGATGGCGATGTCTATGTCCGTCTCTATCTCTGTCTCTGTCTCGATCCCGGTCTCTTTCGCGTTCTGAGTCGTGTCGATGATGATGTCTATGTTTGCGATGTCGCTTTTCGTCGTGGTCGCGTTCTGCTCGCTCCCTCTCGGCCTTCTCAGCGGCCAGCGACTTTTCAAATTCGTCCAGGCCTTCCATCTTGAAGTTGTGAAGCTGTGGTAGGTGCACAATTCAAGTGTTGATGGAAAAGAATTGTTTGGGTGGACTGAGCTGTTACGTCAGGAGCGAAAAGCTGATCCAGCTCAAAGTGGGGCCATCACAGAGCTTATTATTAGGTTATGACGAAAGCTTCAGTGGAAGTAAGGCACCCTAGAGCTGCTTCGACCGAGACATCTTTTGTATAGTCTACACTTGCTGAACATCTTCCGTACGGCCATTTCAACTTACATGGGATCTTTGATCGTTGTATTTCTGTTTCTTCTTGAAAATAAGGATTGGTGCGATTTATAACGTCGTTTCATGAGTTCTCACGGCACAACCTCCAAACAAGCAATTTCTTCATATTTTATGCAGCCAACCGATTTTGTTATTGAGAATCTTCAAAACTCAAAAGGATATCTACATAAAAACAAGCACAAGGGTATTAATTGAATACACTAATTAGGTACGTAGAGAACTGTTGCTAAACAAAACATATATCCTGTCACCTCATTGACGTGCCTTCTGAGCCAGCCATGACTTGTAGTGATCATCCAACGTCTCGCTCAGAGGCCGGTACACTATCCCAAGTTCCTTAATACCACGTTCATTACCAACCTCAAACCGAACTCCTAGATTAGCCCGCATCCACTTCTGCGTCAGCCCGAAAAGGGGTCCGACAACTCGTATCAGTATATTCGGCAGCTTATGGCGCGGAAGAGCCCGGCGGCGCTTAGCTTGAGGACGTATCTGCTTCGAGATATCGACGAATCTCACCATCTCTCTGTCACAGACAATGTATCTCCCCTGCGCAGACTTAGTCTCTGCTGCCCTGATATGTGCCGTGGCGATCTCCCTCACGTCAACAGTGCAGAAACTCAGATCAGGCACGCCGAACCAAAGCTGTCCGCTGAATAGTTCATCAAGCAAGAAAAGACTCCCGGAATCTGATCCCGTTGTGAGCGAAGGGCCAAGAACTAGTCCAGGGCAGATGACAACCATGTCCCAGCGTGACTGAGCCTTTTGAATTTTCCAAGCTTCTTTCTCGGCAACAACTTTGGAATAGTGATATGGATTGTGAGTAACAGAGCTTGATTCGTTGAAGTAGCTCTCACTGAGAATGTTGTCTTTCATGCTTTTCACATCGATGTAGTCTCCGAAGATAGCACCAACTGAAGCATGTTAACAACTGTAACCCTGTAGAGATTGAGTTCTTACTAGTTGATGTCAAAACCACCCGTTTGACACTTTCGGTACTGTTCACGCTGTTCAAGACGTTTCGCGTTCCTTGCAACGCAGGCTCTACCATCTCCTTCTGTCCATCTTTGATCTTCTCGGCCATCAAGAATGGCGAAGCAACATGATGAACTACCGAGCAGTCTTTCATAGCAGGTTCAAATGATCCCGGCTTGAGAAGATCTGCTTCAAAGAGTTCTAGTTTCCCCGGGTATTTCTCTTGTAAACTTCGTAACGGTTGGACTTTTCGTGTGTTGTTCAAGTCGCGTACAGTAGTATGCACGTTATATCCGGCTTGCAGGAGCTGGTTGACGAGATGAATGGCGATAAAGCCACTGCCGCCGGTGACCATGTGGGTATCTGATGCCATGATGTCGAATTATGCGCCAAAGATGCTCAGAGATGTGTATTACTTCTCTTCTCGTTGATGTGGATCAGCGAAGCCTTATAAACAGCTTTGGATCTGGTGTTTCTCGGTGTCCGCGGATGTCGGTGGATACGTCGGCATTCTTATCCTGAATTTAGGGGGTATCGATGAGTTAACCAGCACTATAAAGTATCTACCCCGCAACTTTAAAGCAGATCTGATGGTAACTTGAAAGAAATTAACATCAAGATCGGTGCCCGCGGGCCGAAAGCCAGTCATTCCTTGGGCTCTAGTTATAGAGAATGGTTACTTCCGTCACCCTCATGATTCTTGCTGCAGTTTTAGCATGATGGAAAGCTCTCGGTGATAGGAACTTACCTTGATATCGTATTCATAGTTGCTAAACGCTCATAAAGGAATGCTTGGTAAGATGTATCAGAGGGGCTGTTGCGCAAATCAACTAACCTCCATACAAGAGTTGATCCAGGTCAATTCCAGTGTTTGAACCACACTTTGCCCAATGACAGGCTCGAATCTCTCTGTACCATGACCTCCTATATCCTACAGCCTCACTAAACCATATCAGGCAATCCGACATCTTATCACCCCATACCCAGCTCCCAAGACCGCCAAGCTTTCCCAATCGCATCCTTTACAATTCAATTGCTTGTCCTCTTCACGTGTCTCAGCGACTTAGAATCTAGAACCGACCCGCATCTCCAGTTCGCCCCCGAGCTATCTCTGTTTAAGGGTTGATCCCGCAAGGATAATGCTCCAATCATCCCCGCAGACCTCGGCCTACTCCGTATGGGGTGAAGGCACAAAAAAAAGTTACACAAGGGATGAGGCAGGGAAATAAAAAACCTCGGCTGCGGTATTTTCGTCCTGATTTATTCCCTTTTTTACGAAAAACCTGTCATTTCTCATTTTGGTTGAGCACGCGACATCAGCTTTCCAAGATGGCTGCTATTCCCGATCCCGAAAAGGAGTCTAAATCCGAAACGCCAAACATTGCCAATGAGGATCAGCTTGGAGTTCAGAATGTGTATGGCGATGAAACGCATAGAAGGCTGAAGGGCCGGCATATCCAACTTATTGGAATTGGAGGAACCATCGGCACTGTTCTCTTCGTATGTCTTACAGTTCTCTTCGAAGCTACGACTGAGCCTCCGACCTAACAATTCAACCAATGGCTAACATCATTCCCAGGTCCAAATCGGCAAAGGTCTAATGCAAGGCGGTCCAGGAAGTCTTTTCATCGCCTTCTCCTTCTGGTGTCTAATCGTCCTCACCATCACAATGTGCATCGCCGAAATGGTCTCTTACACGCCAATCTCATCTCCGTTCGTCCGTTTTGCGGGTATCTACGTCGACGAAGCTCTCGGATTCGCCTCAGGCTGGAATTTCTTCATCTTCGAAGCTGCGCTGGTGCCCTTCGAAGTCACGGCTTGTCATTTTATTCTTCAATTCTGGACCGATGCGATTCCCGTTGGCGCGACTATTGCAGTGATTATTGTGCTGTATGCGCTTATCAATCTCATGGCGATTCAGTATTTTGGCGAGACGGAGTTTTGGGCTGCCATCGGAAAAGTCATTTTGATTGTTGGACTGATCTTCTTTACGTTTATCGTCATGGTTGGTGGAAATCCGCAGAAAGACGCGTTCGGGTTTACGTACTGGAAGAGTCCTGGAGCGTTTGCCGAGCTCTACTACGATGGTGCCTTGGGTAAATTCGTGGGCTTTCTGGCTTGTCTCATTCAAGCAGCCTTCTCCATCGCTGGTCCTGATTATGTCGCCATGGCAGCTGGAGAAGCCGAAAACCCTCGCAAGATTCTGCCCCGGGCTTTCAAGACGGTGTTTTACCGGCTGACTTTCTTCTTCGTGCTCGGATCGCTCTGCGTGGGCATTCTAGTGCCTTACGATGACCCAAACATGATTGCTGCTTTCAGGGATGGCAAGTCCGGAGCCGCTGCTTCACCATACGTTATCGCCATGGATCGTCTTGGGATCCGGGTTCTGCCGCATATCGTCAACGCCATGATTCTGGTATCGGCGTTTTCCGCCGGCAACTCCTACGTATTCTGTGCGACGAGATCTTTGTATGGTCTTGCACTTGAAGGGAAAGCACCGAGGTTCTTGAAAATCTGCACAAGAACAGGTGTGCCCATTTACTGCGTCCTTGTTGTTCTGCTCATCGCTCTGCTATCGTTCCTTCAACTATCGAATAGCTCAGCTGTTGTTCTGAGTTGGTTTGTGTCTTTGGTCACAGCCTCTCAGCTGATCAACTTCTCCGTCATCTGTCTCACATACCTTTGCTTTTATCGTGCAACAAAGGTGCAGGGTTTCGACCGCTCGACGTTACCTTATCGCGCGTGGTTTATGCCATATGCTGCTTACGTCGGACTAGTTGCGACTTTTATCATGGTATTTGTTGGAGGATATACTGTGTTCCTGCCAGGAATGTGGGATGTTCCTAGCTTCTTGTTCTCGTAAGTATATCTGTCGAACTGACGAGGACACGACTGACCGCCACAGATACACATCAGTTGGACTGTTCCCAGTGTTTTATGTCGGATGGAAAATTGCTCACAAAACAAAGATTATCAAGCCAAGCGAGATCGATCTACGACATAACTTGGCTCCGATTGAAGAGTACGAGAGAAACTATGTGTCTAAACCGCCAGCGTACGTACCTTGCCTCGACCAAGAACGACGAAATGCTAACAAACTCGCAGAAATTGGTTCGAGAAGGTTTTGCACCTTTTATTCGGTTGAGAGCATGATGCAGCATGAGAATTTGCAAGTCTCAAGAGCAGGAAGCAGGCAAACTGGAGAGAAAATAACAATATGGTTTGGCGACATGACTGAGCATTTCTGTATATCTACTGGCGAAAATACTAGACGGCATCTGGGGCGGTTAGATAAAAAGGGCAACTAGCATACGACGATACCCAGGTTCAATCGCAAAGCTATCATTTCTTTCAAGCACGCATTTGAAAACAGAATGTCTTTTGTGAATGACTGAGCTCATCCTTCCAGACTCGTCAGAAACTACTTCTCAACATATGGTGCCAGCGTCTCAGCAGACCTCCTCAAAAGCTCCGTATAGTAAGTCTCAGATAGTAATCCCGACCCATGGTCAATGATAAACTGCAGTTGATCAGGCGTAACATCCACCTCTCCCGTCTCCAACTGAGCCTTGCCATAATCCCCAACAGGCGTTCGATCAATAGCTGGCATAAACTCAACAGCCAGACCACCGTCATACCCAGCTTCAGCTAGTGCCTTCATAATTTTAGGCCAGTCGAAAGACCCATCTCCAGGTGCAAGGCGGTTGTTGTCACCCACGTGAAAGTCAACGATTCGCGATTTGCATGCGTGGATAGCTGCAATAAGATCCTTCTCCTCAAGGGCAAGGTGGAATGGATCAAAAGCGATACCAACGCCATATCCAACCTCATCGGCGAGAGCGAGAGCTTGGTTTGATCGGTTGAGAAAGTAAGTCTCAAACCTATTCAAAGGCTCAAGGCCAATGTTGATACCCTTCGCCTGCGCGAAGGCCGCAACTTCACGAAGACCCTCAACAGCCCACTTCCACTCATTCCCCGGTGTAGAAGAAGGAACAATAGTACCAACTGTTCCAGGGACCACGGTGGTGATTTGGCCGCCGAGCTCAGCGGACATGTTCACGACTTGCTTCATATACTCAATGGTATTTCGTCTTTGTTGGGGATCAGAGGCGAGGAGGTTTCGCGTGCCGTGCATGACGGTGACGGTTCCCCAGCATTTGATGTTATATTTTTGAAGAAGCTCGCAGGTTGAGGCGACGGGGAACTGGTCGGGTTCGCCAGCGAGTTCAATGCTGGTGTAACCGAGACGGACGAGCCTTTGGAGGGTATGTTCAAGAGGCTCGGGACGCATCCAGGTATGAGAGGAGAGATGCATCTTGAAATGAAGATTGTGGGAAGTCTTCGAAGATTGATGGTGTATGAGGATCGATTGTTACTTCATGAAGATGATGTTATTTCTTTTTATCTTTACTTGATGGCAGCTTCACGCTGGGTATTCAATGGATGTTAGTGAGCGGATGGTTGTCTTCCGTTAAAGTGGAGCATGATGACTAGAGACGGAGCATCAGCTTCCGCCTTATCAATTAAATTGGTGAGACGACAGAGCTCGCATTACTAACGAGCCATGCAAGTGGATGACAACGAAAGTCGTCATGTTGAGAAGGGACAAGACATTCCGCTTTGAAATTTTAAACTCAACTTTAAGTCATCGAACTATATATATATGAGAATCATGTCTCGAGCAATAAAAACAAACCAACTCGCAAGCCTTAAACCAGTTCGTTGCTTCAACACTAAACTCAAGCCCTCACTACTACACTATAAAGAATCATGTCTATCCCCTGGAACGATGACTCAGTCTTTGAGTCTTACAACCTTATTGAAGAGACGTGAGTACCATAACATAAACTGATCTGATCAGTAGCTGACATCGACAAGATTCAAGACTGTCTCGTCTCATAATATCAAAACAGCCATTCTAATCCCCAAAAACCTCAAGCCTGGTCACCATCCAATCATCTATCATATCCACGGTGGTTTTCTCGTCATGGGAAGTGGCTTGTTCGGTCCTTTTTTCCCAAAGTGGGTTGACAAACTTGCGCTCCAAAACTCCGCCATCATCGTCTCCCCCGACTACAGATTGTTGCCCTCTGCGAATGGCCTGGATGATGTTCTCGAGGATGTCGAAGATGGCTGGCAGTGGACCAAGAATAATTTGCCTGATATCTTGGAGGAGAAGGCTCCTGGTCACTCTATTGACTTTTCGCATGTCCTTCTTGCTGGCGGATCAGCTGGGTAAGTCATCTCACAAAAACCATCAAGACTTGTTGCTAACGCTCTTACCAGTGGATACTGCTCTACCCAGCTTGCTCTCTCTCATCCAGAGGATTTCCACTCTCTTGCTGTCGTATACCCTCTGCTGGACACAAAAGACAGACTCTATCTTCAAGGTGCACTCCCCAACGAACCAACCGTGTTGCGCATGCCGCTAGAAGAAATTCCATCAATGGAAGACACTCTAGCTTGGATCGAAAAAACGCGTAAGAAACCTGAATCAAGAGCTGGTTTTGAGAGGACTCCCTTCGCAGTTGCAGCTTGTCAGCGGGGTATTTTCTCATCTCACATGCTGGACAACAAGGGTCTTGACAAGGCGGATTTCCATCCTCTTGAGAGAATCGAAGCTGGTGCCAAGTTGCCCAAACATATGTGAGTTATAGTCAATACCGCCAGCACGAGGATAAAACTGACCCAGCATAGGTGGATCATGCATGGAGATGATGACTCGACCGTCCCAATCCGCGGCTCTGAGAAGTTCGTAGATTTAGTGGCTGAGAGGTTACCAGAGACTGTTGTGCGGTATGATCCTGTTGCTGGCGAGGACCACGGATTCGAGTTTGATGAGAAGAGATGGGAATCTTTTGCTGATGAGGCACTTGCCTTTGTGAGAGATTCTTGGCTGGCTTAGTCTGGAACTGGTTCATAGCCAGCCCAAACCCGATGCCACCACTTCTATACTAAGACCTTATATAGAATACTTTAAATATCTTTTAGAGGCTCATTCTTAAATAACTAAGAGCATACTATAACCATTGCGGGTAGAGGCGTACTTTAATCTTGCCTATAGATGGTTTGACTAAGTCAGTGTTTCACAAACCGCAGTGGGAGAGCATGATTGGTGCATACATTGCTCTGTATACAAGGTTCCTAGATGAAGTTAATTGAGGGAGGTCTTTCGGTGATAGACCAGACCAAAAGCTTAATACGGCTTCATTTAATGTGTTTCTTAAGTCAAATATCATACCTGACTCGTCATCAATCTGCGGAATATTCAGTCAAGTCATCAGGAATAATTCTAGAGATGGCAAACATGGGAAAAGAACCTCGTGGAGATATCATACTTCGCCACCTGCTTGATGAAATCGTTATCTCAGCGGATAGGTCCTTTTGCTCCGATAAACTGAAGACATCCATGGTTCGACAGTCTGGGCTTGAGGTACAAGTGTTTTGGACGACGGAACACTGCAGATTCTCCCAACCCCCTCCAAACCGATAGATGTTATCGTATCTGACCCCACGACCACCGTATCAGCCTATCATATTGAGCCTTTTGGGTAGCATTTACCATTGCAACTATTGCGAGGCCCAATGAATTTTGTCGCCTGATGTCTTGTGCCCCATCTCACATATCTGTGATTCCACCTATGCAGTCTCACCTCAAAAAAACAAACCAGCGGCAAAACCGTTATCATTCTAGCCACAATGAAACGTTGTGCTACATCGACACAACAGGTGAGAGGTCCGAGAACCCTCCCCATCTCAAAAAGTTCCTAAAGCCGGAGTATTACTGGATAGACTTATTTTTTGGGTTACAATTAGAGTGGGCAGCCGGCAGATCTGATAAGGCTATTGTACTATAATGGTCACACTCGAGCGGGAGTTGCAGAAGATCATCAGCCCAATGAAAAGCTCTCGTGATGCCACTTGCCGAGTCACGATGTCGGACGATAGGGATCTAGTGACTCTCAGGGACCCCTCGCACAAAAGAGTGGCTCGTCTCCGCAAGTGGGGATCTCCGACGCCAACGCGGACTGCTCACACGTCATTCGACTGCGTGGCTTGAGGGGAACCAAGCATTGGCTCGTTTTGAAACTTGGCATGGTCATCCGCTCTCTTTTCCTACTCCATACATGCATTCTCTCATATCGATATCGATATTCGCCTTTTGCTATTATTGAGAATTTTTTACCATATAAAGCCCTTCGTGAATACCCTGTTTTGAGCTCCTCGTGAGAATAACGCTTTGTCTTCTTATCTACTAGTGCCGTTTTGTCCGTGCCGTGTGCGTAAGCGAACTTCGCATCTTTTCCCGCCATTTCTCACGAGAGAATTTTTCAACGGCGGTCATCGTTTGACCATGAGATTCCAATCCCCTCTCATCGCAGTGGCTTCCGCCCTATGGGTGCTCTGCCCATCAGTCCTAGCCCAAGAACCCGCAGCTCCCGCGGATGCATCAGGTTCTTTATCCCTCAACACCGACAAGCCGTTATGGACATTTGAGTACCAAACTTCAACCCCCAACCTCGCCAACTGGATTGGTCTGTACTACAGCGCCGGCGGCGGGCCCGTGGACCAGAAGAAGGGCTCGTCCAATTCTATCAAGTGGAAGTGGGCGCCTCACGCCGAGGGCGATGTGCAGCTTGACTTTGGAAGCCTTGAGCCTGGAAACTACACTGCTTTCTTCCTGGCGAATGGGGGTTATACGTGGCTCGCTCCGCCTCTTCAGATCATCAAGGGTCGTGAGCTTGATGGTGATGTGAAGTTTATTGTTTCTGACGTTTCTCTGCCTAATGCCCGTGTTGGTGATGGTTACTCGCATAGCATCAGAGGCCTCGTCCGTGGTGGAGGCGGCACGATGAAATTCTCCAGCGAAGGATCTAATGTTGACTGGATCAAGATCAGTGCTGATGGTATCGTCTCTGGAACACCTACCTCAAGCGCCGACAAGGCCGTCTTCACTGTCCGTGCCACTGGAAGGGATTCCGCCGCTTCCGGTGTCTTCACCATCAACGTTGCTGGCTCTGGCAAGGCTCTGCTAAGCCAGCTCAAGGTTCTCACTCTCAACATGTGGAATGGCGGTACTAGAGTTACCAGCTACCACGACAAGCAGGTCAAGTTCCTTGCCTCGTCCGGCGCCGATGTTGTCGGTATCCAGGAAGACCAGCAGGGTCGCCATGTTCCTCGTCTCGCTGATGCTCTGGGCTGGTATCACTGGTCCAGCGGCGGTGATGTCGGTATCCTTAGCAAGTACCCCATCGTAGAGGACTACGGTGTCATCAGCGGTCCTGCTCGTTCCGGTGGTGTCAAGATTGCCCTTGATGGCAAGAACCAGCAGATCAACTTCTTCGTTGCTCATCTGGGCTATACTCCTTACGGACCTTACGACACATGCTATGATCATTTGCCTGTCGACAAGATCATTCAGCGAGAAGCCCAGTCCGGTCGCACTCCTCAAATGAAGGCTACCCTCGAGGGAATGAAGAGCCAGCTCGACAACGCTGACGAGATCCCCGTCTTCTTCGTCGGCGACTTCAACGCCCCCTCCCATCTCGACTATGTCGATGGTTTGAAGGAGAAGAACTGCGGATACACCAATATCCAATGGCCTACCTCCATCCTCCCCAAGGAGAAGGGCCTCATCGACTCATTCCGCGTGGCTCATCCCGACCCCGTCAAGGAGCAGGGTATTACCTGGTCTCCCATCTACATCTGGAACGGCGGCTACCGAAAGCCCGAGCCCCTTGACAGAATTGACTTTATTCTTCACAAGGGTAAGGGCCTCAAGGTCACTGACTCTCACACTGTAGTTGTTGGTGAGCCTAAGCCTGAGCCTAACCATAAGGATAATGAGTGGTTCTCTGATCACGCGGCTGTCTTGACGACTTATGAGCTTTAGGTCTGGAACCAAGCTACAAAATCAACTTTGGTGTTACGGCCTATTTAAATGACTTGATGATAAATAAAAATGAATAAAAATTTCTTCAACAGAATACATTAAACAGAAGTCCTTGCACTGGCAATAAACGTCAAAATCGGATAGTAGATATGTCAGCTTTACCCACCAGCGCGAAGCATGCCGCATCGGCCACCGAGCTTAATGATGTTTCATCTTGAATGCGATAAACAATAACAAACAAGCAAACTAATAGATATCTCCATTCCAGTTGAAAATTTGATTGCGCGCATGCAGTTCCTCTAATAGAGACAACTCCCGTTGTCGCGTGATCAATTTCTATAAATATGCTAGGCTCGGCAATCGATTCACCCATGTGAAATTCCGCATCCAATTCCCATCTACAAACAATTACTTAATTGCCGTCTCAAAATCAGGGTCCCTTTTGTTTTGCCGTTCTGCAACCCCTCGTGTTTCAGAAATCTAGCGAAAGCGGGTGAAACAAACCCCCGAAACCCCTTCTGCAAAACACCATCTCCACAGATCAGGTCATCGAGCAATTTTGTTTCCGCCAAGTAATCACTCCGCAAAAGCCCATCGACTGCCGTACTTGTCATCTACAGGCTTCCAATCCTCGTAGTATTCCTTCTCGGGGCCCTTCGAGAGGTTTTCATAGTCCCAGATCGCGGGGTAGCGATAAAAGTAAACGTGGCGTAAACTGAGGGTAAATGACCTGGAGCCGTAGCTGAGGAACGTCCGCATCATATCACGGATTGCTGTTTCTGTGTAGAGATCTTGGAAGGTAGTATAATCGTCCATTAGTTCATCTTTGACTGTAAGAGAGATGAGATTTGGTGGCAGGAGATCGGCCAATGGTTGCCAGTCCCCTGGGGCTGTATGGCCATGAAGAAAAGTGAGAGGAATCTCAAGATCCGTCAAAGACAGGAACTCTCGAAGATCATCAATGCGGCCGTGAGTCAATGGCCACTCATGATCCGAGAAATCAATAAGCCCTCTCTGCATAATAATCAAGTTCAATGTTAATTTAGACAAGCTATTGCGCACATGCTCCAGTCCGCTTCTAAGCTCATCAACGTCAAAGTCGCATTCAAAAGCAGGAAGATAACATGCGTAAAACAATGTCTTGAGATTGGGCGTCTGCGCAAGCATTGCTGCTATATTATGGGCGTTTGACGAGCAGTGATCGAGATGAAGCGTAGTAAGAAAGGTAGCCTGTGGTGCAGATGAAAGAGGCCAAAAGGGATTTGTGTCTGCCAATGCGCTGTTCTCCCCTTTACGATGACTAGCGAAACTCTCCAGGGGTAAGGTTCTCACTTTTGGGAGGTAAAATGAAAGTGGATGAATTCCCCTAGGAAGTTGCTGGTAACCTAACCAGCCCCGAGGATTGGCAACTTCGAAATGCGTGACGTTCTGGAGACTATGTGATTTTGTTTGAGGTGAAAGTGAGTTCTTGAATAGTTCGAGAAGCCATTTGTGGCTGTATAGAAAGTATCCAAGGTCGATGGTAAGACTCTGGATCTCGGTGCATGCCGCGATGGTGAGCGATAAGATAAGATCAAAGTCGCGATCCGTGAACGCCGCACTCAGCTTTTCCGTTTCAGAAAAGCTCAAATCGTCAATTCCATCAAGAATCATTTGCCGAGCCTTTTCGTTGTCCAGCGGGTGAAAATTCAATGGCTTCAAAAGCCCAGTACCACGAAAATGTTCATCATGAACATAATTCTCGATTCGAAACCTTAGGCTCTTAACATGACTTCTCAAGGCTGGTCGGCTCAATATCGCAAAAAGAAAGCCAACGCCCCAGGGTAGTCGCTTTCTGCGTGCCGCGCGTAATCTCTCAAGCCTTCTCAACTTTCCGGCTGACAGTGGCGGGTCATTTGGTACTTCGACGTCGTGTGTTATGGTGATGTCGCGGTAGAGAACTGAAACAGTTGCGGTATGGAGATCTTTGCTTGTTTGACAAAGATGGAGTTGATCGCGAATGAATAACCGAGGGATGATCTCGAATCTCAAGATGTTGATTGTTTCAACGAAAGTGGCCATGTTTGCAATCAATTGCAGAACAATGAAAGAATGAAACTAAAGAGAGAAGTTACAGCAAATATCTTCGTATTTGAGATTATATACACTCAGATTCAATGAAGCTATACAGCTTTTGCTCTAGATTCGGTGATTTGCTCCTCTGGCTAGGGCAGCGTTAGGACCCATCGTAGAGAAGAAACTGTGGATCGTGAACGCTGAGACCCGTGCTCCCCGGCGGTACAAGCCGAAACTAGACCGAGTCATTACAGAGTCGCAATCTCTCTCTGTATGCGACTCTGCAAGTCAATTGATACAATGGATCTGCTCAGCAGGCGCTATCTGATACAGTTGCTAAGCGAGTAATCTCCTCTGAACAAAAGGTCTCGAGAAACGAGTCTTTTCCGCTGAGTAATACGCCAAGAATCTGAGCGCTGGCTAGTCAAACTTAAAAGGCTGGAGTATAGAAACTTATCAGATCAATCAGCGCCTCCGCATCCTCGTATGTCAGATAAGACATTAGTAGAAACCAACATGTGCTTTAATTGGAATACCAAGCTTTCTCTCCTCCATTTCTAGATAGCCAAGAGAGCTTCAGTCTGCGGGGGGCGCGTTGGCAGTGACACACTGCCAAGCTGTTTAGGTCACAGCGATGAGCCATTATACCCAGGTCATGATACACTATACCAGTGGGGTTTTTCGTCAGAGAAGAACAACAAGTGCCGATATTTCTGTATAAACGACGCGTTCCCCAGATGATCATCACAGACACTGAGACGGCCAAGAAATAAGGGGACCACCGGAAACTCCATGTTCCGCCCCCTGCGGTGGGTATATTTGCAATACTACGTCGTAGAATTTTGAACCTGCGACACCAGATCTGCCCTGCTCCCGTAACATGCTTAACTGTAGCCGCAGATCTCCGCGACGCGCGCCATACCCAAAGAGTCTCGGCTACATGGTATTCCCGCCCAACATGGGGAAAAGAGAAGAAGTACCGTAGCTGAGTGAAACGGTGACGCTTGAAACTGTGCCGTGACACGAGGCTCGTTTCGCATCACAAGTCGCCTCAATTCTCAACTTAAAATAGTTTATTATAACGTCGCCAAGAAGAGTATAAAGATGAACCGAGATCCCGCCAAGCAGGGGCTTTCTCTCTCTCGTTATCCTGCACTCTCTGTTCTAGGCTGGTACCTGGGCGATATACATTTCCTTTGTACGTTTCCTTATGTTCATTGAGTTTCATTTTCCCTTTCCTTGGAATTTTGTTTCTATTCTTTTTCGGTTTATTTCGATTCGAACGGGAACTGGTTTCTCTTCTTTTTGGTAATACAACTTCATTACTCATCACGATCCTTACGAAAACGGTTCTTTTCTTTTCGATCTCGCTTTCTTCAATATGGATTCTGCAAAGCCTCAATGTGGTGGATCGGGGACGGGTGAGGACTATCCTCTTGGCTTGCATGTCGGAGGTCTCTGTAAGTCTCCACGCGCTGAAAGCTTGTCACGGACTACTCCACCGTGATAAGCGACGTGTTTGCTTGGCAATCTAACAATTCAACAGTCGCTGTATTTGCTGTTTCTGCTTTCGGTAGGTTGAATGCTTCGTGAGATCGCCTCTCAATTGCTAATGATTCTCAGGCGCTGGTTTCCCCGTCGCTGCGAAGAGGATAAAGTGGCTTAAGATGCCTCCCAAGATCTTCTTTGCCTGCAAGCATTTCGGTACTGGAGTTTTGATTGCTACTGCTTTCGTTCATGTAAGTAACGATGAGGTATCGCTTAGAATCCACCTAACAATCATCAATAGTTGCTCCCAACAGCATTCGGCAGTCTCACTAATCCTTGTCTCCCCGACCTCTTCACCGAAATCTACCCCGCCATGCCCGGTGTCATCATGATGGCCGCGATGTTTCTCCTCTTCATGGTCGAGCTCTACCTGAACGCCAAGACAGGCGGCCACTCTCACGGCGGCCCAACCGGCACTACAGTCACCGTTGTCCAGCCCCCGCCTCCTCGGCCTCAGCGCCCTTTCCCTGAGACCGCCAACTTCAACCATACTCACACTCGCAACGACTCCAACGTTTCTGACGACTACGACGATGTTGATTACGAGAAGGCCATGGCACGCGAGCTGTACGAGAAGGAGAACAAGCCCCATGCCTACTCTTACGAGCAGGACAGCAAATCTTCCATGCCTGCTTGGTTCGTTGTTTTCTACGAGCAATACGTTCGACAACGCTCTGAGATGATGGATATGATCAAGCAGACTCAGTACTCCTCCCAAGTCGCCATCGACGACAAGCATAGCCCCGAAGTCAGCCAGTCATTCTTTGACGAGGAGGGTCAGACAATTGATCAGGCTACCTACAAGCGAATGTCGATGAACATCACCCTGCTCGAGGGAGGTATCCTGTTCCACTCTGTTTTCGTCGGAATGACAATCGCCATGACGACTGACGGTCTCGTCGTCCTTCTCACTGCCATTATGTTCCATCAGATGTTTGAGGGTCTCGGTCTCGGAGCCCGTATCGCTGCTGTGCCTTATCCTCGCGGAAGCTTCCGACCTTGGCTTCTTGTTCTGGCGTTTGGTTCTACTGCACCCATCGGACAGGCCATTGGAATCGCCAGCCGAAACTCGTACGACCCCGAGAGTGCACTCGGTCTAATTATGGTTGGAGTCTTCAACTCTATGTAAGTTCACCTCAAACCATTTCCTCAATCATCACTAACGCTATCTAGCTCTTCTGGTCTTCTCATCTACGCTGCTCTGGTCAACCTCTTGGTTGAGGACTTCCTTTCCGAGGAAGCCCAGCACCTCATGAAGAAGAAGGACAAGATCGCCGCTCTCTGCTGGATCGGCCTCGGCGGTAAGCCTCTCCCCATCTCGTCGTCCGTGCTCTCGCTAACTCTGCCAAGCCTTTGGAATGTCTGTTGTCGGTGCTTTCGCTTAGACTTCACAAGTGTTTGAAAACAATAGACATGAAACCACGCGACGGAAAAGACGCGACTCAGGATATTTTCTATGTTATCCTCATAACGGCTCTTTTTTACTTGTACTATACTGGCGAGGAGGGGGTGATGGTGTTCGTCGGACTTTCATTCATTACGGAACGAACATTGGGATGGTTTTAAAATTTACGAATATATTGATGTGCATGGATCAACAAATGCGAGCGGTACATAATGACGATGATACAACTGGGAATTTTGACAAAAGTACTGCTGCTACGATAGAAAGAATAGAACATTATCTCACTCCGGATACTGAAGTTCCGCTTGTTGATGTTTTGAGTTACGCATTGATCTTCTGTTGCTGAGTGCATTGACAATAACCTGTTCAGCCAATAGGAAACGTCTTGGCCGGTTTCATCACCAAGTTCCAGGATACGGTCTTGGCTGCTTGTAAATGTTTGATAAGCCCTTGCTATTATAACTCTATTACTAACTCTATTTATTTATAGCTAAATGATACGATTGGCTCATCTACTTGTCAAAAATGTGGTGGTCCTTCATCTCGTTGCGACAGCTCTACGTATTGAACTGCCCTCCATTCCCTTCGACGAGTTCCATGTCAGGCTCATGGGTAATAGGCAAGCCTCGGCAATTCGGAGCTTCCCATAGATCCGCAAGCGTCCTGAAGTCGACATTTACATGAGCTTGTCTTGCTGTTGACATAATGGTTGAGAATCCGATAGAGCATCTTTGCTGATTGATGAACTACACATATCCTGAATGAAGACGCCGGGAATTATGTGTCAGTCCGACTTATAGGCTCTTAGGTTCCAAGGCGCCATGATGGTGGAAGCATTATTTCTGCGCCGGTCTTTGAAGGGCATACATGTCCAAAGGAGCTGTTATACATTATATAGCGACTTGTAAGGCCAAGAAAGTGAAGAAAGAAGACTTGATGAAGAGCAACATGATTCTAAAGTTTATTAGGCGGGGAGAATGATGCTGAAAGGGTTGAGAACAGAAGATTCGGCAAAATTGAGATGTCACCAATGGGCACGTACATTAAGAGCTAAATGCATTGAGACCTGTTTAGGTTGATGAGAGCCTAACATTGCGAGCTGAGCGGGCACTTTACGGTTCATCCAGTCGAGCCGCTTCAAAAAGTCATCAACCCAATATGATCCAATGCGCGAGAATCAGGGCGGAATATTTCCAGCCTCGTTGCCCGACTCTCAAACTCTAATTGGTTCGAGCGTTTCAACGTTTTGAACAAGTTCCGCTTCGCTCCAATCAAACCTCACTGGTTTTCCCGATTCGGCAACGTCCCATTACCTCCAATAAGGGCCTGTTGGTGATTTAACGTATGAAGTATCGTGGTGCTTCCCTGGCTGTTTCTGTTTCTGATTCACGATCGATCTTTCCAGGACCTGTTGTATCTGGAGCCATGTCTTACCATCCCTATCGCATTTCCGCATCTCATCAGGACCAGCATCACTATTCTATGTACGATACTATTCCGGCTAATGCTTTGATACTACAGCATCAGCCACCGTATGGGTCTAACCCTCGTCCTAGGCAACAAACACAGCCTCAGAATCCAATTCAACAAGGGAATACAAGAGTCGAGCTTGTAACCGCAACACGCTGCACGGCCTGTGGAATTGGTCTTGTTCCATCATAGTCGGTCCATCGTTTTTCAAAACGCCTTCTTCTGTACAACCTGCCCGCGCCCACCAACATCAACCCAAGTCACTCTCGTCGCCGGTATAGCACTCCCAAAGTACAAGACCTCGGTATTGAGTGGATGCTCGGCATGCTGGAAGGACTTCAACAAAGGCCAAATGATATTTCGTTGCACGAAATGCTGGGACAAAACACTTTGTGAAAAGTGCTGGAAGAAGACCAAGAGACATTGTAAGCATGTGTCAAGTGGAAAGGTAGTCATGATGAGGGTTGTGGGTGGGGATGAAGACGAGGACGAGGATAATGACAGTGATGGTAATGATAATGAGGACGATGATGATGGATTGGAGGATGTTATTGCTGAGATTGCTAGTATTGTCACTTGACAAAGTGTTGTTACCTCGCGGTATAATCAAAGGATTGAACTCTGTACAACGATGGACGAATTGCCGTCGTGATTATGGAGGCGGTCCGGGATCAGAGTAGAGTCAACATGTATGCTAAGTTGCTAGCAGACATAGTTAGCTGATGTGAAGAGGAAGACAGAAGGAGAAAATGATAAGGGCGATTTTTGAGTACTGGAATTCGAAGTTTCTGAACATACCGTTGATGGGAAGAGCTCAAGGCGGTTGGCGTTAATTAAGTCGACGAATGTCTTAAGGCAGTCCTGTGATACTGCTTTTGAACCTATTCACACATCATCACAGGTTTTATGACTTCAACTTGTATCAAAACAGACCATCACCGCTACATGCTTCGTTAGCCTGTCGACGTCACCTTTCACTTTAGCCACCTTCATACTGCAACGTTTCGGGTACAACACCTGGTTCTGTGATTGCAGCCTCTATAAAGGAGCTTGAGAATCCCGCAATAGTCTGGTTTCGCGTGAAGCTTCAAACGGTACCTACAGAAACGGTCCATGTCGCAAGGGTTATCTGTGTCACGGGCACTGACATTATATCGGGCTTTATGAGGCGAAAGTGCAACAGAAGAGCGACTTTAGAACGTAGTAAGAAGGACGAAATCGTCTACACAGGTTTCCACCGCCGGACTATAGTAGAAAGCTTGCATATCCCCCCTTCTCACAGCGAAAGATATTCATCAACCCCACAGAAAACCGCCATTCTTTCTCCACAGCCCATCCGGGTCATATCGCTTCTGCACCCGCTGCAAGAACTGCTTATTCTCCTTACCATAACTAGACTGGACAGGCTGGTCCAGAAGCGCATAATTCATGTACCGTGGATTAGTCCGGTAGAACTCTGCCTCCTTGGCTGTTACAGCGCTCTGGATTGCGTTTGTGCTGGCTACGCCGGGCGCAAAGGACGTGGCCAGCTTATCCCCGGCCTTGCTTATGCGCTCTGCAAACTCGAACATCTTGCCGTCGTCCTTGGCCTCCAGCCAGGCGAGCGTGTAGTCAATCCAGACCGCATCACCAGCGTCAGGTTCAAGGCCAAGCACGTTCTTTACGCCTGTGACGTTCTCACCAGCTCGCATCGCACGTGCTGGAACTGGTACTAACGCCATGGAAAAGAGAAGAGCTTGATCACCAGTTGCTGTGGCGTTGGCCATGTCTCGAAAGGCCTGCCACTGCTTCAAGTACAAATCAGCGCCGTACGGCGCCACAAGGTTGGGGAATGTATGGCCGCCGATCAGCCAACGTTGCTGAGGTGTGTTCCCATTGTTGTTCGACGCTATGAGGGCCGAATAGTTCTGTGTGGAGGTGGTGTCTGCAATAGGTTTGGCTGCATAGAAGGCGGCAAAAGGATTGGCCTCGCCAGCCGGTGGGGAAGAGGCATCATAAAATACATAGGCGTTGATGAAGGACAGTTGCGGGTTGGAGCCCCCTCCCATGCTAAGATACATGTGCGATAGAGGGTCGTATCTGTCAATGAAGGCCTGCGTGGCGTTGAAAACCTGGCTAGCCTTGTCGATAGAGAAGGTCAAGATGCCGGCCCAAACCTGTGTCGTTTGTTTGTATGTCTTGAGGCTGAAGCGCGTCACGATGCCAAACTGGTTACCGCCGCCCTTTAGTGCACGGAATAGGTCAGGTTTGGAGGTTTGATTGACGTTAGCGATAGTACCGTCGGCAAGAACAACTTCGTAGTTGAGCACGTTATCACATGCCATGCCGTGCAGCCCGGTGAAGTAGCTGATGCCTCCTCCAACAATCAGCCCCCCGACGCCAATTGATGCGAATCGGCCCCCAATGACAGTCACCCCTTGAGGCTCGAGCGACTTGTACACATCAACCCATCGCGCGCCAGAGCCTACGACAGCGTAGCCCTTGTCAGCCACATTCTGAACTCCGTTAATTAAGTCCAAGGAGATGAGAACTCCACCCTCGGTGCTGGACCAGCCCGGCCACGATCCATGGCCCCCGCTTTTGATGGCAAATCGGACGTCACTACCGCAGGTCGAGAGTACCTTTACGATGGAGGCCACCTGCTCGGTGCTTCCGGGCCGTGTGATGCAAGCCGGTCTCAGGTCACCCGCCGTTTCACTCCAGTAGCTGTTCTGAACCTTCTGGTAGCCCGTCGAGTTCGGCGCAACGAACGCTTCAGCTGGCAACGTCGAAGCGAGAATCAAACATGCTTGAGCTGCTGTTGAGCAGAGGCAACTTGCCACTGCGGGGGTAGCCAATAATGCTAGACATCGTAAGAGCGCTGCACGCAGCCTTTTGATAGAGCTGCTCTGCATAGTTACTAAAGGTAGCTTTTAAGGCGTGCTAAATGTTCCACTTGAACTATGTGATGGAAGAATCAGGCGAGGATTAAACGTGCTCTATAAAACATATCTTATGTCTTTTGAGCAGTCATGTATCGTCCGCTTCTTCGGCCTCCCCAGGCTCAAGTGTGACGTTCCCCGCTTTGGGCCTCCCAAATTGGCCACCACAGATACATTAGGTAGCCCATACATCCAATTGGCGTATGTCTCACTCACCCTCTACATATGCACATATCCAAAGGTACAGGCCTAACCCCGCTCTGGTTATCTCCTACCTCTGCATATATGGGAACTCGCCTGGGCTGGCTATGCAACGCTTGAACGTGCGAGCCAGGTGACGGACGCGACTTGTTGATTGCCATGTCCCTCATTACATTCTGAATACTGTTTTATTGCAGATCCTTTGAGTCCTTTGCTCTAGGTATCCAGACTTATCTGAGACCAGGAGTGATTGCGAATGCTTGATCATTCAAATACTGAAAGTGCATACCTTGAGACCCCTCTCGCAACTCAACTTCTTGTTCAGTGCCAATACGACCGTCATTCTACTCAACCAATACCTTTTACCTTTCCCGCACTTGTCCAATCGCTGGCGAGGGTTCATTGCCTGCTTTATTAATTCGTTCGCCTCTTCTCGTCTTGCTCTCGTTGCTTCCTTTCATTGTCTTCATATGGACTTCCATACACCATGTGCTTCAACCGGAACTCTCCTACTGCTCCGCATCAATCTTCAAACTGCGACTTTGATGTGGAAATGGAAGATACTGATATGCCATTTGTCCTGATGAAGGATATGCAAGATTACGATATCGGGATCTGACAGGAGAATGTTGTGAAAGATTTCTGGCTTTTAGATATTGTAGACGGAGAATCTGTGACTTAATTCGATGATTTATACTGAGCAAAGCTCTACTCTAGCTCCAATGACGGGCCTTTACTCTCAATACTCAAATCTACCCCTCCAGCATTAGCATACTCCTCTTGCGACCGGCAATCATAGAACGATTGTCCATTCTCTAATGCCCAGGGATGATCTTGTCCTCCTTGCAGATACACGTTCCAACACGTAGACAAATTCCTCCGTTTCCTGGTATTCCTCCCAGGGTTTGTTTCAAGTTTCTGGCACCCACCTGTGCATACTTTCTTGTTAGTTAATTTGCTATGAACCCAGGTTTACCTCCCCCAGATACCATCGCTTCCAAAATACAAAGTAAGAAAAGGTACGACCAACTCGGAACTGGCGCTCAGGTATCTAGTATATGGTACTATCTCACAGCCGAGCATACTTGCAAGCACTGGCTCTGGAGCTGTTCAATCACAAGGCGTTTGAGTTCACCTTGATCACACTATTATTGCTCTCTGATCTGATAAACTAACCTGGGACTGAATGGTTTATCTCCAGCGTCAGAAGCGACAGTCGGACAAGTCCTTGCGCTTTCTCAAGTCAGATAACCTGAAGGCCTTCTGAGGTCCCTAATTAACACAATTGAAACGACTGAGGGTGCATTGCCTGTTTGTAAAGGCTAGGTATCAAGAGAGATGACCTGGGCTATCTAAATGTGTTTCGGGAACAGAAGCCGAGCCATCGCCATTCCGACCCGAACCTCGGTTTGCCTAAGCTACCTTACTGTCTACCGTCGAGTCAACAACTTGAACCCGTCAAAAAGTGAAGCCTACCACATGAGCTAATGCCGAACTATGAGTGGATTGGCATTATTTAGATCGAAGCGACCCCTCCTCATCTGCACCTCAAAAGCCCTTGAAGCTGAAACACTGCACCGATCTTCAGAACTCCGAGTTCAACCTTGACAGCAAGTTTTATAGATACGAGGCTACTTCTCACTTACCTTATCTCGCGATGGCAGCAATGGGTTCAGGCAATTTCTTCAAGACGGCGCTTGACAAAGGTGCAGGGCCGAGCCTCGGGTATTGGCAGATGATGCCCAGCACCAACATCTCACGGATGCTCGCGCAGACGCCCGGCTGTGACTGGGTATTGATTGACTGCGAACACGGTGATCTTGACGGTTTGTTGCCATATCCATATTTGCCGGCTGGAGCTGACTGTGATCAGATCGAGACATGCGCCAATGCGTCCCAGCCGTTGCAGCAGCCGGCGCATCGCCGATTGTGCGTATCCCGAGTACAGAACCATGGCTCATTAAGCGTAGGCGCTACTAACCAGCTTTATTTAAGCGTCACTAACGATTGCCTAGGGGCGCTGGATGCTGGTGCGCATGGAGTGAGAGACCGCCAAGTATGTCGAGTCCGACTGGGCAACTTGCTAACACTCACCAGATCCTCGTTCCTCTCCTGCAAACAGCACAAGAAGCTCGCGATATCGTAAAGGCGGCCAAGTTTCCTCCCATGGGAAACCGTGGATTCGGAAGCCCATTCTCCATGGATCGTTTCAAGCCCATTCCTACGTCGGATGAGTATCTACAACAAGCCAATGACAGTCTGCTAACCCTAGTTCAAATCGAGACGAAGTCTGCTTTGGACAATCTCGAAGAAATTGCAGCCGTTGAAGGTATCGACGTTTTATTCATTGGGCCTTTCGATCTTGGTGAGTCACTCAGTAGCAAGACTGAGATTGCATTGGAGCTTACATCGTGTAGGTAATAGCATTGGATACCCTATCCTCAACGGTGTTGTAAAGCCAGAGCTCAAGGCTGCCATTAACCGCATTCTTGAAGTCTCGCGTAAGGCAGGGAAGAAATGTGGTATTTATTCGGGATCTGGGGAGCAGGCGATGGGATATATCGAGGCAGGATTTAATATGGTTCATATTGGGACGGATTACGCCATGCTTCATCAGGCTACGAGAGCTGAGATGGGCACTGCTCGAGGGAGAGATTTAGGAAAGCGCGTGGGTTATTAAAGGTCTCTGGATATGTCAAGATTAAAAATATGTTGTTTACTTCGCAGTCCAGAGATATTTGTAGGCATGCGCCCTCTCCTCAATGAATTGACTTCGACTTCCTATTCAAACACTGACCAAGCTTTTTAGAGTCGTCTTGACAGTCGCGGCCGCATTGTATTGTATGGGACCTCGCTTTATGTTATGTCTGCCTGTATTCTTCGATCCAGCAACCAGCAACCGGCAGCATAGGAGCCCGATGCTAGAAGAGCCAGTCCTCACACCCATCCAATGCATTATACAAGTACGCGGGGGCTTACTATAAGGTTATTCATACGCAAATACTAAACAGATAGGTTACTTCTGGTAATCTCAAGCCATATCTAATAATACAATAGTAAGTCATCAAAGAACAAGACTTAAAAAAATAGCTTGCAACATTATTCTCTTCACGGTATGGCAATAGGCGTTGGCTAAAAGCCTAGGAAGCTTATAAGTATAAAATAAGCGCATTTAATAATTACAATTATTAAAGAGGAAAATAAATACTTTCACCTACTATGAAATTTGCAGATTGCGTTGCCTAAAGCAATTCGCGGGTGAGGTCTTGGAGACGTGGATATAAAAAAGAGAGAAGATAAAAAGTGTTTACAATAAGCAAAATTATAAAGATGGCAGAAGATATATGGTAATATATGATAGTATGTGTCACATGTAATCCAAATATTACATATTACATTACATCTACGCATATCACAGCTACCTACTGCCTATCTAATTCTATGGGTCACGTCTTTTCACGTCGGGATTCGAACCAACAACGCTTGTTGTTGCATGACTTACCTCGTAGAGCTCTGGACACCGGCCATTGCCATTCCGTCATTGCTCTACGACAATGGAATACTGAGTTGAATTAGTATATAACACTACCTTACCCCTGGGTCTAGTGGGGGCTGTGTGACGTGTCTGAAGCTTGTGTGGAAGTCAATATCGGGTTGAATTCATGTGTCACGGGGCTGGGTGGCGAGCCCTGAGTGCAGTGGCGATAACTGGCAGTTCTGAAATCCACAGGTGAGTGACAGCACTCTTCTATTATGAGCTGGCTGTCGTCTAGTGATTTCTTCTGCGTATTGGATCTTGATTTGATATGAAGGTCCTGTCAAAAGGACGGCCCAAGTCATCGTTCATAGGAGTACACGGACCCATACTAACTACTCAGCAGAAACAGATCGAACTTCATTTGCGCCATGATCAAGACTCATCTATGGGCCGTGAAAAACTCTCTGTTAAGTCCCAAGTAGCTTCATCAACATACCGTCCTCTCAGCCATTCCAGCACTCCCTCATCATCGGTACTCTCGCTCCTCGGACTGATCAGCAATATCCATCCACCGGACCTTTTCCAGCATCCTGCGATCCTCACTCGCAATTAGCAAGCTTCCTTGAGCGTAGCAGTGATCATTTGTAGCAGTGAAAAGAGCACGGGTACTCGTTACTTCCAGACTCATCCCACTCTGGGGCGAAGCATGGCCAAACTGGTCGAGTCTGGTAAGACTGGGCATACGCCCTGGTCCAGGAAACCATTGTGAATTACTGATTCGCGGCCTTTCGTATTAACTTCTTTCAAATGATAGTTATCCCATATTCGCTGAAGGTACAGAAGTGAACTATGGCAACCAGTCGTTTGGGTCACGTAGGTCCACGTCCTCGTCGTGCAGTGAGCCTTCCTATCCTTCAGCAAGCACTACACGGCCTCTGGAGCTCGTAGCATTAACTAGCAGGGAGGCATGGTGCTTACAAACTCCGTTTTAAGAGCAATGTCGCGCTGTCATTGACGTATCGAGTCACTGAGTGTTGCCATATCGACACTCAACGGGCTTGGAGCCAGGTTACCGGCAAAGAAAATCTACTTGGGTCTCAGCTTGCGTTACAAAGTGACCTGATCTCTGAATTAGACGACGTATCAACCATGGTGACTTTGTGGCTACCATCAGGGTTTGTCGTCTCAGTTTGTCAAGAAGCTGTTCGTAGAACTGAACTGTTTCGGCCGAGCAACCGTGTAGATACAAGACATAGGTCCATCTTCACAAATCTTTTCTAGGCGCTTTATCTTGTCTCTGACATGGTACCGATGGAGAGATTAAGAGCGCTCTTGAGGAAAGACGAAAGGCGAGTGTTGAACTCCCGCATGGCCTGAATCAGGCCATCATGTAAGAAACCGTGTGAGAATGGACAATGTCTACACTCTTCACTCGCATCACAATTTCGGTAATAATCTCCCAAATTTTTGTATTTCCAGGCCTGCCGGATCATATTCAGCAGCATCAATTGTCCCAACTGTGCAGTTGTTCCTCCATATCGCGGTCAGATTGATAGGCGAACGCAGCAGAGCGGACAATTCACAACTGCCGAATCGTGAGGGCAAGTGATAAAGCCGATCAAGTTGCTGTTTGGCAAAACTTTTCTGTTTTTCATCTAATCTTCCCTGCCGGTTCCGTCCCGTTAAAAGGCAGTTGTTCAAAGCTGCGACAACTGGGTCGATGCCAAAGAGACGTCCGCGACACTTGGACTAGTTGCCAGCGGGTGAACTGGGTTTTTGGCTATGAATGATCCAAAGCTTAAAGCCAATCCCTATATATTATTCTCCCCCTATAAACCCACAGGAATTATAATCGTTATTATATCATTAATTTGCGATGTCTCTTCATGTTCTCACTTGATGTTGTAGCTAGGCATCAAACGTATTGGAGACACGCCCAGCCCAATCCAAACTTCATCTAATAGCACGCGACATTTAGCTTTAATGTTTCGTGATACCTAATGAAATATGGACAATATTCATAATAAGTCTCTTTCAATTTTCCAAAGTTCGTTTCTGCCTTCCGTTGATCAACGGAAGTAGCAGAATTAGCTGTCTTGCCGATGAGTCACGCCTAAAGACAACGCTCAACACCAAACCTACATCATGTAAAAGAGGCATTTTCTCCTACACAACTATATCAATCGCTCTTCATTCCTATGTTTCCTTGTCAAATCGTTATTTTACTTCACAACTTCACAAACAACGTCACAAGATGGCGTCTCCAATTTTCATACTGGAGACAACCTCCCTCAACGCCATCCGATCCCTCCCCTCAGACATCTATCTCGTCCACGCAACAAACTGCATCGCCGAGTGGGGCGCTGGAATCGCTGCTGAACTTGCGACTGTATTTCCAGCTGCTTGCAAAGAATACAAAAGGTTCTGTAACGCAACCATACCTGACGGGTCAAGATGGCCATCACGAAGTCTTGCGGGGAAATGCTACATCATTCCGCCTCAAGCGTCAGACACGGCGAGGGGAGCTCCAAGGATACATATAGTGTGTTTATTCACTAGTTATGGGTATGGGAGAGCGAATCCGAGGACGGGGAAGCCGGGGAAGGATGGTGCCGGAAAGATTTTGGCGCAGACGAGGGCGGCGTTGAAGGAGATGAGGGTGCAGTTGGAGGCGGGACGGGAACAGGAATCTGATGGTAAGCCGGTGATTTACTCCCCCATGTTTAACTCAGGGGCGTTCAAGGTGCCATGGGAGAGTACGTCGCGACTTATCGAGGAGGAGTTCAAGGGTTTTGAGAGCCGATGGTTGATAATGGCGCCTCCATAAGATCATGATGGTGGTTGTGTTTCGGCTCGTTTGGCCAGATATGCGCCTCATTTATATAGAGAATAAATAGTTCCAAGATCAGACTTCATTCAAGCTAAACTCAGCCAAAATTGGTCTCATTTCTAACTCATTGGATCGAGGTCTGGCAATTTCTTTCCGAGGTGAATTTTGATCCATTGTCTCGCAAGATGTTGTGAATATAAGGTTAGACACTAACACGTCCTTCAACAACCAACAAGCGACCGTGGTGTAGTGGTTAGCATTAACGCCTTCCAAGCGTTAGAGAGGGGTTCGATTCCCCTCGGTCGCAAGCATTCAATAACCCGCAAGGGTTTCCTTTTGCAGACATGGGCTTTCAGGTCCTGAGTTTCTTGTTCTATTTCATCTGTTTTTTTATGCAACCCATTTGTTTCTTTTGGCGCTGTCACTGTAGTAATTTCCAGCTGAACTAGGAATCGACTCCCGGTGATCAAACAGCGTCAGAGCTCCATGCAAGCAAATCATTCAGGGAGGCCAGTAGTATTATTTCAAAACAGAGACCTTAATACAGGCTAATACAAAATATCAATTACTCCTCTTACTTCTATGTTTAGATATTTTTCCTGCCTCATATCATGTCTGCCATTGAATGTTCTCGTGGTGAACCTCCGTTGCATATCCAACAGCGGTCGATCATTCTTCCGTTGAGCCCCACCTTCCCGCCTCGTCCACAAGGCTCCAGCTACCGCATCATCATCAAGCTCTCCATAGCCTCTCAACCCAGCTCCAGCTCTCCATCAACAACCACCAATACCGCAATCGCTCTCCCTCCCATCTAATCGAAACACCATATCATATATCCGCCTCGATCCACCATGGCATCCACAGATCCCAAGACCACAGACGACAAGCCCGCTGAGCAGAAGCCAGAGCAGAAGCCCGCCGCTCTCGGCGAGGACGACGAGTTCGAGGACTTCCCCGTCGACGGTACCACCCACCACCGCCGTTATAAGGTTGCTATTGAGTACTAATGCTGTTTAGACTGGCCAGAGGATCAGACCGAGGCTGCAAAGGGTAGCGGCGAGACAAAGCACCTTTGGGAAGAGAGCTGGGACGACGATGACACGAGCGACGACTTCTCGCAACAACTTCGGTGTGTATATGGTCTACGGATACTATTTGAGCGGAGCTAATGTCTGGATAGAGAGGAACTGAAGAAGGTCGAGGCTGCTAAACGCCGATAGAGTTATGTTGTAACGATACCGCGATTCGAAAGGAATTATAGAACGGGAAGGATGAGTCTGTGGAAAAGACAGATCAGATGGAATAATTAAATACCAATAGAGGCGCGCGAAAGCGCCGTGAAGCATTGCTGAACGTTTCGAGCGAGACCCGTTGTGTACATTTGTATTGTTTCAAGGACTGCAACTGTCAATGCCTCCTACGTGACAGAAATACCTGGACAGGTCCATGCTAAAATTAGTAAGCTATTGCTGGTTTGCTTTCGGCCTCATCATTTAGAGTCTTTAGAACCTCAACCTGTAGATCGGAACTTCACACCGACGCTGGTCTTTGTAAGGCCGTAGGGTGTTGGAATGCTTTCCATTCCATAGCAAACATGGTCGGTCTGACTGCAGGGCCTTTTATTGTGTTCTTCACGAAGCATCACTAGCTTGTGCGATCTAGACATTTGCAGCGTTCTCAAACATGTGCATTTGTCAAAGTTCCAGATTCCACCATGAAAAGCCTTCTCACAAGTACACCAATCGGAACTGCTTCAGTCGTAGGTAATGTTTTTATAGCGCTTTCGCGCCTCTATTGGTATTTGGTATTTAATTATTTGATCTGTTCAGTCTTTGCTACAGACTAGCCCTTCCCGCCCGACCTTTTTCCATTTTCATAGCCCGTCATCAACAGGTTCTCATAGACATCGTACTCCAACAGGTGTGGATATTATTTACTTACTCGACAGAGCGGTAACACCGGGCAGCTCCTTGCCCTCGAGGAGCTCCAAGCTGGCACCACCACCGGTGGAGACGTGGCTAAGCTTGTCCTCGACGCCGTACTTCTTGGCGACGGTGGCGGTGTCACCACCTCCGATGATGACGATCTTGCCGTCCTTCTGGACAGCGTCGACGACGGCGTCGAGGGTGGCCTTGGTGCCGCTGGCGAACTTCTCGAACTCGAAGACACCGGCGGGGCCGTTCCAGAGGATGGTCTTGGCCTCGGCGATGGCCTCCTTGTAGAGCTTGACGGACTCCTCGCCGCAGTCAAGACCCTGCCAGCCGTCGGGGATACCGTCCTTGTCAGTGGCGTAGCCAGTGTTGGCGTCCTTGTCGAACTTATCGGCGGTGATGTAGTCAACGGGGAGGACGAGCTTGACGCCCTTGGCCTTGGCCTTCTCAACGAGGTTGCCGACGGTCTTGGAGCCAGCCTCGTCGAAGAGGGAGTTACCGATGGAGACACCCTCGAGAGTCTTCTTGAAGGTGAAAGCCATACCACCGCAGATGATCAGGGTGTTGACCTTGTCAAGGAGGTTGTCGATGAGCTGGATCTTGTCGGAGACCTTGGCACCACCGAGGATGGCGAGGAAGGGGCGCTGAGGCTCCTCGAGAGCCTTGGCGAAGTACTCGAGCTCCTTCTTGACGAGGAAACCAGAGGCCTTCTGGGGTAGGTCGACACCGACCATGGAGGAGTGAGCACGGTGAGCAGTGCCGAAAGCGTCGTCTGTTCTTGTTAGCATCACATAGCGTGGGGTGTTGTAGTGTAATTGGATACTCACTGATGTAGACATCACCAAGGGCGGTCAGACCCTTTCGGAAAGCCTCAACCTGAGCCTTGTCGGCCTTGGTCTTGTTACCCTCCTTATCCTTGGAAGAGCCCTCCTCCTCAATGTGGAATCGGAGGTTCTCGAGGAGGATGACAGCGCCGTCCTCAGCCTTGTTGACGATCTCCTCAACCTCGGGACCGACACAGTCAGGAGCGAAGGTAACCTTCTTGCCGAGAAGCTTCTCAAGCTCGGGAACAACGGGCTTGAGGGAGTACTTCTCGTTGGGGGAGCCGTTGGGGCGGCCGAGATGGGACATCAAGATGACGGACTTGGCGCCATTCTCGAGGGCGTACTTGATGGTGGGGAGGGCACCGACAATTCGCTGGTTGTTGGTGATGTTCTTGTCGGCGTCGAGAGGGACGTTGAAGTCGACCTGAGAGGGGTTTTGTTAGCTAGAGTATGAGGATGGCGGGGTATTGTTGAGGCTTTTTGGCATGAACGTTTGAGCCGTTGAGCTTGATGGCTATAGCTTATTCAAGAGCTAATCGAGGAATTGATTGAGGTACATCTCGTGCAATTGCCTCGACTGATTCTTCGTGACATCTGATGATATGATGCGGGGAGCTCAACCAAGCTCAACAGCTTCATTCCATCGCGGGGCATTTTTTTTCTCGCCAACTTACTCGAATGAGGACCCTCTTGCCCTTGACGTCAACGTCAGTGATGGAGAGCTTGTTAGACAGCGACATGATTTCGATGCGAGGTATGGGTGAATGAGGATGTAGGTCAAAGGGTGATGTCGAGGAGAAGAAGGGAAGAAGAGAGTTTATGGAGGGGAGCGTCAGGTAGTAAATAACACTGCTAAGGTTAAGGTGGGGGTCAATCTCAACGCGATGACGCTGGCGTTGGCGGGGCTTTCGCGGCTGCACTCGCAGATGGTGGGATGATGAGGCCCGTGAATGCCCCTGGAGGAAACACTTTAGCCATGAATCTGGCGTGAGATGCCGACTTGTCAGTGGACTATTGCCTATTCCTCTATTCATGATATGACATGATCGGTCTCGTCTCGGTCGGTCCACTTGTCAAATCACTCACTCACTCACTAACTTCATCGTCAAAGCACGGACAAGCAGCCTACCCTGAACACTCAACCTATGCACTTTACGCAGCCGTCAACATCGCCGGGTTACGGGCATCGTCCTCCGGCTTCTGGCGATGCGGATGCGGCAGACCCGGAGAGACGCGGGCCGTAACTACACCGCCGAGAACCACGCCTTTTATGTACAGTTACCTTGTTGAACAGTTGTATGTAATGAATTGCGACACCAAGATGCATGCATGCATGATATGAGGTCTAAGCTAGCGGGGGTAGAAGCTGAAAGAAGCCCATGTTGAAACAACATCGATTAGCTGATCTGATAGTGAAATTCGATATGACACGTTCTCATTACTGTTTTGTCTATGGATATCAAAGCTTGAAAAGCAATTGCCACAAATTCTCAGACCACTGGATGTTCTCGGTGAATTATATCAAGACAGGCCATATCACGCTTCACACCTTGCTGGGTGCCCTTGTAATCTCCATTTAACCTGCGCGCAGCCACTTTAACGGCCGAGATCAATTCCGACCCGTCAGCCCTACAATACAAAAGAATTACTTGATGTCATATCGTGATTATTATCCGGACACCTCACTTTCATCTACGATCAAACCGTTTTCCGACAGGGAAGTACATCGCATCTAGATTTGCTAAACACAAAGTTGAACATGGTGTAAAAGTGTTTGAGACAAAAAAGATCGCTTCGTCTTGTTATTTTAAAAATCTACCGAAACGCCAAACGAGACTCACGCTATTATTCTAAACATGGTCCGTATCCCATCCCAACCCATAAGAAAAATGCCGTGCGAGGCATTGCCGCAAAAGGGCCAGAGTCTCAAACTCTCAATTGCAGGTCCCGGAGCATGCCAAATCGTGCAGTATATGTAAAAAATCCCAAACGCCATTTCTATGTGACGGCTGAAACAGTAACAGTCGACGCAATTTAATATTCATCATCGATCAACAATTAGCTCGAGGCCGATTGAAACGTTCACCAGACATGATATAATGGGCTTAGTCAGACGCTGAGTTTGTCAAGGACAGGTATGCTGTCCAGGCAATACCAATTGTTGACACGAAAGGCTGCAAACCTGTTAGCGATCTGGGTTTCTGGAGCACAAAAGAATGACGTACCAGTTGGAACTGAACAGGCATCAAGCGGAAGTTGACAATTTGCACAGCAGGCCAAACAACATAGTTAGCCTTGAGAGTTGGAATGTACATGTCCCGAAGCTTGTTCGAAACGGCGCGACGGCGACCACCCTCAGCAATAGTCATGGTCGTGTAAAACACAGCCAAACCGAATGGCGCAAAGATAAGCTGATCGAAAGCAACGCGCTTCATGGCGGGGACGAAAGCGCTGGTCTTGGTGACGGGGAAGACTCGCTCGAGGAAGCGGAACCACTTGAATTGCACAGGAGCCATGCAGAAACCGTATGCCATGAAGCGCGTGAGACGCTCAAAGTCGAAAGGTGGAGGAAGGCCGACCGAGTCGGGGATCAGGTCGCGCTCGTAGAAGGGGTTCTTGCGGTCAAGCTCGTGGATCTCAATAGCGATGCCGTCGTTCTTCTTAAGACCGCCTGGCTGACGGATAGCTCGTTCACGAATCGCGGTGATGGATTGGGCGACTGTGTCGGCGACACCTCCGAGGATGGCGTTAGTGACCATCATGGTCATTACTGCGAGGTGTCAGTTATATCGCATCGAGCAAGAGGGGTTCAAGGTAGCGTACATGGTCGCTCGTCATAGTACGAGTTGAATCGAGCTGTAAGTCTTGCGATGAATGCCATTTCGATTAAGAAAACGATGGTATGCAGAAGAGGCTGGTGATGATGTCGTCAGCGTCGAATCGCACAAAAAAGGCCTAACAGCACAAAGAAGGAAGGACACCGAGATTAAAAAAATGTGATGAAAGAAGAAAAGCAAAAGTAAAGAAGTGCGCAAAGTGATATCATGAACAAGCGAAAAAAAGAGCCTGTAGCGATGACGATAGAGCTGGACAGTAGTTGGGAAAAATACTGGGGAAGCTAAAGTGGCGACGGATCATAGAGTTGGAAAAAACAGGGCGTGGGTGAGTGAGCTTCGACTTACGATGCGACCGTAGATGTACTTGGAATTGATGGAGCGGATGAACCGCCTCTGGTTGAGTTCCCACGTCATATCGAAAAAAGATTGAGGTAAAGCGATAAGAGATGCAGAGAGATACGGCGGGGGGGAAGAGGGACACGATGCGATTTTAATCCCTTGACGGTGGTGATACAAGGGAGAAAAAGGAAGAGAAACAGGAGTGAGAATTGATCTGCCGTGCGCAAGCGCTGAGGAATGACGGCGGCGGATTGAATGTGGGCGCGTCCTTTGTCTCAAGGGCGGGTTCTTCCCTATAAAAATGACGACAGGTTTCCCACTCTCACGACGCACAGTTCGATCTTGGCGTTTTCAGGGGAACACTCTGTTCGTTTGTCGCAGGCCTCGCGATACGGGTTACCGAGAGAGAAGATCGTGGTAATAAGAAGAAGCTGTGTTGTTGAGAGAAGAAAGGAAGATGGAGGAACGGAATTGGGATGGATCATCAAGTCATGCGACCAACGTCCAGTCTCAGCTGGAAAAGCAACAGTGCAACACTGACGATATTCAAACGGTGTCGCGTACAGAAATCTTGTCCACGTTTCGCCAGGCATCAACGGTAGCCCCTCACCTGGGCATTAGACTAACACTGTGCGGTGACCCAAACGCCTCTTACCCAGAAATGCATGACTGGGAAATTACTTTATTATGGTACATGCGGCCGTTACACGAGTGAATAATGTAACCGTATTCAATACCGTAATTTGCTCGTCTCTTTTGACTTTACCAACATCGTAGTACTGAAGTCTGTAGGCTTAGGTTAAGCGCTGATATTGAACCCTGGTGGTTTTGCGGTGGATCACTCTCCGGGGATCCCGGCCGGGCAGTGGTTCACGGGCTGACACCGGCTCCGAGGGTCCGTTGATCTGTTACAGAACTGCTGCCAACAGACATAAGAATAGGTGAGCAGAGCCAACAGAGCGATGGAGTCAGGAAATGCAATGTATTGGATACGGTTGGCGAGGTTGGAAACGACGTACGGCAGCGATTACGTTTCATATTGAGGCGGTGCTACTCTCGGCAGCCGTAAGCCGTATCGCCAGCTATTCGTTGTCGCAAACCAAGCTTCCTATCGTCGTCGTATTGTAATTCGTGGACCTATAAGCGCTTGCCAATGATTCAAGAACGGGATTTACCTTGTAGGGAGCATCCTTTCGCTGCCTGTTGTTTATATTTCCCTGGTCGCCCTGTTTCTGAGTGCTCATCACGTGGTACATTGCGAGACTGAAGATGCAATTCACAGTATCGCAACGTTGGTGCGCATAGCGGAGATTGTGTTTATAGTGTTCTTCGGGCTTGAGTTTGTCGCTTTACCAGCCACACGACGAAAGTTGTCGAGCCAAAGATTCAGGGTCCTGTGCTAATAGCCGCTTTAAATCCGCTCACCCACTTCCCGCTCATGATCGCTAGGTCCCGCACGCACGCCAACTTGATCTGTATTTGTGACTGCATACCACGTCGGTATGTCGAACTGAGCGTGTTATGTCCAAGGAAAGTCGCTAATGCGCCGAGGCGGCTTCACAGTCGCGGAAAAGTCATATTTTGATCGCCTGCCTCGCACGACGAATGCCTCCTTATTTCTTGCTCCCTCTTTCATCATGGCCTCCGCCGCCAGCTCCTGCTGTTTCCCCCAGACTTAAGCACCTGGCTCATTTTATTTCGACCCGCTTGACACAAGAAAACATCGACATAATGCGAACCATTAGCCCAGTCGCGAAATAGCCTCTTCCTGACTTCGGCTGCCATTATTGGAGGTTTTTGGTCGAAGACCAACCCCTGCAAGCCACTTGTTGCCTGACGAATCAATAGACGCCGCCATGTCTGTACAGCCTGCTTCCGCAGCAGCTGAAAACACAGAAACCACGAGGCTCTCAAGAAAAGGAGAAAGAATGAGAGAACGCCTTGGCCAGAGACTGGTCGCAATGAAGATTGATTGACGAATGTCAAGAATTTTGACACTTTCCATTGTTTCATTATGAACTCCATCGCATCTCCTCTTCACCATGGCCGAACTTGCTGCACTGGGCGTCGCAGCCAGTGTCCTTCAGGTTGTTGATTATGGCACCCGCTTCCTCACCACGCTATACCAAGTCAGACGATCGAAACATGACTTTCTCAATAATCTTCAAACTCTACACAGCTCATCAGACAATCTTCGGGATGCCCAGCATGAGCTTCAGATCATTTGCCACTCCGGATCAAACACAGGTGCAGCGATATCGTCACTCGCCAAAAAGAGTGAAGCGATTGCGAAAGAAATGCTTGACTCACTGAAGCGCATTGAGGAAAATAGCCATGGACGGAAGCGCGACGCGGTGATCAAAACATGGCTGATAATCTTGAAGGAGGACAAATTGAAAAGCCTTGAAAGCAGATTGACAGAGGTCAAGGCCGACCTGACGTTCTACCTGTCCGTCAATTTGAGGGCTACTGCAAGAGAGACTCTGGAGAACCAGATGCAGATGTTGCTGGAGATGCGCGATATGCGAGCAGACATAAAAGCCATGGGAGACGCTTCGAGTGCATCCGAAATTCAAGCAGGCTTCGGTTCGTTAGCAATGGAGTATCTCACTGGCGGTCTACATGAGCGCCAGAAGCTCAAGTCCGAGTTCACAGATGCCTTGATCGCTCGTATTCACCATTCTGAGGCCAAGGCGCTATCAGATTCATCAAGCATCCAATTATCACCACAGAGACGACAACATTTGGAACAGATCTTCATCTCAAGGATCCGATACGATACCATACAAGAGAGAGAACTCACAATAAAGGAAGCTCACAAGGGAACCTTTCGCTGGATCTTCAATGACAATAACGCTGAGACTTCACCGATTGGCTTTAAAGAGTGGCTTGTATCCGACGGTAGCCTCTACTGGATCACCGGAAAGCCAGGTTCAGGAAAATCCACGCTGATGAAGTACCTCCTTCAGCCTGTTGATGAATCAAGCAATGCCAACAGATGCAACGAATATTTACAGCAATGGGCGGGAGACCGGAAGCTTACGATTGCCTCCTTTCATTTCTGGGCTATTGGATCAGACATACAGGCGAGCAAAGAAGGATTGCTTCGAACCCTGCTTGTTCAGCTTTTTCGCGCGCACCCAGATGTCATTCCACTTGTTGCTTCGTCGCGTTGGGAGTCTTTGTGTCTTTTTAATGAGGACCCCAGGCGCCTGAGCCTGGATGAATTGGGCGACATGTTTCGCCAAGCAATCAAACACATCAGCACCCGAGCCAAGCTTGCACTGTTTATCGATGGCTTGGATGAGTTTGATGGCGATTGCAACGCTCTTATATCCCTGATACAGAAGTGCATCGCATCTCCAATCAAAGTTTGCGTCTCAAGCCGCCCTTGGACAGAGTTTGAGAACGCTTTCGGATACTATCCTAGGCTGAAGATGGAAGACCTCACCTACGACGATATCACGAAGTATGTCGTTTCTAAATTCAAAGCGAATACTCAATTCGCAAGGTTTCAGAAACTACATCCTCAATTTGCTGGTGCTTTGAGCCACTCAATAGCCGACAAAGCGAGTGGTGTCTTTCTTTGGGTCACCATTGTTGTCGCGTCGCTCTTGGCTGGGATGATGGCCGGCGACCGCGTTGAAGATCTCAAGAATCGGCTCAATCTGCTTCCATCAGAAATGGATGAACTCTATGGAAGGATTATCGACAGTATTGATCCTTTGTATCGCGAACATGCCGCCCAGCTCTTCAAGCTAGTTTACGCGTGCAACGGGACAACTTCGTTACGTATACTGTGGTATGCGGACGAGGTCGATTTTTTAGAGCGGGCCATTGACGAAGACCCGAGTGCTGTCCCTTATGAGGAGGTGATAGGCCGACTAGAAGATATGCGGCGTCGTATTGTCAGTCGCTGCAGAGGTCTACTTGAAGTTCATGAGCAAGTGAGAACTATACGAGAGCAATGCGATCCTGCAAAAATTGATGGAGGTAATGTTGTATATCTACACAGGACATTTGAGGACTTTTTGAGAAGGCCTGATACCCAGCAAAGGCTCAACAGCTGTCTTACCACGCCATACGATTCTGGTCTTAGGATCTCAGCGGCATATACATCCTTGGCAAAGCTCTGGGCGAGGTCAAATGCACGAAGCAAATCCGGGACTAGATATTTCCAACTGAATTTGGTCGAAAGCCTTGACCATGCGGGGGATGCGTTACCATCCTCAAGGTGCGATGTTGTTCGATTGATGGATCATCTCCGAGAGCAGTGTGCCGGTCTCTGCTGTTACAAGTATAAAGAAAAGAGGTTCAGGGAACCAAAGGGCACATGGCAGAGCAAATTGACCTGGACAGAATTGAGCAGTTACCGCTCCGACCCCAACCAAGAATTCCTCTGCCTGGCAGCTGTGTTATGTGTAGGGGAATATATTGGAGCAAAGGCAGATCGCCGCGGTCTTGTCGTGATTGCGAAACGAGACCCAAAGGAACGTTTGAAACTGGGGGCACTTGGGTGGAGACTACAGGGAAATCCTGAGCTGCTCAAAGTTCCCCTTCTTTCGCTTGTGCGCCTGACAGACACAAGAAGTGCATCAGTAATCAAACTTTTACTCGACAAAGGAGCAAAGCCTAATGAAGTAATCAAGCAAATCGGATTCCGCAGAACGACAGCATGGGAAGAACTACTCGCCGGCGCTATTGCGATTGTTGAGAGAAGCTCTAAGGAAGAAGATAGCCAGGTGACAGAATGTGTGCATCTTATGTTAGAAAAAGGAGCAAAGGTGACTGTCGGGACAGTGCAGAGGGCGATAAAAATATCTAAGGAGTGTGAGGTACCTCGACATTTGACATGGATGCCCGTCAACCAGCACCAATATGCTAGTGTTCGCAGGAATGCGTCACTGGGCAGTATATATACACAGCTTAAGGTGATGAAGAAGGATCGGGAAGCACTTTTCAGGATAACATAGCCGAAGTTCTCAATTGAAGGCAATTGAAGGGACTGAGGAGTACAGCGAACGAACAACAAAAAACTGCATTACGATGCTATGAACTTGCACGACATTACGCAAAGGGTATACTCCATCCATTATCCGTCAGACCCATCCAATCCGAACCAATTCTATAACACAAACCGACCATCCATCATATCCATGACCCTGAAAAACACGCTCATAAGTAGTAGCTAGACATACTAAGACAGCTCATCTTCCTCATGCTCCCACTTCCTCGTCCCCAACTTCCGCATCTTCTTTGGACTGCCGTTCCCATTGACAGGTACCGGGCGTGCCTTTTCACCACTAACACGCATGCGCTCCAGCTTGCGTCCTAAGTTGGTCATGCTGTCGCCGCGAGATGGCTTAGAAGAAGGCGCAAAGTCCTCCCGCTCCTCGAGGGGCTTGCGCTTAGTCGGGCTGCGGGACGCAAGCTCACGCTTAAGAATACCGTTTTCGCGACGGAGTCGATCTACTTCCTCTTCGAGATCTTCGATAAGAACGTTTTCTTTATCGCAATCTTCGTCAGAGGCGAGACCTCGCTCGAGGACTTCGACTTTGCGATCCCAATGCTCTTCGGTACGTTCTTGCTCAATAGCCATGGAGTTCTTCCAGCGGGCCATTTCTAGCGCAAGACGCTGCTCAAACTCCATGGCGCACTCTTCGCGAATGGCTGCCTCGAGATCAAGCATGCGGTCCTCCATGGTGAGCAGGTGAGCTTCAGCTGCAACGCGTGCTTCATTTTGACGATCGACTTCTTCGCGCAATTGATCCGCTTCCTCACTAAGCCGTGCGATCTCCAGCGCTGCAATCTCCATGGTCGCGCGTTCATCCGAGCTCATTGGTGGAGAGAAGTTTCTATAAGATCCTCCACCTGCGGGCATGAATGGTCGTGGGTGAGGATGTGTTGGACTGACGGAGCGGTTTTGAGCCATTTGCGGTGGTTGGGCGAGGATGGTTGTTGTAATTGAGGGAACGCGAGGGACCGTGACTTCGCGAGCAAGGGCGCTGTATCGAAGGATTTGAGATGTGGCGTTGAAGTCGCCGCGAGGGTCAGCGGTGACGATCATGACGCCTCTTTGGGGATTGCGACGAGTAGCTTGGGAGTGAGAGGTTGAGGAGGAGGGGAATGAGTTTGAGAAGAGGAGTTCGGTGAGTTTGCATTGTCTGAAGGGAACAATGTTGGGCTGTTGCATGTTAGTCGCTGTTCATCAAACATCACTTCGATGACTTACCTTGCTGGAGCTAGCAGCCTCACTCTGTGTCTGGAGACATTGACCGAGGTACATCAAACTCTCATTGATCTTACCAGCCTCTGCAAGTGTAGCGCCCGCCGTCTTGGCTTCGCGCGCACGCTCACTACCCGCCAGATCAACAATGGTAAACTTGTTTCCCTCCCAAGGGCCAGGCCTCCTGCTACGAGTTCGCTTCTTTACTTCAAAGACAAAGAATCCATGGCTTCGGCTTGAAACGCTGTTGCTTCCGGTACCGGTGACTCGGCGCTCTTGCAGACCGGTCTCAATAACGGTCAATGCCTCGTTGTAACTGGAGCAGATGACCTTTCGAAGGCCAGCGACAACCTTTCGGTCTGGTGATAGCTCTGTTGACTTGAAGAGTAAAGGGCGTCGTCGCACTTCTTTTGTGGCTCCGGATTTGACAGCGGGAGTAAGGAGATCGTAGATTCGGTCATTATGCACTTCGTACATTGAGATTATAACAACATATTCGGCCGAAGGATCGCAGGAAATGTCGATGTTGCTCACGTCGGGGAGCTGAGGAAGAGCCGAGGGGCGTACGGTAATTCGTCGAGGTGGTGGGGACATGAGACCATCGGACTTAACATCGTCTTTAGTAACATTCTTGACACGAGTTGAGGTAGTAAGAGACATGAAATGTCGAAGACCCCGCTTGGGCGTCTTAGGACAATTCAACACGCTAGGGGACGCAGGCAGACTTTTGAGAGGTTGTCTACCACGCTCAGAAGAGCGATCCTATCGCTCTTTGAGACGTCGCGTTTCCTCTGCCTCGCTAACAAGCCGTACACTTTTCGGACTTGGTGCGCAGTCTGCCGGGAACGCGCCTGGGAGGTTGGTGACCAGCTTGGAGGTGGGAATGTTGACATAGGAAGGCTTTGGGATCTGTCGTACAAGCATTGGTGTGCCGGCGCGTGAAGGCGCTCGCGAAGCGACTGAGTCGCGAAAGGGAGGGTCGAAGAAGTGGGACGCGGTTGTTAGGGAGGACTCGGCACCGTCGATGGCTTGAAGGGAGTCTTGGGCTGTGAAGGCGGCGTTGGGATCGAGAATGTTTTCGCCGATTGAGCGGAAGAGGACGTCGATCGTGAGTTGGGTCAGGCCGCGTTGTGTCTTGCTTCCGAGGATCGTATGCGTCTTCGTCTATTAGCCTTGCTGTTTCATTGTTGACATGGTACTCACCTTGCCGGAACCTGTCACTCCCAAGGTAGCGACGACAGCATCTGTTCCCTCGCCGCCCTCAGGCGCCAACACGCCCTCAACGAAGGAGACGATCTCTGTGCAGTGGAAGACATCGAGCTGGGTTGCATCTTCCTCAAAGACCTGGGTGAACGCGAACTTCTCGATCGCTCTACGTCGATCTGTAGGCGGATTCAGAATAATATGCTTAGGATGTGAACCGTCCTCAGTGGGCTCAACATCAAGAATACGATCCCCATCACCATGTCGCGTAGGCGGGGGTCGTAGCCGTAGATAAACCTCAAACAGGTTATGAGACGCTTTTCGCTCCATGATGCTGCTAAGCACGATGATATGCTTTTCGCTTAAACAAAGATGCAAGAACAGAATGGATCGTGGACGAGACTTGTTTAGGACGGTGGATTCATAAACGGAGCGTTGACGTTACAATCCTGGTTGGAGGTCCAGTGTTTACTCCAGTTTCCCTTGGCGTCCTGGCTGGCACGACAACGGCCGAAAACGGTTGGAGGGGCGGGTGATAAGATAAGATTAGATAGGATAAGCGCTTTGGCGCGCGGGTGTTGCACGGGCCATGCCGAAGCTTTCACGCCATCGAGAAAAAAAAGTTTGGGTGGAGCTGAGTTTTTTCTCAGGCTTGAGTTTGTTCTGGCCTCGAGGACAAGGATGTATTAAGCCAATTGTTTGAGTGGTGTCACTTGAAGTGGTGCATCGTAAGGTTCAAGTGGTCACGATTAGTTTCAGTGGCTATTCATGTTTCTAGCTGTGCTCAATCGGAAGATTCCTGATCGAGAAGTGTTTCTGTTTCTGCTGCTGCAGCAAGCTGAGATCCAATTCACATGCAAGAAACCACGCCAAAGTCTGAAGCATGTTTGAAGCTCCGTGGCAGCTAGGATGCGTGGCAGCAAGAGTCATCAATGAACAAGGGGGTGTGCGAGTGTAGCTAACGCAGCCAATGGCTACTCTTCAGAGCTGCTGATTTCCTGGGGGAGGTTGACTCACCCAGGAGTCATAGTCATATTCAATGCATTTACGTGTTCATAATGCAGAAGCTTTCGCCTTAATTTCGACTGTGCCGCTTTTGTGTTACGCTCATTGTCGTAGGAAGTAATGCCGAGGCCGCCATTGGTAAAAACTCTGAGGTCCATCTGAAGAGGGGCGCCGTTTACTGGGCAATGGCGAAGTTGCGCTACGAGGAGATTTTGACTCTAAAGAATTGGTCTGGCGCTAAAGACTCTTGATGACGGAAGTGCTTTTCGAGAAGAAGAGGGGAATGAGGGGCTGATTGAAGTTGATACGGGATTGACAATGGGAACAGCTTTGCAAGGACCGGTATATGGCATTGAGAGACATAAAGACCACAGTGTTTCAAGGCAATGCTCATTGACCAGCATCTGGAGTTGAGCCTAAAAGCCCAACCGCCAAAGTAACGAAATGAAGACAACCTTCCACTGTCGGCCAATTCTCTACGTAACCATCTACAGAATTCGGTATCCAGGCACGAGACGGCGCGTAAGACTCTTAGCTTGCCTCACCAGAAATTTTCTTCCCCATTGGATGTTTCTGCGTCGAGACTGCGGATACTGAGTAATTAGTCCTCGTCAACTCCGGTTGTCGCTTAAAAAACTTTAGACGACAGAAAAAAAAAAGTTCGGCAATAACCCCACCAGTGTCCGTGGCAACATCAAAGAAGCTTGAGAAATTCTTATTCTTTTTTTGGGGACCGAGGTATCGGTATCCATTTTCCTGGCGTTACTTCTAGCATAAGCGAGAAGACTGACGATGTTTCTCGTCTGATGCCGATGGGAGAGCAAAAAGGTATCCTCTCTTTCTTTTTTTCTGGGGCGGATTTTTTTGAAACTGGGCTCTTTGGTAGTTGGCATTGGCCACTGACATAACCGCCTGCATTACCCCTGTTTGACTGTGGAGTTCTTGCTCTCTGCGGAGCTTTTCGAAAAATGCTTGGCCTTGTGTTGGAGGGAGACGGAGGAGGGGTCTTTGATTTCTTGCTTGCGTATCCCGGCTCCAGCGTCTGTTCTGCCGTGCATGAAGCATGGGGTCTTGGGTCAGTATCCTCAAAAGATAATTGGGAATGAAACGATTGAGCTGTTCTCGTGACATATTTGAGTTTGGGATATGACTCTGGTGGCATGTCACGGAGTGATATGCAGCCACTGAATGCACTGTAAAGCCACATCACTTTCAACTGTCTTTGTCTGTCATGTTCCCAAGCTTGGATTGCTCCGATATCTAATATCAATTTCTTGCATCTCTCCCTAGTCATACATTAGATTGATGCTCCATGCTCCCTGTCGTGCTTCCATTCTGGGGCCTGACTGGTCCCTTTATTGTGATTTTGTTCGCCTCACGGACCAGGGAGCATGGGGTAAATGTTTGAAGTCACTCATGATTCAACTTGGTCCCAGCTTTTGTTCTCAACTATCGGTGACAGGCAAACATATTGACCGCAGTGAGCTCTATATAGCATACGTAGCATAAAACAGCACAGAATAGTCTCCTTGCAGCGTCTCACTCGACACATCAGCGCTTCTCATTGTACAATTGTCTTCCTATCGTTGGGCTTGTCTGAGGCTGCAAAAAGCGGTGACGGTATTGTCCCTCCTAAAATAGACTAGCGCATAGGTACCTTCCCTCCCGCACTGCACGCTCCATCGACTCCACTTCTAACTCAATCATCAATCACCCCCCGGCACTGCCTGCCTCGAGACACTTTGCCCAATCAGGATCGACCCCACTTAGAAGACGGAAAAAGTTTGGGATATTTGTCTCCTCCTCCTCTCCCCCTCGCTCCCTCTCTTCTTCCTCTATCACCAACCCAAACCCAAACCACAAAAGACAACGAAGTCGACATTTTCCAGATTCACCCAGAGAACTACCCCTACCAAGAACAAAGTCGAGTAACCATGCCTTCGGCCGTCGCTGAGCTGTAAACGCCCACTGCGGGCCGTGGCTGTTTTCCCTGTCCCGGCTCGCAGTCCAGCAGTTCTCCGAGTTAACCAGTCAATACTTCTCTCTCGACTTTGATCTTTACAGGCTTTCCCGCTCTTGGAGCTGAGTGCTCTACCGAGAGTCTGTCTCTGAAACCAACGATTCTGCAACTTGCCCGATAGTGAAGGGCTTTTGAGACAGTTATTACCATTCTACTCTCCCGACCACCTCTCTACCTTTCTCTTTCTATCAAAGACGATAAAAACAACTTGAAGTTGTTCGAAAGCGTATACACGCATATATTTACTACAATACAAGCCTTGCACTGCATAGCTAGAAAATATTTGATCTGAGCTTGCTCATCTACGCCACTCGAAAGACAACTCAAACGATCATTACAATTAGAATTCTAAACATCTTGAAGCATTTCCAAAATGTCTCGCAATCTAAAGCAAAAGTTTACAACCCCGGTCAAAAAGACCAAGACCGCCCAGCGCCGCCGCCGGGTCTCCGACACTCCTTCTGCTTCTTCTTTGGACCTCTCCGACGATGGCGGCTACTCTGCCGTTGAAGATATTAGCGACTCTTCAGACGACGATGAGGATGATGTTGCCGCGGCCGAGGAGGAGAACATCTTAGAGGAAACTCATGTTCCCCCCACCCCACCACAAGCTCCTCGGCCGCAACCGACTATCGAGGAGGATGACGAAGAAGAAGAGGAGGAAGTGGAACAGGAGGACGATGAGCAGGAGGGCCTGGATATTGAGGATGATGACGCTGCTAGCTGGGGAGGCATCGTTACGGACGATGAGGACCAGCCTGACGTCTACCAAGACGCCAATATCTTTGGTGAGGAGCCTATAGAGCGCCACGTTCACTTCGACGTGCCCTCCAGCGACTCTGACTCTACCGACACCGAGGATGAGATTCAGGGTTTCTTCCCAGATATCTTTGTTTCTCAAAACAACTTGGATCCTGCTTTCCGTCGTGAGATTGAGAACGATCCTAATGAGTCTTCCGACTCGGGATCTTTCTGGGACTTCAATAACCAGTACGGCGAGCAAGATGATGACTCGGATGCCGAGGAAATCTTCCGACAAATCGACGATGACACCCCTATTGCCACTCCAATGGCCTCCCAGCCAGCCACTGCTGCCTCTACCCCTCAGCCCATTCCCTTTGGCTTTGAGGAACCCACAGAGCTGGATGGCTACGAGAGTAAGTTTGGCTATATGGGCGTCATTACCAGTACTAACATGCCCAGCTGATGGTGATACCACCGAAGAAGATGAACCCGAACCCATTGTACGAAGGAAGACTCGACGCCCTTCAAAGCCTATGAGCGACATTTCCGACTCTGACGCCGACAGCCCGGTCAAGGCCGAGCGTGGCCAGCCCCGTTTGGGACGTTACAACCTTGACCGTTCCGACAAGAAGCCAATTGCTGTCCTCAACCCCGTCACCGGAAAGATGATGATCTTCACTCCTCATCGACGCCACCAACTCGATCTCTCCCCCGAACAATTTAACTTTCCCTGGGGTACTGAGGGGCCTGAGTCACCTATCATGAGCAACTCTGCAAACTTGATGCTCAGCGCCATGTTCTCCTCCAACACTTTCGGTGACTTCTTCAATACGGCTCAGGTTATGGGGCCCGCTGAGGCTTTCTTCCCCTTCCCCTCTGAACCCAATACCGCCGACGAGAGCTCAACCGCGCCTAGCTTGCAGGATGAGGAGGAAGAAGACGCTGAACTCAATCTGGACCTCAACGACTTCATCGCCTGGGAGGAAAATGACTCTTCTGGCGATGAAGAGGGCGACAACTGGGATCCCGCATCAACACCTGCGCGACCCAGCACAGCTACCAGCGAGAAGCAGGCTCATGGCCACATCAATTCCGAGACTGTCGGAGCTTTCCGCCGTAACCAAATTAACCAGCAGCTCATCCTGAGCAACCAGGCTACCCAGGACTCGCTCGCATTCAGCGGCCCCTATAACTACACCGCACTCAAGGGTCTCAAATCAGACCGCTTCGACACAGCTGCTATCCCCCTAACACCCGCTCGTCGCCACAAGAGGCAGATGAGCGACGCCACGCGCAGCCCCCTTGAATCAATGTCTCAAAAACGCAAGGCAACCACCGAAGCTGGCAACGGCCATAAGAGGCACAGAAGCATCTCGGATGTGAACTATCTCCACATCTAGTGCAATGCACACCCACAAAAACGTACGAGGACGGCATAGCCTACTGCCGCTATCCCTGGCCTCGACACTACTCTCTCTTTAACAATTTTTCCTTGGTTGTTTTCCTTTGGGTTGAATGGAAACCCTTGTCTACAGCGTGCTCGCCCCCCTCCCCCAAGGGACAGGGACGATATTTTCTTTGGAGATGATACCCCAGCAGCTCCAGCCCGGTCGAAAAGCCGGGTGAGCGTATCGGAGGAATCAGCGACTCGCCTTTTTGTACCTGTAATGGTCAATCAGGTGGTCGGGCAGGTATTTGCTCTGCGAGCGAACCTGCATGGGACAAACAAAAAAAGTCTAATGCCGCTAATGGTTTGATGGTCTTGATGTCGGAAATGGGCAAAAAGTTATCAATTGTCTTTCGTTACTGGTGTTTTCATCCATGGGTCTAGAGGTAGATAAAAGCCGCGACCAAAATTTCATTCAGTGTTCATAATAACTTCGTAATTGTGCCGTTCCGTGCTCTGTGATGTGAATTGAAGCTGTCCTGCAAGACGCGCCCTCATTTTTTTGAGTGGGGCCGGCATTCGAGTCCTCCATTTTCTCACGGCTTGCTGCTGGCGTCTCATGTAACTACACGATGAGTGCGACGTGATACAGTCCCTATGAGATTTTCAACCGTTCAATTGCTGCCTGCTAGTGCCCATCCATATTGATAATAATGCCTTTCTAGAGCTTAAACAGTTCTTGCGCCAGCCGGGGCTTGCTCCTTACGACGTGAGGAATGACCGCCAAGCACCTTGGGCTTCTGGCTTTAGTGACAATATGAACATGCGCTGCCATCTAGAAGTACCTTTCACCATCAGTCTGACTCATGCCTTTTTGCAAGGCGAGCGTATGATATGAACAGCCTGCAATCGACGATTGCCTGCCTACGCGAGGCAAGAAAACTTAGGCCCTCGATCCTAAGCGGCAAAAAGACTTAGGATATTTAGCACAAGTTTAGGATACTCTTTGATGAGTTTATTTTGGCACCATTTGTCAAGTCTTCTTGCTCCCTAGGGGGCGTGCCTACAATGGGAGGTCTTGAGTTTACTGATGTTGACTCATGGACGATCTTTGACTTATTGGTGAGTCATTGCAGTTTTGTAAACTGACGCCCGCTCTTGAGGCGTCGCTTATGGCGTAAGGTCACCGTGCTGCCTGAGCCGGGCTTATGATGAAGGTCAATATGTTAACCGTATACTGCGTCTCTTCATTTCGAAAGCGGATGCTCACTTCCCAGAGCACGCTCAGCACCGAAGGAGCTTTCGTGCTTTCACACAGCGCCGCTGGCTCTCAGCGATTGCTCATTTCCCTCTGGTGTTGGTGCCAAGGCCAATATAGCAAAAGCTGGCAGTAAGTTGTGCCCCATGAAAGTTCTTCCAATGTCAATAACCTTGCTGTTTGTGTCGTGAAATAATTGAGACAGCGCCGGCAACTGCTATGAAGATTGTTTAATAGTGACGATGCTGATTTTGAGAGGCGCGAGCCAGTCAATCTATCATTACTCATCTTTGTGAGGTGAATCTTATCTGCCATCAAGACCCCTTGCCAAAAAGTGTTACCGCGCCAATGCACAAGGTCGGCTCCTATGGCTGCCTTATTTCCAATTATGTCGTGCTCATTCCTTACCAGCTTCCATGGACATGAACTTGATCTCATTTGCAGGCGCCGTGCTGAATTAAGAAAATTAAAGACTTGCTGCCTGCTCAGGCATTCGAAGACCATTGAGTGCGGCCCGGAATGGCTCAGCCTTACCGGGCGAAATGTGGGTCCACTCTCGGCCGACACGGATACGTACCGCCGGCAGCGCAACGACGACACTCAAACGCATAACAATGCAGCGAACTAACAGATGCCACCTGAGATAGACTGAATGCGTAGAAAGCAAGTTTAGTAGTGATTTTGGACAATTTATAGTCACACGGGCCTTGGTTGTTGGATTTTGCAGCCCCGCGCGGTATCGGACGTGAAATTTTTGGCTCAACACCACGAGTTCGGGTTGATGATATTGCATGGTTATAGTTTCAAATAAGAGCTAGAAACGTAGAAAATTAATAGTGGGGCGCTGGCGCAATGGCAGCGCGTTGCTTTCCGGTGGCAAAGGTTCCAGGTTCGAGTCCTGGGCGTCTCGAGATAATTTCTTTTTGGTGTTGTGATGTCTTGAGGTCATCACGGCCATGGGGGAGAGCAACACCAAGTCGACCTGAGGCATTGGGAGGACAGCTTTTCTTTTTGGGAGACACGTAGAACAGTAAGGCAGGCGGGTGGCCTTTTATTCAAAAAGTCAATGGTTGGGTTGAGCTGACATCGAATGTGGAGATACAAGTGAGACAGATCTATGTGGGGAAGATCGCCATGGTGTTGACGCCCCAAGCCACTTACGGACATGCAGGTACGGATACACCCAGCGATAAACATGCCCGATGTCACTTAGCATCGATCAGTGTAAACTGGATAAATGATAAATGCAAGAACTCTGAAAAGCCTTAGTCTCATATGAGCGAGGTGGATGTGATACGGGAACAGGTTCTGTGAGCGCCACCACTAACACTCACCAACACCACGCCTCCATCTCATCACGAAGGGCTCCACATTAGAGCTCTGGCTTACATCTTCAGTGCTTCACGAGACGAGCCTGTCCTAAATCATCTATAAGTTCAGGATACCCAGTCTAAGATTGGACTAAAGTCATCGAACGAACACACCGGATGAAAGACAAGGTAAGACTTTTACAGATTTATACCTCAATCGCTCATGTGCTACAGCAGTCCTGTTATCTATATGGGTATCAATTACCATCCCAACCACTCAATTCTTGTTGTAATCCTCTCAAGCATACTCCTCAAGACCATACTCAGCATCCATCTCTGGATCATCCTCATCATACCCGCCGCCAAACTCATCACCTCCACCACCAAACTCTTCGCCATCACCGTAGTTCTGCGTCTCATCGTACTCCTCTTCCTCAAACTCTTCTTCCTCCGGGGGCGCTTCTGGTTCGTCGCCAGCGACACTCTCGTCGGGAGCTTCGCTCGCATCGTCGCCACCTTTTGTGCTTCCCGCGACACTGGTCTTGCGGCTTGTGGCTTCTGATCCTGGACCTCCGAGGTTGGGCATGTCGAAAATGTTGCGGATGGCGTCGTAATTGATCCTCTTGGACCAGGCGCGATCTTTCGCGACGTTGACGGCTGCCTCGGCGGCTGAGCTGGCGGGGCTGGTCTGGCCTTCACCCATTCTAGCTCGCTTACGTCGCTTTCGTGTTTGCTTCGGTCGTTCTGCCTCGACTTTCTTGCGGAACACCTTCTCTTGGTGCTTTCGTAGCCATTCCTTGTTCTGGTTCACCCAGATCATTTCCTTGATCTGAGCCTCCTCGGGTGACAGCAAACAATTGTTCACCTCGGGGTCGTCGGCAAACTCATCCTCTGTGACGTCTGCCGACATGGAAACTTCTTTCTGGGGTCGTTGCTGTAGGGCCCAGACTGTGTGAATTCGCGCTCGCTGCTCGGCAGTCGTGTAGGCCATGGCGTGCTCGTATGTTAAAGGGTCATTGAAGATCTCCTCAATCACGCCCTCTAGTTCTTGCTCATCCTGCTCCCATTCCTCGTTGATGGGCAATTGTGGTTTGCTGCCTTTCCGTTGGCTTGTTTCTTGTGTTCCGTTCTCCACAAGCTCCTCGTCCATCACGTCTCCAAACTCTTGCACCAGGCCATCCAGAGTCTGGACATTCGTGTCTTCGCCCTCGGCTTCTTCATCCTCTGCGTTCTCGTTCAGCCTGTTGACAAGCGATGGGTCTTTGGCGATCTTGGATGGTATAGGCGGGATAATAAAGCCGTCATCATCGCGGCGATATTCAACAACGGGCGCCTTCGAAAGATCAGCACCGCCTTCTATTAACCGTGGATCAATCTTGTCGGCCAGATTGTCATCTTCCTCCTCATCTTCGTCATCGTCAGCGTCTGTCGGCCTCTTTCGCTTCTTATTCTTTGCGGCCAGCTGCTTCTTGTATTCGGCTGACTGCCTGTAAAAGGAAGGTGGGTCATGAGAGCTCTCCAGGAAATCCTGCTTCAAGAAATCCTCGACCGACATTCGACTGGACTCGGTGACTTTGAACTCTTGCAGTCGGTTCTGAATTGTGTGATTGGTGACTTTGACGATGTAGACAACCTCTCGCACAGTTCGTCGAAAGTTGTGCATTCGTGCTGCCATGAGCAGACAAGCTCCACAGATGCCTGATGGTCGACGGCCCATGACCATCCAATCTCGACTCATTCGCTTGACCAGACGAACAGCATCCTCAGCGACTTTGGCTGTGTCTTGGTGAAATTCCATCTTTGTGGCAAATCGCCAGATAAGATCCTCCGGATACACTGGAATGAGGCCGTCGTTGCCAATTGGCACCACCTCATTAAGCTTCTTGAAAATGCGACCCAGCTTAAAGACGTTGAGCTGCACCAAGTCCGCCAAATCGATAAGCATAACTTTGCATGGTGGCTCTGCTCGACAGGCTGCGTACAGGCAGACAGCCGCAACGCTGGCTAATGTGCGACCTTGAATAAAGTTTGCGCTTGACGCCAGCTTAAAGACTTGCGTTCCTGCAGTGACCAGACTGTCGCTGACGTGAAGCTGCTGCGCATAACCCTGCATCAAGCCTTTTGCTTCCCTAATGCTCTTCTCTCGATCCTCAGATCCTCCCACTCTTCGAAACGCAGGACCCATACTTCGCACGCCTGCTTGATCAGCACCAATGTAAGAACCATGAACAACAGCAGCACCCGAAGACGATTCTCCAAAGGTGACTTCTGCCACGATATTACTGTCGTCAGAGATACGACCGCAAGTCTGACATGTTCCATCGACGACATTGGGTTTTGGACAGGCTTTGTTCGGACATTGTGGACGATTCGGTTTTGCTAATGAAGCATTTCGATTTACAGCAGCAACCCGTAGGCTATTTGAATGGGCGGCTGCATTCGCGGCTCGTCGTTCTTCTCGTTCTCGCATGGCTCGGACGGGGTTGGGTTTTCCGAATCGTGGTTTCGCAGCCGGGCGCCCAGTAGGCCCCGATTTTGGTGGTGTAAGAAAAGACGACATTGTCGCAGTATCTTATAATTTAGTTGAAATGAATTGAAAGTCGTTCCGCTATTGATCTTCCTTCTCTCCCCCAGGCCGACAAACGGCCAGATCACAGAAGCTATTAGCACTCCAGTGCCGCGGCGTCGAAAGAGCCTGTATGCGATAGCTCTTACAAAAAAAAAGATTATCGCGATAAGGGAAAAAAAAGACAGAGGGATGGACGAGGTGAGATACTGGTGAAGAGAAATCGCGAGTCTCGGTGCAGGCGGGGTTTTTTGGGTGGAAGAAATGAGTGTCTATGGTCGAGTGGGGAAGAGTTTTCACTCGTGTGAGCAAGCCCCTGCAATTCGACTGAGTCAGAGGGCCAAGGCAGTGACGGTTCGAACACCAGTGCGTGATGTTTTTGGAATAGTCCTGACAATACGTAGATGATAGCGAGCAGAGTCTTTGAGGAATATTGTCGTTGTAGAGTCGTCAATCTTTGTTGATCCTCGTTTTTCTAATGAGGAGAAATGAAGAGGAGATATGCTGTTGCAGTCAGTTTGTGCGAGCAATCTTGTTGAAGCGGTTGGTGACGAGAGAGCCGAGGTTTAACCCCACACACTCAAAGTTAGCTGTACAGGGTAAACGCAGAGCAATTCATTGAGTTAACTCAACGATTTAGTATCATATTTAATGTCTTTTGCATTGCCATAAGACGGTATCAATTATAATACGTTGGCATTTTTCATCCGTATACACACTTTCAGTGTACCAGGCCATGAATGTCCCCTTCCAAATAAGGTAACTCGGCATTCAGCTCATCTCCACCCATCATCACTTTATCCGCATCAAGCTCACGCCCTACATACAATACCCTGTCAAGCCAGAACCTTTCCAGAATTAACCGTAAAAGTGATCACCGGTTATTAATATTCCTGCATTCTACCAACAACAATTCGTCTCAGAACCTCGCAAAAGGCGGAGTTTCCGCTGCATGTTTGCTCGGCTTAACCCGATTACGTCAGGTCTGCCCCGCGATTCTTAGTCAAGAGCATCGTTTAAGAAGAGCTATAAATACATCGAAGTGTCCCTTGAAGAATAACATCTTTAGGATCCTAGAAATACTACATATTGTTTTGTTGAAATCGTCAAGATGGAAACTCCTTTCAAATGGTCGGCGCCGCCTGGTAGTGATATCTGGAAACAACCTCCTTCTACTGACGTCTTCACTGGTGAGTTCACCTCAACCCCTCACTCTCAAACGCGCCCTCTCAACCACCCATCACGACTAGCCTCACTCACTAACTAACCCAGCACCCTTCACCACGCATTCCAAAAAACCTCTTAAGAAGTTCATCTCCGCAACTCTCACCTTTCGCACAAAATACATCCATCAGTACGATCAGGCCTGTCTTCTCCTAGTCTTCACAAACCCCAACTCCCCCACGCCCCGCAAGTGGATCAAGACCGGCATCGAGCTATACAACGATCACCCGCGCTACTCAACCGTGACATGCGACCAGTGGGCAGATTGGAGCGTTGAGAAAGTCGGACCTGAGAATGAAGCTGGCGTGAGGAACGGTGAGAAGTGCGTTACGGTAAAGGTGCAGAAGGTGCAGGATGCGCTGGGTCTTTGTATGTGGACGTACAGGGTTGATGAGGACGGTGACAAGACGCCGTTGAGGCAGACGAATTGGGTTTATGGTGATAATGGAGGTGAGGGCTGGGATCTAGAGGTTGCTGCTGCTGTGGCGAGACCTGACCCTAAGAAGGAGATTAAGGAGGATCTTGAGGTTACGTTTGAGAAGTTTGAGGTTGAGTGGGATGAAACCGCCTGATAACAAACCTCACTATTTTAAGCATTGCATCACAGACATCACAGGCAAAGGAACATCAATTGAGGTGGCCGAATTTCTCATTACCTCTACCCTGACGGTGCTTGCGCCAGGGAGGATCGTTCAACGATCCCAAGTTGTTAATAATCATCAAGATCGTAACTTCATTCTCATCGGCGTCTCGCCGGCCCCAAACAAACCCATGCAGAAAGGATCTCCAATTCCCATCTCCTCCAGTAAACAAAATAGGAAAGCAGTAACAAAAGGACAGGTTCGAGGTATCAGTCTGTAGATGCGAACCAAAAGCAAAAGAGGGCTGACCCAGTACTGAAGAGGCGAGGCACACACGCAGTGTGTGAGATTTAAGATGTTATTAAAGCCTCTCGTTCTCAAGGTCCCCCCTGTTGTGCAAAATCCGAGTAGGAGATGATTGTATCCGTTTCGCGTTCTAAGCATGTTCAAAAGAGACAAACTCCTGCCATAAAACGTGAAAGCAAAAAGACAACAACAAAACCAGAAGAGATCCTTTTTTTTCGGTGAAAAATTTCCAAGATGGTACAAATGCAAGCTTTTAGCCAATCTCGGGGCATTTGCTCGCGGGTGTAGAAAAGCAGTCAAGCATTCCACTTCCCAAAATGTCCCCCAAACTCTGGTGTTGAACCAAAGACAACCCGGTCTTTTTTTGGTGGATAACAAAACGCCAGAGTAGAGTGGGGAAGAAATGTCCCGGTGTCCGTGTGTAAGTGGGTATCAAAGCAGAGTTGAAATGACAAGGCAGAAATGGAAACTCGCGATGAGTAAACTCACAATAAATGAGCAGAGGATGTGAAGGACGTCGCATGCGTCTGATTAGATCCTCTCAGCTCGTGTTTCATCAAAATTCGGTCGGCCAACCTCGCAGAAGGGGAGTAATGTAATAAAACAAAGCTCCTTAGGACTTCAATCTGATGATGGAGCATGAAAAGCAACCAAACGCCGACTTCCAACTGTTCCCGTAAGCATCACTTTTTTTTGTGGGTTTTTCTTTTTTCGCGGATTTGGCGGTGTTCCATTTCGCGCTTGTCCTCCAGCTATGATCAAACACACGAAGCATCCGGAGGCCTGAGTAGTGTGTGTTTGGGTTACCTTGAATCACTCAGACAGTCTTTGGCGTGCGAGCATTGCTCACGTCAATGACGTCGTCGAGGTGATTGCACATGGCTACAAACAGGTCGAAGAAGAGCTTGCTGCCGCCCGCCTCCATCTCGGCCTGCATGGTCCCGCTGCGCTTAAAGGTCTTGCGGCAGCGGATGATCAGGGCGAGGTAATGAGCGCGCAGACGGCTGTCTGAGTCGGGCGTGTGAGCGTAGGCGTACTGAGCTGACCGTATAATGGTCCCGACATCGATGCCGGATTGCAGTCCCTGCTTGCGCAGGGCCAGACGCTTGAGCTCCTCGAGGCCGTATTTGTCCGCGGCACAGTAAACGACTGTGTCGCGGAGGATGGCCATATCGAGACTCGACAGGTAGATAGTGGCTTCAGACGCAGCGCCTGCGCGGCCACCTCCAGTTTCGGGGTTGGGTGATGTGTGAGGTGTACGGCCTTGGTCCTCGAGCTCCCAAGAGTTGCGCTGCTTGTTGTGGAGCAGACGTGGGTAGTAGTCGCCCTTGTAGAGATATTCGAGGACGGCGGAGAACACCTCGGGTTCTTCGTCGGGAATGGAGATCCTCTTGCTCTGTGCCTCGAAGCAACTTCCGCGACAGGCGGCCTCAAAGAAAGGCGACTGGCGGAGTACATCCTCATGTGCTGCAAAGAGCCGGCCATCTCGACCAACAGTCAGAGTGACGATGGGCGAGGGTGAAGGCGCGGGTGCTGGAGCAGGCTTCTGGGGTATCGCGTCCTGCTCGTTGAGCGATCTTTGCAGCTTCGACATTTTCGTGTGATCCCGGTGGGAGCCCGATCTCTTGAGTCTCGCAGTCTTGTCGACGCGGTTGGGGTCTTGCGACCTAAACGAACGCTTGAACATGGCTACGATAGTTATGGGAGGAAATCGGTATATAAAGAACGGACTCGTAACGGGAATTTCGACTCGGACAGGTTATTGTAGGGAGAATAACGACTCCCGACTTTTTGTATCGATCGATCGGCTTGGCTAGAGAGTGACGAAAAGAGCGAAGAGATAGAGAGCAAAAGGGAAGAAGAAAAGAGCGACGCACAACAGAAAAGATTGACAAATGGGCCCGGGCGGAGAAATATGTCCTTCAAGACAAGACGATATCCTCTTGGTGAATCTTTGCGACCCTTTTTTGGTTGTGTGTGGGGGGGAGGAAGAGAGAAGAAGTCGGGGGTACAGGGGGTTAGGCCTGTATTTATACCGATGGTGTCTTACCCGCGGGGTTCAAGGATGAGCATGAGGCAGCCAGCGACTCGACTACAGCCTCTGCAATGCAACCCGACCTCCATGTTTGGGTTCTTTTAAAAGGCAGAATTAATAATCTGATTTCAAAGCCCTTGCAATATTGAAGCCTGAGTCTATCTTGCATTGATCTCGTTGTCGAGGCTGCAATGTCAGGCTCAAATATGAGTCTCTGCCAACACTCACTTCACGTTTATCTCAGCCAAAGACCCCTGCAACTCCCAAAAGCTCAAAATGTCAATGCCCAACTCGACTCACCGTCATCTTTTACCTTCCCCGGCTTTTCTTCCTAGTCGTTATTTGCACCGCCGCGATTAAACAAGGCTCGTTTGTTATCAACACCAATCAATTCATCCGTGTTATCGCCACTCCAACCTCTCGATGTGACCGTGCAATGCCACTCAGTAAATTGCCCTGTCGTGGTCCTGGTGGTGCCTCACCAACTCATCTGTCCGGTACCCAATCGACGGTCTGTGTGAAGACGCTACCAGGCCATGCCATCTGTGCGAGTAGATCTTTGCGTGTGATTGGTGAATATCCTACAACGGGGCTGGTTGATTTGCATCCAAGGTGGTGTCGCCGAGTCCCTGTCGCACGTAGCTTCACGCCGCCGCAATGTTACAGGTGCATCTTGCACGCTTCACAACCAAGACATTTACAAACCCGACTGTCGGTTACGGGCATTGCACCGTGGCTTTCAACCTGAATGAGTCAACTCATGGGAATTACTTCGGCGAAATATCGTCACAGGCCGTTTCTTCACTTTTACAACGGTCTCGTTGCTGCGAAGTCGAGTCAATTTTAGGTTTAAGAGGTTAACCAGACGTCTCGAGTAACCCTACCCCAATTAGGTGCATCAATCTATATCACATCAAGTCACTCAATCGGCAGACTTCCCTAATCCATCGTTAACCACCAAACAAATTCCAACACCCATCACCATTCCCAATTCGTACCCCTTCAGGAATCAAGGGCCGCTTGCGCAGCAGCGATGGCGCGAGCCTCAGAGTTTGATCGTGTGACGCTCTCCCGGGAAGCGATGAGACCCTGCATGAGGATGTACACTATGGTAATAAGCATTTACACCTTTCATGTTAGAGAAAGAACTCACTGATGGGCATCAAGAACACGAAGCCAATGGAGTAAAGAGTAATCGCTTCATCCGACCCAACTTCGTTCTTGTCAAGCCAGAAGAATGGGTAATAGTTGGTGACGAGGTGACCAAAGGCCGCCCAACCCAGGTAAGCTGTGGCGAAGAACATGATGCCAATGAGGTGGATGCCGACAGTCTGGTTATAAGGTCAGTAAGCTGCTATCGCGATTGAACACCGACCTACCCATGGACGTCGAATGCTGTTGAGAACAAGGATCTCAAACACCATCACCGAAGATCCAAATGCGTACAAGGACAAGATGATGAAGGCACGGAACCATCCCTCGCCAAAGATGTCGGTGACTATTTATGATCAGTTGACTACCATGCGATAAAGAAAGTGCTCTTACATGGAGCAGCAGGCGTCTTTTCGGCATATGGAGCCCAGACATGCGAAGCGGTACCGTTGGGAGGTTGAGGCTCGGGTTGAGGTTCGCCGCTGGCATCGTCACTCTTGTGCTGGCGTGTGATGAAGAAGTAGATGGTCGAATTGGCAAAAGCGAAAACAGCAGTGATGGTGTAAAAGAGGGTAAAGTAGAATTGCTTGCGGAGGCTACCCATGTGCTTGGGGAGCGACATTCTTCGGATGAGCCATCCTTCTAAACCCCCCATGTGTCGATCATGATGGTGGGGATAGTACAGGTGGGTAAATGTCCAACACTAGAGAAGTCAATAATAGTGGAAGGAATCCTTATGTGAACTCACAAAGGTCTTGAGCTGGTACAGAAAGACAAAGAACAGACTGATATTGGCAAAGTCAAAGACGATACGCCAATCGGAGAACTCGCTTTGTTCGTGGATCTCGTAATTGAGGACGAGGATCACCACGGCTGTGACAAGCGACAAAACAACTCCACGCAAGATAACGAGTATGTTCTGCGGAATGAATGACCACGGGGAGTGAGATGCTCGAAGGAAGGCAGGCTATCGGTTCATCAAGTCAGCAAAACGATGAACCAAAGCATCGTGGAGATGACTGACATGGTCCTGCATCACATTGGGGCTGGGGAGGCCATCGGCGTTCTGGAGGAGAGGTGCTGAGTCCATCGCGAAGACTCAGCGGGGACGACAAAGAAGGTGAAGAGGATGCAGATCGATGATCAAAACGATGTGGTCAAACAGATAATTGCAGTAAGGTGATGCTGGAGCGCGGAGCCGATGAAGCCAAGAGATGTAGGGGATCAGGCGTCGAAGAGGCGATGCTGAACGAGACAAAGATACGCGATGATGAAGCTGGGAAGAAGAGAGACGAGAGGACGAAGCCATCGTGGTAGGTAATTATCGGCCAGCAGCCGAAGAAAGAAGGTGCTGTGATGTTAACCAAGAAGGCAGTAGCCTCGTGCTCATGACGATAACTGGAAGGTGCACGAGAGGCGATGCTAGAAGGAAGGAGGCAACAGTGAAAGCTCCTCACATTTCGGGACGTTAGGCTTATGAAGAGTTCATTATTATCCGCCGAGTCAATCAACTCGACATATCGCAATGCTAGTTCTTATCGTACACTCATCAATCATTCAGTCCACTTATTCCTGCTTGCGCGCAGCGCTCTCATGGCCTTCTCGCTCCATCCCCTGGCAACCGGTGAGTCTACCAGCGACCTCTTCGACCCTTCCATATCCCTTCTCGTGGTTCGGGTCGTTCTGTGCTCGAAGCTCGCCAGCCTTCTTCATGTCGGCAAGACCTGCTGCCTTGTCCTGTTCACCAGAGGCCTTCCATGGTTGAGAGCCGGTAATGGCGCCAATGGTAGCCTTGAAGGCATGAGTGAGAGGCCCTGGGGGGGTTGAGAAGGACTTACCTCTGCGGCTCCCTTGACGTATTGGACGTGGCTGCCGATGAGACCGGGCTGCTGGTTGTTGTTATCGGCCATTTTGAGTATAGTAGTGTAAGTGCAGGTGCTTGGGTTCTGGTGAAGATCAAGACGTTTGGATCGGTAGAATTTGGAGATTATGAAGAAGAATGTAAACACAGAGAACAGGACCAGCAGATGACCATTTTAAATACCAAGCTCCTTATTCGCCTACAACGCCTATGACATCGATCTCATGCTTCAAGTGTAGTCATGACATCACCTTCATTCGAGCATGACACCCCCGCGTTAGACCATTTATAGCGTCAAGGTCCCTGGAATTATGGGAACCATTTTGATCTAGCACCGCCACAAACACCAGCCTCAAAATGCCCCAGCTGTTCCAGGCCAGGTGGCCCGTGCTCCTCGAGCTCCCATGAGCCAGATGTCCATTTCGCTCCAGCGCGAAAGTTGCATCGTGGAGTTGTCAAGCTCTACAACAACCTCCCCTCACTCCACGAAACCGATATACAAACCTTCGCCATGCTGTCGGCTCTTGGAAACCCGCGGCAAGCTGCTGCGCAGCTCATGAACTTTGCGCTCATCCTCTCTACGGCCTTCATGGTGCGAACGTGTCTTCTTGAGCTCCCGGACGAAAGCTAACCTGTCGCAGATGTGGAAAGGCCTTTCCGTTATCAGCGACTCGCCGTCCCCGATCGTCGTCGTTCTATCTGGCTCTATGGAGCCCGCCTTCCAGCGAGGTGACCTACTCTTCCTCTGGAACCGAAACCTACTACAGGAGACCGAGATTGGCGAGGTTGTCGTTTACAACGTCAAGGACAAGGACATTCCTATCGTGCACCGAGTTGTACGCAAGTTTGGCAAGGGGTATGTTGTTTGTGCAAGAGTTGCGGGCAATGGCTAATGATGTACAGCGACACCGCTCAGCTTCTCACCAAGGGAGATAACAACCTTTCGGACGATACCGAGCTCTACGCCAAGAACCAGGACTACCTCGTACGAAGTGACATTATTGGAAGCGTTGTGGGATACATGCCATTTGTCGGTTACGTGACGATTCTTCTGTCGGAATACCCTTGGCTCAAGACAGTGATGTTGGGAATTATGGGTCTTATGGTGGTTCTACAGCGAGAATAAGTGGTGTATGTGACGGGAAGATCTTGGATATTGTATACAAAACAAGCGTTTGCTTTGTCGCCGAAGTAGCGCCAAGAGACGATTCGATTGATACCCTTTGCATCAAATTCCACAGAGCATATCGGTGATTTCCCGACACAGACGAAGGATCTCAATGGTACGTTTTGGTGCCAAGGCGGTAGAAGCGATGTAACAATGTCACAACATCCGTTGGCCGTCTTGGCCAGGCACTTCACCAAAGCCTAGGAATTAGTTAGTGGGTGAGTACTCCGTATTGCTAGAGATTTACAACCTGGTCTTTCGTTGGGTCCAGTTTGACTGACTCATTGAAAGGGACACACTACAATAGCCCTATAGAATTGGCACCCAGGTTCGGCGATTTCCTCATGCTGTCCCCTGGTCTAATCTTAGCTGCAACTAGACCCATCCCCAAAGCGGCTAACCATGAGATTCTTAACGGCGGCCGCCAAGGATGAAAGGGAAATTTCGCTTTGTTTCTTCTGTTAGTGGGGTCTTCAAAAGATGTTGTTTTCTATTCCCGACAATTCGTGTGTTTACCAGCATCATGATCCGGTTCTCAGCCATGGATGTTTCATGTTCAAAGCAGCCTCGAATGAAGGACCTTAACAAACATGGAGCCAACACCCAACGCAACCGTGGCTCTACAGCAGATTCTGCTCCGGAACCAGAAGAGGCAGCCTTCTGGGTACTAAATTTGTCTCTTGAAATCCCCATTCCGTAGCGCATTCAAACAAATCGCCATTCCCGTAACCGACAAGCCCCTTAGATCACCATCCATGGATCATCACCTCCACTCATCGCGCTACTCCTTGCAGGAAGCCAATTGAACGAGGGACTAACACGATTTTACTCCTTGCAAGTCCCAGGGGCTCTGATCCAACGCCTCAATCTCGAATATTGGCCTGGGGGTTTCACAGCTGGAAGCGAGCTAATCGTTCCTTTTTCTTTTAAATATCAAGTCTGTCTTACCCGCCTTTTCGCACAAGGCTCTTCTTTTTTTGTTTCGCTTCGTTTTCGGTCATTCGTTCGTTAGTTCGCTTTTTACACTCGCTATCACTGTGCGCTACCTTTATTCCCGTGGTTCCAACGCGCCGCGTCCTTCCGTTCATTTTATATTTTAAACCCGTCGTATTTCGCACAATGGCACCTGAATCTTCTACCCAAACGGATCCTGCGCCAGCAGCTTCTCCCGCTGTTCCTCCCAATGCGCAACATGCTCCTCAGACGTACGCCCAGCAACAACAGCAGCAACCTGGCTTTCAGCAAGACCCTCGCAGTTATGGGCCCCCTTACGCGCCGTACCCGCAACAGCCTGCCCAACAGCAATGGACACCCCCCCAGGTCCCTGAGTCTAAGGCCTGGATGATCACCAAGCTCACACTCCACGGGATCGATATCGTTTGCTGTATTGTTGGACTGGGTCTTACGGGCGCGCTCAGAAGTACTGAGACACTGGGTCTGATCGCGCTCGGTGCTTGTCCACTTGTACGGCTCTCTCAACCCCTTGACTAGATGGCATGTACTGACACTCTCTAGTTCGTCGTAGCAATGGTCTGGGATATCGCAGAATTGGCTACTCGTTTCGGTCGCAAATGGAAGGCCGGTATTCATCCTGGCGCCCATGTCGCCATCTCCCTCTTCATCTGGCTTGGTGCCGCTATCGTCGGTGGTCTCGAGAGCACTTTTAGCGCATACTATAATGAGTTCGATTACCTCGACGAAAACTGCGAATACAATTCTGAACAAGGACGTTACATTTGCACAAGCAGCGACAAAGTTGGCAGCAAACGCACGCTATTTATTGCCCTGTCAGTGTTTACGTGCCTCATCTGGCTCTGGCACTTCATCCTATTCGTCGGCGCCTGTATCGATACCCAGAAGCGAAACGCCGCGATGAGACGACCTGTTACAATGGTCTTTGGTGGACCGGCTTACTGGGGCCCGGGAGCGCAAGGTTTCCAGCAGGTGCCTCAGTATTACGGACCTCCTCAAGGACAGAATATCCCCATGCAGAACTGGGCACCACCACAAATGGGAAATGGCAAGGAATCTATGGCAGCAACTCAGCCTGCGGCTGAGCGCTATGCTTGAGACGCTGGAGGTTATTAGATCTGAGACTAATGGGAAGAATAATGTAGACTAGGTTAAATGATACAGAGATGAACCAAAAAAGACGAAGACTTTTATCGGCTTTGCATTTCTTTCCCTGGGGTATCCTGAAGTTTTCCAGAGCTCCCAGTCTCATAAGAGGACCGACGACTGTCGAATTCTGTGCTTACTAATAAACTCGTTTGGTTGCCTAGGCCAAGGGGCGATCAGTTGGCCCCTGGTGTGAATCCTGGCGCGATGCCGACCTTCATTTCTCTAATCACCTGCCCGTTGAAAACTTGAACACCTGTCATTCATAGATGGTTAGTATCTGCAGAGCAGAGTACCAATTCGCGGGTCTCGGCGCGGACGGCAGCGTGAAAGCTGGATAGTGTAATTAGAGGCAAGACTCACATTTCATATTCAAGCCGTCGATGATCAAGACCAATTCATAAGGGAACTTCTAGTACCAATATCTCCTGCAACGGCCACGAGGGCCCTGTGCTTGAGCAGTCTTATGCAGGAACCGTGGACGGAGATGTGTGACGTCTGTCACTATAACACCAATCCTCTGAGCATCTAACTTGGTTAATTGAGGCTGGCTGGGCCATGTCTCAGGGGCCATACCTTTGTTATGATCATCTCTGAAACTGCGACAGTCTAGATAGGCTTCATCGGATACCCAGATCTCCTCTTGGCAAATGAACGGCCCGTGATTTACTGTACCATCAGCATTCCAGTAAGGGAAAGTTTGGTAGCGCGTCGCAGACTTCTGGAACAAAGGAGCAATATCATCGCCCTAGATGTATTTATCAGTAATTATTTCTTGGCGTGGTGCAGAAATCAAAGACCGACCTTTTTCGAAATCGATTCTATGGCCTCCACGTAGTGTTCATTCGAGTTTTGGAAGCCCGGAATAGTCGGCTGTCCTGCATGCAACTCGTGGAAGTAAGGCTCATCGCAGCGAACACCATAGCTTGATCTTGCAACCCTAGTCGGACCGTTCGATTTGTCAAGTGCCCTTAAGACACCTCCCAAGGAAACGGCATCAATTGCCGTCATGCTGCAATTGTTATGAGTTTCCAGCTACAAGATAACTGACTGAAACTGACCGATTATGTGTGTCGAAGAGATATAGCTCTACATTGCAGTTGTTGGCAGCGTTGAAACTCTCGAGACTTTGACGGAGATGAGTTCATAGAGGAATCGATTCTCCGAATCCACCCGTCAGGATGACTTTCTGCTTGCTGTTAGGTCATTCTTTACGATTAGCATTGGAAATACCCACACAAACTTTCAGGCCACTCTGGGCCGCTGCGTGCAACTGCTGTTCCATAATGGCAGAAACCTTTTCGCAGACCTTTGTGTAAATCTCATTGAGGTGCTCACTATTGTTATATTAGACCCAAACCATACTATGACTATATTATGCATGAATAGTGCGGTACTTACGATCGGATTGTCAACTGGTTGGGCTGCCTCAGTCGAGGGTTCTCAGCTTGGTTGGGATCCCCAGCGTCAAACTTAAGCCCAATGACCTCAAGACTATAGTCTTTGCTATGCTCAGAGACGACCCATCCGGCCTTGATCAAGTGCTCGAAGTCATGAACGGCGAGCTTAAAGATGTAGCCCTCTAGTGTTACCCCGTCTTGGCTCAAGTAGTCGTGGCCTGCGAGTAAAGTTCTTAGCAGCTGCCGGAATGCATCGTTCAGTGCATTGGAGCCACATGAATCGCCTGTCAAGAACAGTCAGAACGGCCCACTAAAGGACAAAGCCACTCACCGCTATGATGCACGGCCTGCCTGGACAGCCTGAGAGGCAATCCTTGAGTGACAACATACGTCAAGGCATCACACGTCCCTCCTCCGGCGTCGAGGATCGTGAAAACATCCCCTTCCTATTACTGGTCAGCTGGGATGATGCTGTATGAAGGCGAAAATTTGCTTACTTTGATGACAGAGGGGCCGGCGAGTAGCCGTGTCGCTGCAGCTTCTGGCTCTGATATCATGAATATGTTCTCCATACAATCGTCGCTGAATTTAACTCCAGGAAAATCGACCCGCTTCATGGCTATACTCACACAAGTTTGCATGTCTCTAAGGGCTTGCTGATTCCAGAATACTGGCACGCAAATGACCATCTCTATAGTAGAAATAGATTTGCTCCCTACGATCTCATCTTTGGCATGGGCGAGCAATTTCATCAGGTAGTCGATGATGACTAAGAGAAGCATCTCTCGAATGGGAATCTCGCTTGGACAAGACCTCTTCTGAGCTAGTCGACGGAGTGTTTCAATAAGACGTGCGTTCTGCATCTGATGGTTGTCTGACTGGCTCATAAGATTCTTGAAGCCGTGTAGAAGCATCTGATTATTGTCAGAATGTGACATGACTCTCGACATGTCTTGCTGGACTTCCAAGCCCCAGCGTATCTGGTGATTGTCATGGCGGATAGCGCCAGGTTGCTCTACTTTGAGTTCGTCGAGGGGTTGGAAGACCCAGTCAACGGGATACCGGAGCAAGGTTGGCACTTCCAAGTGCATCGAACTTCCTCTACAAGTCATCATCCCAGAGACATAGTTTGACACTGTTGTGGGCGACAAAGTAGTGACGCTTTCTGACAGGAGTCCCTCGTGTACCAAAGTATGAGAAACCGACGAGTTCGTCTCGCCGAAGTCGACAGCCATGACAAGCTTTTCAGCACCCTGTGGAGACATTGTGGTAATAGGTGAGGGAAGAAAGTAGTTTGACTAGAGGTAGAAAAGATTGAGGTTTTTCTAAACTCAACCATCAAGGATAACTACTTCACGGCGACCACTATCTCGCATGTGGTGGTACAAAGGGGTGAATGCTCCTTTAGGTACGTAGCTTTGCAAGTATACAAACAAGAGGAAAACAAACGGCTTGCCTTGTTGTCAGACTCTTGGCGCCTAATTGCCTACTTTAATCAACTGAATTGACTGTTTGCTCTTTTAGGGTGGTTTCAGTACATATGCAGATGTCCGAGAAGTCCATGACGCTCAAGGTACTAGGCAGTTACCTATATCAGAAGGTGATCATCACAATAACAACCTGGTCTTAAAGTATCAGCAGGTCACTGAAAACATTAACAGCCCGTCAGCTATCTACTAAAGTTACAGGGCTCTAGCCTGGTCAGCAGAATCTATTATTGACGGCCTGTGATGCAACCAGCTTTCGGCAGGTCACTTATAGAGCCACCTGTCTGAGCACCGTGACCCACGTACGTGCCTTGTGATAAATATCAATCTGATACAACCTCCCTCAACAGCAGTAGGTCGTCTGGCCAGTGGTCTATCAGCGTAACTCATTAATCTCTCGGCCTTAAGCCTACAGGCTTCACTGCAGCCTTGACTTGTTGAAAGAAATGAGGCCTTGAAAAGAGAGGATCTTGCGATATCTCTTTTTTTGCTAAGGACCTTGAGCACCCCTGCAAGCCACTTTGGGCTACTTTGGCAGGCTGCCGAGCTAGGTTGCTACAGCTGTTGGATTGAACAGATTTAGACCGGGTGATGGGATCAGGCTGGTTGACTGGAATCAGAAAGGTCAGTTGTATCAGGATACGACATTTGGGGGAAAAAAAAAGAAAAAAAAAAGAGGCTTACATATAGGCTATTGCAAGCCTGTTTAGATTAAGCACCTGCCTTAAACTGTCTGTCGTCGCCCTGTCTAGAGCCTTGTCTAGAAACTGGAGTGGCGCGAAAACGTACATACTTCCATACCTGTCAAACAAAGAAACCCGCCACTCGCACTTTGATTGCCAACAAAGAAACCCGACACTCGGACTTACCAACAAAGCCGACAACAGAGTCAAAAGATTTGTTTCAAACTTCGCGTTTACAACTTACCAACCTACCTAATACCCTGAATGCCATTCATTACCATGGATCCAAATGCCCAGCGCAGTCCAAAAAGGCCCAGCGCAGGCCCGTACAAGTTAAGAAAAAGGATCAAGACAATACAGTATGCAGATAACCCTCCGAGGCGGGGACCCAAGAAGAAGCTCGCGCCTGGCGGAAGACAACAAAAGCAGCAGAGGATCTGGGAACATCAAGAGACCTGCCAACTTTTGGCTCATTTCCAATGGAGCTTCAGCAACGGAGTTGATTTCTGGAGTGTCGCGTTTCCAAAGTTTCAAGACACTGTCCAACCAACATTCACCGATGATCAGGCTGAGAAGCAGCTGAAGCATCTATCGACCCGGCATGGCCAGATGGAAGGCGACAATGACTATGAGAACTTGCTCGAATTTGGCCTCGAGTCGTTGAACCTACCAGAGGAGACATCAAGAGATGTTGATCAGTTCTTCAACCGTATACCCGACATCAACGCTGCCCGGTCTGAAGTTGGCGGTGCACTTGTGAAATGGTGTACTAAGAGGCTCTTGGTGAGTTTCATGGTCTCTCCGGAGAAATTGAAGGCTGTGAGTACGACCATGTCAAGTCACCTGCCACTTATCTCTCATCTCGTGCTGACTGATATGCTGCTATAGATATTGCCAGACGAAGAGAAAGACCAAAGTGTGGGCCAAGCTGACGAAGACTCCTCCGCTGAACCCACTCAACCCACTGAAGTGCAACAACCATCTCACGGTTCATCGCACCTCAGTTCGGCAGACCAAAATGCCGACAGCCCGTCCCCCAAGAGGGCTGAAACAACCGTCGAGAAACGTTCCGCCGATTACCCATCGCCTGATGGAAGAGAGATCTGGGAGATCGAAACCCTGCTCCTTGCGTCAGAGATCGAAAAAGAGCGACTCAAGAGAGAGCTAGATGCTGTGGTGAAGTACAAACCCGACGCCCGCGTGCAACACATCCTCGAGCAAAAGCTGGATTATACGGTCAGAAGGGTCTACAGCAGTAGATTTTTCAACGTCGAAATTCCAGGTATGAACGGGGAAAAGATTTCAAGGCTGTACATGATGGTGTTTCGGAACATACAAAATGCATGTTTCGGAGTATGCCGGGATCATCCAGAAGCACTGGAGGAACAAACCATGCACAGCGATCTCGCGGAGTCTTGGGCGCTAATGGCCTTTGGGCAAGGACTCAAAGATTGCATTCCTCGACTTAAAGATTCCAGGAATTTCAAAGGCGAGTTGCTCCTAGGACTATTAGCTTCAGCAGTCATTGAAATGGTATTCGAGCCAGCCTTCCCAGCATTCATTCACCCACCAAACCCCATTGCAGAAGCCTATCGGCAGATTATTATGGATGTTGGTAAGTGAACTGAGGATCGAGCGAGGAAATGACTAACATGATCCAGCTGGAGTCAATGAGCTTCATCGAGCAGATTGCATTGTCCTCCCACAAGTGACCGACAATAGCAGGGCTGAAATTATCCAGAGAAAGGTCAAAGAACTAGAACGTATACTTTACAAGCACTTGGACTCTTTCTGGGCATTTCCAGACAACGACAATGATAACGTCGAAGAAGTGCTCAGGAAAAAGATCAATTTCGGTTCCTTTCTCGCGCCGGCGCTGGAGTTGAAGCTGGATCTCATAACAACTGCCACACGGCTCAAGTTCTTCTACTACGAGTCAGATGAGCCCTTTGATGAGGAGTATATGGAGCGTTGCCCATTTTCAGACCGTGAGAGAAACATCATCAAAGGCTGCTTGTTCCCTCTTCTCTTGTGGCCCCGGGCTCGAGAGGAAACGGCAACTTCAAGTGACTACGTCCTCGAGCACAATACCAAATACAGCATGTACTTCACGCGACTAACAGAGGGGAGTCATCGTGATCTGGAAGTGGCGACTAAGGCAATCGTGCTGACGTAGGGTAGGATGGGGGAGACGCAGCAGTTGAGAGGGTCTGATGGGAAGTTGTTCTTATACATTGGACGAAATTTGAGGCTAACCTATCAGCCTTCCTAAGAGCACGCCCTGTCCAATTGATTGGGTGTTCTCGTCATGAGTCCGACTAGCCACACTTTCACGCTCAGGTGCAGGAACAGCATGAGACGTTAAATTACCAAAAGAGTTGTGCCAATAAGAGCCAAAAAGGCTGTCATCTGTGGTGTGACCTTGGTCCTGAAGCATAAAACCTTATGCGTAGGCTTCGATTTCGATTTGTCAAGGGGCATCTGCGCGTTGATATCCACATCCTTACTTGCCCAAAGAAACTCATTCCTGTAGTGTCTCATTTGGCTTTTCACAAGCGTTGTTCGAAAATATAAAGTTAGACTATGTATTGGACGGCGATGTGAAGGTTATTTCCAAGCCAATGAGGGATTGGCAGTTCCCGAACAATGTTATGACTTTATACACTCCAGTGAGTCATGGCACGAAACATCGAGCTCAAGTCGTCAGATGAGAGGCCACTGGAGGCAAAAATGCTCAGAAACTTTATCCTGGATGCCAAAAAAACAGGGGCAGATCTAGTAGGCCATGTACTACTCATGTTAAGCATCTTGCTTTAAAGCTAGAAGCTCGATCAGACTTTGACGGAGGTCCCTACAAAGTGACTGATGTGGGTTGATCAACTTTAATCCGTCCTCTATCTAAGTCCCCCCCCCCCTCCCCCTTGTGAAACTGGATGTTTTTCTCTTCGGTAAAATCTCGACTCACTATTCTGTATATCACCATCCTGTTCTGTCACGTTTCGATTTTACTTTTAATTTACCACCATGACTACCGAACGCCAACTGGGCAAATGGTGCCGATTTCATTTCGAAACCGGGACGATCAGTATCCCTAGCATTTTTATCACAAACACCGGAAACCTCCGTTCCCTATTTAAAGAAAAAGATGAATACGAGATGAAAGATGTAGACGCGTCAACTGGGCATGTCTTTGCGGACTACATATTGTCCCGCAGATATGACGTCGACTACGAGACCGCAGCACGAGACGAGAGAATGGCTTTGAGAGAGTATATGATTGCGCTAAAGGCCTGGGCTATGGGACGCCGATATAACCTCTATGGTCTGGTTGTACTGGCCAGAGAACATGCCATCGACTTGGCTGAGCTTGTGAACCCTATCTGGGTACTCGAGGTGACAGTTGATACTCCCTTGGCGATGAAACACATCACCGGTATCATCCACCGAATCGACGACTTCACTTGGGATGTCTTGGAGACCATAACAAAACGGCAGGCGACAGACATTCTCTTGCACATGCAACCTCCAGATACAGTGGGTCGGCTGTGGGTGATGCTCCAGTTCATGCAGAAAGCCCAGGGACCGGCTCTACTACGAAGCCAGCGTCTGGTTGCCCAGACCCTTCCAACCCTTCTGCCAGGTGTAACAGAATACTTGCAGTTGCGCCAGGAATTGATGCGAGCAAGGGAGGGTATAAATTCTGAAGATGATACTCCCTTCGAGGAGGATGTCGATAAGTACGTTGAAATTCCTTTTAATCACTTCATTCCAAGTGCCAAGATCAAGTGTGGAAAGATCATGCGGGCCATGGTCGGAAGCATCAACAGTAGCCGAAACATCGGTACCCGCAATAAGGAGAAGCCGTCCAAGAGGGACAAGTATATTTTTACAGTCCGTTCTATTTCATCAGATCATCTTGAAGATGATGAAAGTACAACAAGTCTCCTTCAAGCATGAAACTCTCAGCATCTCACTTCAGACGAGAGTACATGCAACTGGAACTGTTTCCACCCCTTCTCACATTTGGGAGTGAGAAAAGGGGTATAGGATGGGTGTCTACATCGGGCAGCACTCATACCTTCTTCTGGGTCGACTACTACATCACACATGCATACACACCTCTCCATCAACCTTGATGCACATTACGACTAAGCTTGGCAGCCATCAGATTTGGAGCCAGAGGCTAAACAAGAGTCAATATATTTCAGGTCTTTCTACCCTTCTCCACCACCACATCAGAGATCGCCATGCAGCAACTCGGTCACAAAAAGATAACAAGTCAACCTCGTGCTTCGGGGCGATGTATCACACGCACCAAACAACAATACTTATCTTTCAACATAAATTGTTGGAAATATTCTATACCAATTGAGTACATGGTTATCACCTCATGGAAGACGAATTGCATGGCACATGTTTTCATGGATATTAGTGCGAGTGTTATTGGATTCTTGTTTACTAGCATGTCAGACATTATCATAATGATACACATGATTGGTCGTCTGAGATCTTTGTTGTACTGCATATGAAAACGATTGTAAAGTGATCGTGATAACCAACTCGGAATGCTTAAAATTGCCATATCTTGGTCTCAAGTGAATCCTCAAGCCAGTAAAACGAACAGTCGAAGAATTAATCAGACTCACTTCGTTGTGTGAGGCTGGCGTCTGCATGTTGTGACACCAGCACTGCGAGGCAGAGTTGAGCAGCCTTATTAAACCAAGTCTCTTACCAGAGCTCCACCAGCGCTAGGACCAGGCGCTGAACATCAAAAGGCTCCCGGGATCTGCCTCTTCCAATTCAGCAACTCTGTCCTTCAATCTTTGCTTTTTCTTCGCTAATGCTTTTCTCAACCGTTGCGTCAACCGACGACAATTCGACGCAAAATGGCTGGATATTGGGGCCCCAAACCCACACACTCGTGAGTATTTGCTTCAATGAAGGGAAATCTGACTGAACACGCGAACAGGCCTTATGCGAGTGGTCCTTGTGCTGTTTACTTCGCAAGCGCGGGCCTTCTGCACATCCCCCGCTCACTCCTCAATGAGAATATGAAGCAGGCTGCACAGTTCCGAGATGACGATTCTTCTCATCCTCTGTACGAGCTGTGGCTAGACAACATCAAACTCGATGCAGGTCATGTCATCATTCACTATCTCATCACCGGTACCTACCAGTGCCTCCAGCCACAGGAGGAAGAAGAAGAGAAGAAGTTTGCAGCGGAACTCGCGACTGCTATTCGTGTCTACGTCGCTGCTGACAGTCTGTCCTTGCCCGCACTCCGTGAGATGGCCAGAGGGGAGATCTTTCGCCTCGGCGAGTGGCTCAGTCTCCCTGCCCTGATCAAAGTCATGGAAGAAGCTGCCCTGTCATTTGATGCGTACCCTGGAATCGCTACCTATGTCGAATCGCGAGTTTTGTCTTACTCCCAGGACGAAGTCATCCATGGCTCACACAAGGCCGATGAGACACTGGATGCGCTGGGTGCACCGGATTCTTTGAGCAAGGTATTACTACGAAGCGTCTTGCTCGCCAAGGCCTCTGAAGACCGCCAGAAGAAGGAGCCAAACTACCGACTGTCCACGGTGGGATATGCTGCGCTCGAACTGCGTCCGATCGAAGAAGGCATGGAACGAGCCGAGAAGAGAGCGCTCAGAAACGCTGAAGCTGCTTATGAGGAACAAGAACTTGGTCCGCTGATGGAGAAAAAGAAGAAAGGAGGACTCAAGCACGAGGAGTGGGCGCGGGTTCTGACCTTTCAGCGCAATGCTATAAAGAGAGCTGAGGAAGAGTCAATGGAGAGAGCGATGGACGCCCAGCGTTGGCTTGAAGGCAACAAGTCGACCGCCCCACATCCTATTCCTAAGGAGGGTAAGTAACCTGTTTCCAAGTCCTTGAATAGATCACGGCGCTGCATCTTCAAGGTCAATATTAATAGCCACAGATGCCAAGATTCGCAGGCTCGTATCCGAATCGTTCCGAGCGCTACACGAAGCTTGCGGGATCTCGCCTGACGAGCTGGCTGAACATTACGACAATGAGACCAACAGCGATTGCACTTGGACTAATCAGCTCACACCTGGCTCCAGCCAGGGTTCATCAGTGCACAAAGTATCCTCCTGGTGGTGATAGGGCTTCCAGGAAACGCAGGATTGCGGAAGGAATGGGGCATTCAAGATTGATGGGGTAGCATATGGAGATCAACAGACTACTTTCGGAGGTATGAAAGGCTAAATCGGATTACATCAAATGTCCACTCGTTCACAGCTCGCTTGCTATCGTGACTGTCGCGACTCTGGTCCACTTGTCCCTTGCACCGTGACTCGCACCGAACGACTTGCAAAAGATTCGGCGAGAACAAACAAATACCTCACGTCAAGGCATAACAGAGCGAGAGCATGGAAAAATCAGAGAATTTAATATTGCAAAGAACAGGACGATCTTAGACGATCTTGATTTAATTGTGTTGTGATTTTGCTGCTGAGGGTGTGGTAACGACGTTGATTTAATTACTAATCCAATGGATCATGTCTAGCTGTGATGCCGAACTAGACACGTGACCGTCACCTCCCACGGGTCACCATCCAGGCGGCAAAAGATACAGCTTGCACTTGATAATTAAAGTCCCAGAAATGCGAGAATGACTACTCAGGTACCATACCCAGAATACTCCTTCTAGAATAAGGACGTAGAGCCTGGGCTGGCTTATCGCAAGGTGGCGCGCAAGCTGTGGATCTTTGCACAGACTTGACCTAGGTACTTAACGAAGAAGGTTTGTGTGAAAGGCGGTTCTCAGTAAGCGAGAGCACACCGAAGAGCACAATAATTTATTTCTCTTGCATCAAATAAACTCATGCCTTACAAGAAGGTATGCGGCGTGATGCGAAAACTGTAATTGTGTGCTTTTAACCTTGTTGGGCGCCACCTGAATTTTACTTTCACAGCCTTACTTTACCTCGAGTGACCAAAGGTTTTCTAAAATTTGAACAGTCAACCTTTTGAAAGAGTCAAGTCAGTGAAGGCGTCTCAGTTTATTGCGTGGCGGTTCATGATTTGTTCTCCTAGGTTAAACAACCTTTGTGAGCTGGAGATCACATTATGATGAGAAAGGTAGCCAATGGCGTCGCAGAACTTTAAAATAAAGTCAAAAAGTAAGAGGAGAGTCAAAACATTAACGTCTAGGTATTTATGCCCTGTCTTGTCCGGTCAAAAAGCAGGATCTCCCCTGTTCTCCTCTCATCCACATCACGCCAAACCACGTTAACAAACTCGCCCACAAAACGATAACACTAAGTTTACTTGATAATGGCAGCGTCGATGTCTGCGAGTTGGTGGAGCGGTGCAAACCACCTAGTCGCCATCGAATTTCAGGGACGAAAAACATTCCATGTCGAATTGACTAAGCTCGAGAAGTACCCTCAGCTTTACATGCAGATCACTTCTCCCGCACCATCGTACATCTACGGCCACGTCCACAATGGCATGGGATTTTCCTACCACCAGGATCTCGGACCTTTGTACCTCGACCTGCACACTGTGCCCCAAGGTGCCGGACACATGCTGTGGGATTACTTGTCAGCCGGAACGTTTACTCCCCTCCAGGGCAATCCCTCCGACAAGAAGCAAGAAGAATATTTCAAAAGTATTGTTCACGTGTATGCTGTGGCAGACGAGTTCAGCATAGAGGGCCTCAAGTCGGACACGGCGAAGGAGATCTTCCGCAAGGCTCAAGAAATGGGTCTGATAGAACTAGTCAAGCTCCTTGAAGAAGCGAACTATCGTTCTGACTCATTCCCAAAGTTGTCCGAGTACTTGGAGAAGCGGCTGGTTGGTTCCGCTTTGGATTACGTTGAGGGAGATAGCCAAAAGGCCTTCGCCGAACTAAGGGCCCAACCATCACTCTCAGTTGCTCAGATGCTCTTGAAAGCAATCATGGAGATTAGCGACGTCGGGTGCAGGTTGGGTAAGCAGCACTCCATGCTAGTTGAGGTCGATAGAAGGAGGGTTGCCGGGAGAATGGCTGCTTCCGAGGTCATTGGCTGGAAAGAGTCGAAGTATCCTAGAACGATGTGGGTGAAACCGAAGAGTGAGACCGCGGGAGCGAGCAAGTTAGTTGGTAGCCGATTCTTCGGTCCCGCGGCCAAGGGAGAGGACAGAAGCGGGATAAAAGACTATCTCGGACGGCCAATGCAGCGAACGGCCGTGCCCGAGCCAACTTTCTATTCTCCCAGCGAGCCCGCGTTTATTCCTCCTTCGATGTTTCTTCCTTCTCTGGCTCATGGAACTGGAAGCAATGAAGCTGTGCTACTCCCGGCATTCGGGGATACACCGAGGACTTTGAGATATGAAGACTTCTCCTCCACTTCTCGCAGGGCAAAGACACTATCAGAGATAGACAGGGAATGGCAAATGGAGGTCATACGCCAAGAGCAGAAGCTTCGACAACCCAGCCATCTAGTTCGACAACGAATGGCCAAGATGGGCTTTGAGGAGCCCGAGTCGCAGATGGAACATGATGCACCGAGCAAGAGTCCGCTTCCAAGCTCTTCAACCACATCTGGGGGTTTCTCGTCGGAAACAGCTACGGACACCGAGAAGGATATTCTAGACGAAGCTACAAAACCTTGCGATCGGCCAGTGACACCAATCGGATCCGAGCTCAATCTACCCGAGTACATGGTGCCCTCATTTGACGCGCCTTTGCAATCCTTTACATCTTCTCCGGATACCTTGGAAGGTGACCCTGTTGAAGTCGAAGGCCCCATGAATTGGGATACGGGTTTATCTGAATATGAATACATTCCTAGTGATGTTTCTTGAACTTTGGCTGAGATATGTGACTGGAAAGACGGATATACAGATTGAGTTGGATGAATGGAGAAGGTGGAATCAGGGCACACAGTGGAATAGGTATTAGAGTTTGGAGTTTTTGGATTGATATATTTTCTGTAAGAATTGCCCGCGGCCTATTCTTGTGGCTCTTGTGGCTGTTGATCTCTTATGTCTTGGATTGCCTATCAAGATTTTGCTTTCATTGAGGAGTACAGTTGTGGTGGATATAATATGGTCTGAAAATAAAAATACAAAAGTCTTGGTCACAATGAACTACCCCTTGAAGTGACTGGCGGACGAGCCTTGAATGATAATTTTAAAAATTATATCAGGGTTCAAAAACATAAGCATCAATAATTATGCGTCAGGAGATTCTGTGCCTTCTTGGGTGATGTAGGGCGAGGAACCGTGGTGAAACCTATTTCCGCATGAAGCCAAATGCCACTGACTGTCTTTGATATGAAAGGGAAAAGATTTCAGTAAAGCCTACTTGTCCTCAGTGACCTTCATTCGTAGTTGAGACCTGTGGCTCCTGATAAACTTCAGATTCTTCTTCCAGCCCCACTACTGAATGTAAAGATTGCGAGGGTGACGAAGCTTGACGCCCCAACACAATGGCAAATAACACACATGCTTCTGACCCCGCAAGATATCGAATCTGCTGGAAAGGTCAGAGCATTCAGTGGGTGCTTGAGCTTCAGATACTCGTGCGTGGCTTCGTGTTTCAAAGTCTTTTGGGGCGCATAGTTCACTAGAGGTGGGTGTCAACAATCATGATCACCACGCTCACGATGCGATTGGGTGTTCATATAATTTTAAGTAAGAGATAGTTTCTATTACGTTGGTATCTTAGGCTTCTATCACTGATGAGGGAAACCTTGTCGAACATATAAATTCCACAAAACGCCTCGGTCAATGCCCTCGCAATTCCCCTCTTTCCATCATCTCCATTTTCTTACTCAGTTCGATGGGTAATAATCCGAGCACCATGTCACAAGATCCGACCGTTCAGTTTGTCACGTCGTAAGTATAGTCGACTGACATGCATCTTTCCAAACTAACAAATATCTAGGCCCTATGCGGGCATCTTTGTCCAGGTTCTGTTGAAGGGAAAGTCGATTACGCGAATCCACAAAGGAGTCGTCCCAGCCAATGTTCTGTCCAGCAGGAGTACGCAAGAACCTGCACCCAAGTCGGCTACGCCGATCTTGGATATGCAGGACCTTGGGAGTGACACAGCCCACGTAGTCATCCATTTCTTTTACACCAAGCAGTATGATTGCATCAAACCCACGGGCGTCTCTAGCGATTCAGCGAAAGGCTATGAGCTCAAGGTGTCACTACAAGTCATTGAAGCCGCTACAAAGATGGAACTGCCTGCTTTGGTAAGTCTGGCAAAGTCAGAATGCGCGCGTCTCTGTAAAGAATTGGACCTCTTGAATCTCGTTGCCATCTTGGGAAAGTTGAGTTTCGACTACACAAAGTTCCCCGAAATTCAGCACCATGTCGCATATCACCTTGAAAAGGTGCTTGCGAACCCTCGCAGTCAATCTGCGACTGACCTCCTGAGTCGGGCTACTACAAACAGCATCACAGACATGCTTGTTCGAAAATTGGTCGTGACGGCCCGAAAGGAGCAGACAAGCGAAGCGAAAGCGAAGACTAGACCCGAGGATAAAGTCCCAGGCGTGCTCATCTGTGAATCGAGACCACAGCCCCCTTTCCAGGATTCTGTCACTGCAAAACCTCAATTGTCGCACGAACATCGAACTAAACAGTTTCAAAAAACTCTTAAGAAACTGCAGTCCGATGATAAAGGGAAGGGACGAGATGACTCCGAGCCGGCAGAAAAGGCCTTGGAGATTTCCCCGCCAACAACTTCAAACCAGGACTCTCGTCTTGCAAAGGGGCAAGAGGAAGCTGATTCTGGGCCTTCAAGATTGAGAGACAGACCTAGTCCATTTTCAAACCCCTTCAGCGGGGTTGAGACGGTTCCTAGCGCTATAAAGAAGTCAGACGCCCCTCAACGTCGAGGTTCCTTGTCAAAGCCAGGTAAGTGAATATATAATCCCTTTGATGCTGCTACGAATTGCCGACAGCTAGCTAATCGTTCACCAGCTGAGGCAGTCTCAACCTTTCATCCCAGTTGGAACAGGATCATGGACGACAGATTGAAGGTCATTGAGGCTAAAATGGAGGCTAAAAGATCAGAGTCTACCCGCATTGATTCCGAAAGTGGAGGAGTAATTGTGAACTCCGAGCCTCATCCTACGATGAAGCCAAGTCCGAGTAATCCCACTGGACTTGAGAATTCCATCGCAAAGATGAAGGACTTTATTGGTAAGCCAATACATAATCCAATTGACTCCACGATGTTTTGCTTGCAGCTAGCTAATCGTTCAGTGGCTGAGACAACGTCGGCTGTTGACTGGGAGCTACCCAAATTCGCGGCCGAGAAATTCGAAAAGCCAGAGAGTGAACGACAAGATTCTACCCCCGTTGATTCCGACAGTGAGGGAGTGCTTGTCGAGTTGGAGCCTCAACCTACTATGACACCAAGTCCGACTGCTTCGGATAACTCAGCCATGAGACGTTTCCTTGTGTTCGACAGCATGTAAGAACACTTTCTACTAGTGACCAGTCTATATGTTTGAGCAGTGATGGACGTTGAGTATACTGGTCAGAGGATCAATTGACCCCAGATCCTAAGGTGCAGGATAGTTCCTAGTTATGGCAACGCATTACAGTGGAAATAAACACCCCCTTTACCCTCAGTTAGTTTGCAGAATGGAAAATACACGATATAGCTTGACCTTGATGCCATTCATTAAACCTTGTGAAATGAGAGATCGAGAGCATGTGCATAAGAAACAAAATTAGTTAGTCAAAATCTTATCAAAGTTTGTTTCGGCTGCCTTGCATGTCGTTTGGGGAATGGCGAAGGTAAAGGCACCGCTTAGCTTATGCCAGCAGCAATCATCAAGGCTCTCAATTTGCCAATATCTCGGCTGATCAGGTGGCGTTACTGGGCTTCACTCTTGCCTGTGAAGGCAATTTGTACTTCAGCGACTTCTTGAGACCAATCAAGTCATTCTCTAAAAGGCTTAATAGGGTTAATGGTAATAGGAATCCCAAGGATGAATGAAAATGGGAGACTTTGGTCTCGGTAGATAGAAGTCCGACACCAGCATTTGGCCAGTTGACAGCTGCATTTCAAAATCACCTATTTGTCCCTAATCGGAGGTCTTCAATGTGATTCCAATTGCCGGACAGCATGGGCGCCACAGGACCTATCTACTGAGGTAGTTATCACTGGGTGATGCGAGAGGCCGACCAGGACGCGTCATAGATACAACACCACACACGTCAAGAATGTTACTATTAGCAGAGAAGGCCTCTTTTTCCCCCCTCGTTCTGTTTCTTTGGCATTCATCTGCATCGTCCGGAACCAGACAAGTAGAAGTCATGGATCGAGGCGATACGAAGCCCCCGGAAAAGTCGTACGTGCTCTACCCTATAAATAAATTATCCGAGAGACTAACAAGGTCAAACCAGTACACCGGGGATATTTGTCACATCCTCTCCCGATCCCAAGGGCCCCTTCTGATCCCTAGAACGATCCTCAAAAAATGCCCCAAACTTGCCACGCGACTGGACAAGAAACACATCTTCTCCAAACCACTCGACACTGTCGATATCGAAAACTACCCGTTCTCAGTTGGGCACATAATCATTCATTATCTGATCACCGATAAGTATCAGTGCATCAAACCCGAAGGACAAACGGAAGACGATCGAAGCTGCTCAGAGTTTGCAACGGCCTTTCGTGCTCATGCTGCCGCTGTCGATCTGGAGCTCCCAAGTCTTCAACTCTTCGCATCTTCTGAGATGGGGAGACTAGAATGGAAAATGAGTTTAGTCTTGATAACGCGGACATTGAACAACACCTGACTACCACTCGATCTGTATTCGAAAATTACGGCAAACTTCGTATCGTATGTCATAAGATTATCGGCATCTCCCTCAGAGAAATGCAAAGAGAAATGTAGAGACGAAATGATGAATCAGCTTGGTGTTCCAGAGAATGTTGCTATGGTGCTGGTCAAATGCTTCCTTCAGTCCAAAGGCATTGGGTTTACTCAAAACCACACCAACGAGACTGGCTTGGGGGATGAGAAAGCCTTAGATACAAGTCAGCTCGCGCAGGAAGAACGTGAGCTTCTGACAATACTACAGACTTTCGATAAGGAGAGCTCTCAGATAAATCAAACGACTTTTGAGACTGGCGTTCGACAGAAGATGGCCAGGGAAACACTCGCCAGGGCCATTCTTGAGACTTGGGAAGCCGGTGGTGGAAGCCTATCGTCTCTACAACACGCTCGTCTTCAAGAACTCCAAAACGTTTCTGCCAAGCTTTCCGAAGACCTGCAAACTTGCAGAACGGATTTGGCAGCCTCAAAAAAGCGCTCGCAGGAGTTGAGAATAGAAGGAAAGGCTCTTGTGGAGAGGTTGACCTTGGAGCACGAGATACAAAGCATTCTTGAACACCAAAGGCGACAAAATGGATTCTTATATCTGAGTGACCGACTTCGATTGAGGTCTGCGCAGGCTCGTAGCAACGATCTCAGTGCGGCGGTTTCTGTTGATCCTCTGGTCAATCCGAATGCCAAAGGCCCCAAGCTGATTAGTCCTGACCAGAAAGACGAGGACCAGTCTGATGATGGTGAGTGAGTGACTTGAGCATACGGAATGATTTAACGTTCCTGCAGATGGTCCCCCGACTCCAGCCTGCCCGACGTGTAACGAAAGAGACCATTATTCATCTAATGTAAGGGTAGCTAAAGCTATGCTGGAGAAAGTTGGTGCATGCGCGCGTGAGTTCGATATGAGTAAGAATCGAAAGGCGCCAGAGAGAATTGTACACAGCTAATATATATAATAGAGGATTTCAATTCTGAGGACTAAAAGTATGTCTGGGCAGATTACGCCTGGTTCGACCTTGAGTATCGAACCAGAGTTTTATAAAAGTTATGGTCAGCTGAGTTGAAAGGTCGAAGATTTTGCCCCGAGAAATTGTAATACTTCGTATTCTATTTTGATTCTGAATCCTAGTTTCGAAAACATGTCGAGGGTATAGTCAAAATTGGACTTCAAGCTTTGTTTGTGTGTCTGCAAAAACGAGCGATGTGCGACTAAGGCTCCAGCACGGTCCGGTCCGTAGCATCTTCTCCCAGACCAACCTCCCATAGCCTATAACGGCTCTTCAGCTTATGAAATGCGATATATCCGAGAAGGTGAGAGTTTAAGAGTTTGAGGTATGGCTCCCAGCCTTTCAGCGCAAGTCGCACTATAGGAGCGGTTAGCCAATGTGGAAATGAGGACGTGTGTATGCACTTAATTTGTCGGGTTTTAGCCGTTCTCTCATCTATGATCTCCTAGAAGAGGATTGGGGGTCTTTATTTTCATACCATGCCCTGTTGTGGATGTAGTTATGAGTCTCACCAGCCTTCTCCTCTTTATAAAATCTGTGAAGCATCAGTATCAATTCGACAGTTGAGACGCCAAGGACATAAGACTTACGACAGTGCGTCGTTTGTAAGCCCAATGCACATGGAGATGTCTGGTACCACCTCCAGGAAGAGTGAGATGTCAGGACAAAGTTCTTTCGGGAACGTGAACCAAGCACATGTTTCTCCTCCACCATCCTTCTCGAAGAAACCATGCCCAGCTTCGGCCGGCCTTGGTGCGCTCGATCTGGTGGAACTCCTTTCGGGCCTCAAGAGCATTAAGTTGAGGAAGTTGAGAGATGAAGTGACAGTAAAGTTGGCAACAAGCGGACCCCAATACCTGAAGGTTAATCTCATAAGATCTGCCCAACCTTGGAGGAGGGGTATTGGCTGCTTCTCATCGGCACAAAATCGCTCATGGAACATTGAGAACTCTTCAAGATATTCAGCGGCTTGGTCATCTAGAAGGAGACCGAGCCAGGAGTAGATGCCGATGTATACCTGGACCTTAAACGGGTGACAAGGGAAGCAGACCTAACTGTTGTCAGCCCCGAGGAGGATATCAGCCAAGGTAATACGTACAACTGGGTATAAATATCCAACTTTGAACATCAGCCATGAATGGCTACCCTCTTTATATGGAACACCTGTATTGTCCGCGTATGTACGCATAGCCTTCCATAGAACATCGTTGCTAGTAGTCTTGAGCGGAGAATAACCAATCTCATCGGCAAAGGATGTTATAAGAAGTTGTATGAAAGACCTCAAATCTTGGGGCTTTGGCTCATGCTGTCTTTCTGCCCTGCCTAGCACTATCTCTCGAGGTAGGGAATGAGACCATCGGAAGCGGAGTGAACTTAGAGTGGGACATATGTTCAAATATCCAAGTTCGAGGGAAGCCAGATATCAGAATTGTTTGGTTCTTCTCAACGTCCTTATGGTTCGGTTTAGAGGCTCTTATAGAGGGTCCTATAACGCTTCAACTTGAAGGGAATATGGTAGCATCAGCTCGCTAAAATATCTTTAATTTGGCTAAATTCTTCTGGTATTCTTCTTAAAGGACGCATCGCTTGAGAGCCAATGACGGTGATGACAGGAGGAACTTGTCCAACTTTTGAAGGATTTCTGCAACAGTATGGAGAAAATTTAAGGTCCTGAACCAACTGCATATCGATAGGCCAACCACCAACGTTTACGAGTGGAGATGATGCACGTCTTATCATACGAAAAACAGGGTTGATGTTGAAAGCGTTGCCAAGACTGCTCGCTTAAGGATAAATTTGCGGTCATAGACATCGCACATCCTCGCTATAGGAGGATTCCTTGTGATGGGCTTATAGATTTCCACTTTAATCCCTCAACGAAGAGGAAACAAAAGTTCTCGGCTAGCTGAACCCTGGGCACCCGTCCTTATCTTGGTAACAATTTTAATCTTGAACTACAGGAGGATGATGGACACTATTAAACAGTCTAGAACTACTCCTCAGCATGTGGCTTTCGACCATGAACATATCGAACACGCATGTATCTATGTATTCTCTTATCCTTAAACGCCTTTCTCATGTTCATCAAGAATACCTGGTATTCATCTTTGGGCCATCCACCGATGGGAACCTGAATATTGTTAGCATGACGTCTGGCAAGAGATCTAGATGTCCTGATACCTTGAAGTCAAAGCTCTGCAAGTCTACCAAACCAGCATCGCGAAATAGCTGAACGTCGTTCTCAATATCAGTGAAGCTTCGCCCAAAGCCCTTGCCACTCTCAATCACCAGTCTATTCCAGGTCTGTAGGGCCTCAGCATCGTCGATGGTACCATCATCCGAGTAGAACGTTGGGTTGATCTCGCCAGATTCAACAAAACCGCCTGGTTTACAGCAGTGAGACGCCTCTTTGAACAGTGTTCCCCAGTCTGCTATCGCACCAATGAGGAAACGGACGTGAACAAGATCGAGGTGATTCTCAGGCCAGCTCCAGTCCTTTGTTGCGTCTTCAAGCTCGAACTTGACGTTTGGTGGGACCCAGCTTGGCTGGATTGGGGAGAGGTCTGTCCCAATGACCTCGACGTTGGGGTGTTCATCGGCAAAATCACTGTACGAGTTAGCATTGTATGAGCACGATACCCAGGTTCTTGATGGGTGAATACATCGCCCAGATTACTTCAAACAATCAGTCCTCATGTACTTAAGTAGGGGCCTCATACATACCAGTTCCAGTACCGACGTCAAGAACTCGCTTTAGCTTGTCAATGTATCCGCGTGCATTTCTGTGACCAGAAGTACCACTAACCCGAATGCTATCTTTCAGAGGAACAAGTGTCAGATTTCCATCAAGCAGCAATGTCAGAACATGGTGCCTGTTCATGTAAGTAATTTCCGCGAATATGATGGCGATCTTACGTGATGTCAATTGAATCTCTCTGCTGCTCATCGTTGGGCGTAAAGTACTCCGTATTATACCTCTCGCTATGGAAGGTCCGTCCTTGAAATTTGCGACATTCGAGGATACTCGATGAGATGGAGGCAGTAGAGCTTTCTCTGTTGAAGATGATTAGTTAGAGTTTCCATGGCCCCGGAAAACACTGACGCGTCGTCTTCAAATGCTGTGTCGTTGACATCAGAATCGGCGGCATAAAGAGGGTCAAAAAGGTCACAGGACATAGCACGTAACAGATTCAACAGATCAGCTAAACATCAGTACACCATCAATATAAACAGAGGAAGGAATTATTATAATACCTTCTAATTTATCTTTTTAGGTATTTAAATTAAAATTAGGCTTTAATTATTATCTTTAAGGTTTTTAAAGCCTATAATATTAATAGTTTAAAAGCCTCCCTAGGGGGTATCAAGGTCTATAATTATATTCGCCCTTGTCTTTTTGAAACCCGATGCTTCTGGTAATTCGACTACTGTGGCCTTGGTACTAGGCTCCCTCAAGGAGAGAATCCTACTGGTTTCTGTTATTTTACTAGGGCCTGTCTTTTTTTTCTTTCTTCTTATTTTCTCCTCTTTTTTATTATTAGCAGATTTGGTCTAAGTTTCGGACCTTCGGAAAGCGGTCTGCGTGGAGGTCAACAATCATTCAGTTGCTGCTTGGTAGATGGTGGACATCTAAACCTTGAACCGGCATCACCGTCGTTCGAGGAGAATCGGTGTATATAAGGCGCTTGAATTGCCTCCAAAGTCACCAAATACAAGCTAGCTTTATTTTTATATTCCAGAATTATCCTAGGCATACTAGTTCAATTAAAATATGCCTGGAGGAAGGGACCGCCTATACATTCTATTATATGTCCGAGGAAGCAAAGCCAAATTGGTTAGACAAGAGGACAAAACAGTGTTTTCGAATATATGTTAGTCAATTGAAACGAAACCCGCTTTATATATCATTGGGTTTTCATCGTTGGACTCAAATCAAAATCTATTGATAGTCGAGGAGAACGCTTCCATGTAAGGGAAATTCTCGAGCTTATCGACAACCCCCTTCGGTAAAACCATGCTAAAAATTCGAAGCTGTAGGAATTTCCAGGGCAACAGCCGGTATGATTCTTACTCGTGTCTTTATCGGAAAGGTTGGAGATATAGAATGACTTCGGTTTTCTCTTGAGCGCTCGCCACTTCGGTCGGAGATATCGACTTGGAACTGGATTGAGTGGGCTGGGGAAGTCTTTGAGTCAATCCTGGATGATAGGGCCTTGGGAACTTGTGTTACAAGCTAGGAGTCCATACGCGCTATTGGTTTACTTTTACGAGCTAGGATGAAGATATGGCGGCGCATGTCTAGACAAGGAGCATGAGTATAAACATGGGAATTCCGATAGACATGAAATTGGAACTGCGACACATCTCTGTCGATCATTTACACATCCGGGAACATTGATTCAGAGTCAAGCCGGCAAGACTAGTTTTATTAGCATCCAGACCTAAGGGATACGAAGCTTTTGGCCGAGTAATTGGCCAAGTTATGTCTCATAACCTATTCATTCCTAGGGCTTAAAATATTGCTTTTTTTTTGGGGGTACCCATGGGTGTCTGATACGTTTTGTCCCATATAAGGTTGGGGCTAAAAGAAAGTCTTGGGTACAAAGAAATTACCCATGGGTACCCAATTTTAAGCCCTATTCGCTCCTTGCCGTCCGTTGCTCAGTTGGATCATTAAAGCCTGAGCCAAGGGACAACAGGAGTAAAACGCATATTTATGTCTTATATCCCTATTATATCAACCCAGGTAAGACGTAGAACATCTTATAGACATTGCGTTAATATCTCAGCTACAGGCGGGCCTCAGATCTTGATGAATACAGACTTGGTTTTTCTGCTGATTCCCATTGTGATATACCTTTGAACTGCTGCACAGTTGTATATGAAATTATTTGTATGCTATGTTTTCAGATAAGTACTTAAGAGTGTTAAGGTCATAGGCAACTAATGATGGATAGATATAAAGCTACCAACTTTGCTATCTGTCTGACATATTGGATTATAGACTAACCCCGTGCTACCCCAGATAGAACCGCTACACATCCACTTTCATGATGACCGTTATTATTGAACTCCAAATCTGAGACATAGAGATTAACCGTAGATTCCGTGTCTTGATCCCGTGTTTGACATCCGTCTACGTCTCCACTTAGCTCGGTGGATCTGAGACACTGAGGATGATCTCTACATTGCGGAGCTACTACCTTCGAATGGCAAAGGGCGTTTCACTCTCCCTGCATACCAAGGCACAAGCCACGACAGATATTACGAAGGCTATTCTCTGATGACTTCCTCTGTCTATGCGGCAGGTACTCTTGAATCAAGCAGTGTACAAGTCAAGACCTGGGAGCGAAAACTTTGATTACCAATAAAATCCTGGAAAACTATGAGACATTAGCTCTTCTTGGAATAGATCAAGGACTCCGAGTTACTACAAAAACCCAGCGACATCGCTACTTAGACCATAGACTGCACTTCAGTTATTTATCATTCTTACCATAATCACTCAAAATTTACCCCATACACCAACATCAAAAGATTGCGCTATGAAGTCTTCCGTTGCCTTCCCTTTTCTTGCTATCCTTGCCGCTCAAGGCGCCTCGGCAGCATGTGTTGATGGCCACCGTGAGACTATTGCCCCAGGCTACGAAGTCGAATACAAATGCGGAATTTACCGCAGCGGCGATGTCCATAATAATATCAAATCGGAGCGTGACTGTGCGCTCCTTGCTCAACAAGCTGGTCGACCTATCTCCAGCTATCACCCGGGCACCAAACGCTGTATTGTTGGTGCGGAAGATGGCAAGGAGGGCAAGAACCCTAGTGTCACCTATATGGTCAAAGTGGAAGACCCCTTTGCTGAGGAAGAGGAGGAAGAAGACGACCCTTTTGCAGACTGCGAGACGCAGAAGGATTCTTTGCTTAAGAAGCTGCAATCCACGCAGGCCCAGCTTGACAAGTGCAATGCAGACGCCCTGGCCTCCTCGTCAGGTGGTGGCTCATGCAACATCCGAAAAAGCGGCAAAAACCATTACAGACAAATCGGCGGGCCCCTCCGCAATTGTAGGGACAAGTGCTTGGCAGATTCCAAGTGTATGTCATACGACTACTACCCGTGCAATTCCATCTGTCGCCACTTCGACAAGCCTGTGGAACAAGTAGAGTCTACCGATCATGAATCGCATATTTTCAATGACAGAGATTGCCAGCTTTGATACAACAATAGGTGGCACTTTGCGTCGTCTGTGCGGCTTGGTCTTTAGAACTGGGTCTTTGAATGCTTCTATAAGGTTGCATTACTGGGGGAGTCTTGTATATGGTAGAGGGTTTTGTATCCGTTTAGAGGTTTTTTCCCCACCTATCAATCGAGATTTCTTACTTGTTTCACTCATTTCTCATTCCGTTGATCAGTCTATCAACTCACTCCCTGAGTTCATGCTCCGAGGAATCTTGGATTCAAGGGCGGTAGTGGGTGAAGTTTGCTACAGTGTGTGAAAGCGACTTATATCGACGCTAGAAGCTGGTATACTGGCTGAGATGCTTGGTAAGAACGAGGGTGGTGATACGTGACGAGACTAGCTTCTGGTCGAGGGTAGAGAAGAACCAGTTGTCATCACGCTCGATACTTCCGTAACCGAGTCAAATCAAGAGCTGACGACGATCCAAGTACCTCAGGGACTCTCCCAACCATTGAGTTCCTTGAGTCTCACGTAATAATTTGATTATAACCAAAAATGAGTTGTATTAAGACCTGAGCTATACGAGGAGTGATAGCTCGGTGGAAAGTCTAGCATAGATAAAAAAGCCTGACACCCATATTTTTAGGTTACATGAAGAGGACATAAATAAGGTGCCACTCAAACTGAAGTACCTCCATGTAAACTTAAGTGGACCGTTCTGGTAGATTCATTTCTTGAATTCGAAGTATGGCTTCATGTCGGGACTTTGACTAGCATCATTTCCTTAACTTGACCATCATGTTATGTAGGGTCTCTTGGACAACAGCATTCTTGAGACTTTGCATAAAGACTGACAAAATGAAAATCTTATATTGGCATGTTAGAAGCCTTGACTCTACTGATATCTGTTTGCCTTTTTCTAAATAAGTGTAACCCATCCCTACGGAGAGAATCCAGCAGGTAGGTACATGAAAATAACTAAGCTCCTCCTAATGGCCTCTCTTACACGTACAAGAATAACCAAACTTTGAGGGAGGAAGAAAAGAAAGAAAGAGAAAGAAGGAATTGTGGGGAATGAATGGTTGGGACAAAATGACAGTCCTCTATCGTGGCTCAAAGATGGTTATCTAAGCGCAACGCTTGTCGTACTGGACAAAGTTGGGATAAGTACCATCAGGCACCTCCGAGGTCTCCTTGTCGTACAGATAGCAGTTGATCGCGCCGGAGGTTCCCTTGTTCGCGCTGTACGAGAGACACTTCACGTCGGTATCGCAGGCTTGCTTGCATTGGGCAAGAGTGAGACCATCCTTCCGGCTGTACCATTTTCCGCCCCATTTGGCAACACCACAAGTGGGCTTCTTGGTCGCCAGCGCGAGATCAGCATGGCATTTATCCAAATCAGCCTTCAAGGTCTCCTTTTCTTCTTCACAGGTCTGTCCGAAGGGATCATCTTCAATGAGCTGCTCATCCTCAAAGGGGTCGTCATTCTCCTCGACCCTTTGCAAGTAGGTCGCGCCTGGGTAAGGGAGGTCTTTGCCACCCTCTTTAGCAATAATACATTGCTTTCTGGGAGCATAGTAGGTCGCGATATCAACACCAGCATCTCTGGCCAGCGCGGCACATTCTGCTTCAGAATTGATATTCTTGATGGCTGCTCCTCCCTGACGGTAGATGCCGCATTTGTGTTCGACTACGTAGCCAGGGCTGATCTCCTGGCGAGTGCCTTCGATACACTCGGCGCTGACATGAGTAGCGCTGAAAAAGGCGATCAAGAGATAGGCGGTAGATGTCTTCATGATGATAGATGAGGGATGCAGGACAGGTTCCTGGGACAAGAGAAGATGGTGTGAGGCTGTGTCGGGATCTTTGAAGATGTTGTGTGTTTGATGAATTATTGCAAGATTAGAGCGCGGATTGATGGCTTTTAGTACTTTAGGAGCTTTGGTGTTGCCCTCACCACTTCGATGTTATTTCTTACTGTTCCCCCTTCTCACCGCCATTGCACGTCTTCCTTCTTAGACTGTGATCATCAAAACAATAACATGTTTCTATGTAGCTCTTATGTACATAATCCTGCTAAGAGACATGAAAAGAACACTGTATCAGATGGATCTGGCCAATAGTCATCATAGCTTTAGGTAGGATATATCTTGAGTAATTCATTGACAAGTTTCACGATTCACATTTATCCTAGGTCCTCGCTACAGTCAGTCTTTGGTTGTCTAGGTGCGCATGAGACTTCATGCCCGAGATGAATCGGGTGCCTCTATCTATCACATTCTCAATGGTTGTATATGTATTGAGATATCAGGCTCGCTATTCTGGACGGGGTTCTCCAAGGCTAAAGCAAATACCTCTTGATGTTTCATACGTTGTCGTTCCACTTTCTCAGCTAGGCTGCCCTTTGCTGTAGTCTTTCAGGGACCATGTTCTATCAAGTATGTGATAGAGGAGTCTCAGTTACATTTAGGCCGTTCCGGACCGGGAAACTCAGAGGCTGACACCTGTTTCCAGGATTCCGGCAATTTCTGAAATATCCACTCGGGGTTGAGCCAAACCATTCATGCGCTCAGAATGACTGAAAATTGATACACCAGGCAGATATATGTCTTGTATCTATAGGAACAATGTGGATCATGCTCAGCCAATTGAGCTTTTCTGGAAAGGGGCGCCTCAACATATCGGCGTGAGAGCCAATAGAATATCACAGTCAGATGCATAGTATGTGCAACTAGCTGGGCCGTGTCTCAGGCAAGAATGTTTATGACGAGGGAGTCAAATTTGCTGAGACATGATGAGGCTACGATCGATTCTAGTGGTTATACGTAGAACCTGAATCTAAGAGACTCCTCCTGTTAAGAATTGGAGTGAGTGACGTGTACTTGATTAATTATGAGCCTGCCTATTATCGTCGACAAATTCGCAACGCAGCCAAGCCACACTCTGCGCTCAACAGGAGCACGAGTCTCCAACAAGCAAAATACATCTCAAAGAAATATGGTAGACGAAAAATAGTAAATGGAACATAAAAATCAACATATAAAACTCCGCAATAAGTCCCTTCCAGCTAAAGAATGCCACAAATGAGATTGTAGATTTTTAGACATAGCTGAAGTGAGACACTTCTGCCGCGGGCAGAGACAGTCCGAGAAATCTCGGCATTAGTCGGTACGGCACGGGAGACAGCATAAGGGGGGCTAGAATAAGCTCTTCTGTCCAATAAGACGGCTAATCATCAGCCCTGGGCATCTGATACGTTGAGCTTTAGTGTCCGACAGATCTAAGGCCCGAGACAATCATCAAGAAGGGAGACGAACCGCGTCGATCTATCTGCCCTGCCCCTTCTTGATGCTTGGGGACATCTAAGGAGGAGCTGCTCATTGCGCAATTTAAAGAAATAAGCTCCGTGACGTTGTTGATGTCCCTAGTATACTGGCTAATTTAGGGCTTAAAACATTGCTTTTTTGGGTACCCATGGGTATCACCGGTACTTTTTGGTCTATATAAAGGCTAGGGCCAAAAGGAAGTCTTGGTACAAAAAGATTACCTATGGGTACCCAATCTTAAGCCCTACTGGCTGTTGAAGCAGTTTCTGGTACAGAAGACAATTGAAACACATAGGCTAGTTCTTCATTTCCCCCTAAGCTGATATACTGAACAACCTACCTCATGCCACGGTGAGATAGTTTGAGATCTTTGATATTCATACGAATCCTTCGGACGGCAGGAGCCGTGGCCCTAGCGTCCGCTGGCTCAAGGGAGATACTGATACGAGTATTCGATTTTCTAGCGACATCACTCGTGACTAGCTTGATCGCGATCAGCACTTTGTCTCAAGCCTCTTCACATAGAGTCTTATCATTGACAGGGACTTACCTCATGGTATAACAAATAAAAGAAGAAGAAGAAGAAGTAAATGATCCATCGAAAGAGCTCTTTGGGTTCACAGTGCAAGGACAACCCTAGGATATTCCATGGATGGGAAGGAAGAAACTTTGGGATGTTCTGTCGACTAGCCCTCGGGTTAATAGGAATCTTGTCAGCCACTCTAGGATAAGAGACAAAGCTATCGAGGCAAATTACCGGGGTTTCGACCAACTCGTTGCTTCTTTATTTTCTGTACCCTTTTCTTAGGGTGGCCAAGTTGTCTCATCGCCCTGACCAAGCTTTTACCCTTTCTCTATGAGTCTTCGTATTCACAAACCTGCACGGGCTTACTGAAACATGATTCCGTGTCGTCGATCTCTGCATCATCCCTTCCGCGATCCTTATGCAAGGGTGAACACAAGTCAACACGGGCAGGTTGACTGAGCGACACGCCAAAGTAATCTTGACAAAGATGCAATTTCTAGTGCGAGAATTATCAAGAAGATTTAACACAGTGAATGAGGTACAAGTGACATGGGGAGCAGAGAAACAGAAGACGGAACGCCATAAATAGCCGCTCTACCACCCGCTTACCTACACATCATTGCGATCAAGCATCAATCTTTCACAATACTACCGTTTTTCTTATACCTCTCACCATGCGGTTCTCAGCTGCGTTCCTCGCAACCGTCCTCGGTGCCGTTAATATCAATGCGCAATGCATCGACGGCCATCGAGAGGTTATCAGCCCCGGCTACACCGTTGAGTACAAGTGCAACTTCGTCCGACTGGGCGAGACTCACAATGGCGTTCTCTCTGAAAAGGCCTGCGCTGAGATGTGTCGCGATGCTGGTAGCTCTGTCTGTACTTATCATCCGCCCACCAAACGCTGTGTCGTCGGCAAGGATGGTGGCAAGGAAATGGCCAGTAACGGCGCTATATACATGATGAAAGTCGACGAGCCTGAGATTGAGGACCCTTTTGCTGAAGATGAAGACCCTTTTTCTGTTGATTGCGAAGCTGAGAAGCAGGCTTGTGAGAGTGGTCAAAAGGCTTGTCTGGAGCGGGAGAAGAAGCTCAAGGCCTCTCATGCTGGTTTAGAGGCCAAGAACAATAGTCTTGAAGCACGCATCAAGAATATCATGCAATCAAATTGTGAGTACTACTAGCCCACTTTACCATCATCTACTATTTCTGGTTTAACACTTTCTCAATAGGCCCTAGTCAGCATGGTAAGTTTGGGGTTGTTAACAACCGAGAGTACCGCTTCTGGTGCGGCCGACGTAAGTTAATTCCCACGCCTATTACCCCAGTCGATCTAACATCTGCTAGACCACAGCCCCGAAGGATTCAAAGAAGAGCTTCCCGAGATTTACACCATGGCAGACTGCGTCGATCAGTGTAGTCGCAAGGCCTGGTGCAATCATGTCTTACACGGCATTCACAAAAACAAGTGCCGTTTGTTCGAGAGTCCCAAGGTTTCCGCAGCCACAATGCCAGGTCTTGCCACTGGTGACTGGAACTGTGGTGTCAAGAAGTAGCCGCGTGTTATTGTTGGGAGGTATTTGCCTACTCTTATGGCTCCTATGGTGGGGATGCTTTCCATCGTCAACAAATTCGACTTTTGGTTGAGAAGGATACGGAGGGGTGATGAGAGAGAAATCCTTGGTTCGAACTTCTCCTTGTGTCATAAACTGAATACAGCTGTGCGGATTGTCAAATGTTCAATAAGTGACATACCTATTCAACACACTGCACTCAGGTAACATGTTCGACCGTCGAACTATACATGCCGCTGTACAAGGCGCCTATTCATGCAACGGCACAATATGCTTACGTTAAAATCTTATTCCATCCAGATGTTTATTTTCTTCCCCGGTATTATGAGTCATTACGCTTGTAGATGTTGTTTCCCATTCCATATCTCCTACCACGTACGGTTCTCAACTAGTGAAGTCAAACTAGATAGACCTTGCCGCTGCTATTCCACTCCAAGCATGATTTTCAAGCGTGCTAGTACCAGAGACATATCCCATCGATTGTGATAAACCCTCCACCAACGAACTCTTCCTAGTTTTGGGCCCATAAATGATATGATGACAGAGGGCCGCTGCGAAAAGCTTATCTGTTACGTCCTCAAGTCTTCTCTAAAACTCTGGGAACCAACCTATGCCAAATAAAGCATTGGCCGAGGGTGTGATCATAGTGAATTGGGCCTCAATGAGGGACTGCCACAAGAGGTTTATCGCAATTGAGGGGATAAGCAGCTATTACTTCCACCTGACCGACTATCACGCCCACAAGCGTCGCCCTCAAGCCTGGCAGTATTATTAGCCAAATTCATATACAATACCTCGCTAAGCAGGAATCGTGTGTGTGTGTGTGTGACGGAGCAGGCTGGGTTGGGCCACCAATGCTAAGGATCTCTCGATCAATGTCCAACGGCGGTTGTGTTTTATTTAAACTGCGGATATCAGTTCACACTGGTGGGGTTATTCATCTACGGCTCGCCCTCTCCATCCTCAATTTATTTACACGTATACTTGGAACTAGCCTATTGCACCCCAGCTCATTAGTTGAAGCAGAGCCTGCAGATCGTATAAGTGCCTGAGAAGGATGAGTGCCATTCCAGGCTGATCAATAACACCATCGGTAGGTTTAATGAGCCTTAGTGATGTTATGCAAATCAGGCATCGTCCTATGATTGTTAGCCATGTTGTAGTTGATGGCACTCAGGACTTGCCAAATCCAGGCTCTGATCGATAAGGGCTTGGAGTCCGTAGCGGCATATCAAATTTCGAGATCACATGTTCCGGGTCAAATGGGACAAGTCTAGCTCCCCTAAAAGCTGCCTTAACACTTACGTATTCCTTGCCAGCAGGCCTCACTATGTCAGCTATTGGCGCCTTTTATGTCAACTGATTCCTATGCTAGCAGCAGCTCTGGCCGATAGGACAGAATTAATGTGTCGGCAAGCGTCCGTGTCGGCCAAACCATTTATCAGCACATTGACGCTATTCTTGATATGTTGATTAGGGTCACGAAAATGAGGTGTAAGGCACCTCACTTAATTGTATATAGATATTGAGCGAAGCCATCGGGTGTAAAAGAATCATCGTTCCGCATTGGCTCTCGACTTGAACTCTTGTACTGTCCTAACCTCTGTGCTGTGATAGCACATACTAGCCTAAAGGTTATTCGAGGACGTAATCTACTATCTAATAATCTGGTCTAGCATATTGCGAGGTCCAAAAACTGGGGCAGGTTGACGATCACTTGCATTCAGATAAGCAAGCGTCGGAAGTCTAGCTGCTCAAGTATAACACAGTTCCCGAAATAGTACCCATGACTCGAGAAGCCACCTCAAGATGTAGTCAAATCAAGACACAGGCTATTAGATGACTATGAGGTCTTCACTTCGTTTCCAAAACCTCCTCTGGTTCCATCAACAGCCTTTTTTAATGGTCGCCTCATAGCCCATTTTAAGCCATCTAGTGTTTTCAGGTTCGTCTCAGTGGACCCCTGATTGGGCCCAAAATTGGCCCTCTGTGTTTGGATTCATCTACGAAATACCTCCTTCAGGCGGAATGGCCGGACAGCGAAAGAAAGAGGCATTATACACAACGTGCAAGTTCTGTTACAGGATAAAGATATAGCGGATGGGCATCTTCATATTCCCCTACCACGCATATAGACAACACTCACATCTCGTCAGGCCATCGAAGAATAACCGCCATGAGCTCACCTGACAGTATCGGTACCTAATCGGCCTCCAAGCTGCTGCGGGTTAAGGGCGGGCTGACGGCGGGCTGAGGGGCTAACAAAACGTCCCAAAAGCGGCAGTCTTTAGCAGGTCATGTGTCGCCTAACTTTCGTCTCATAATATTATTTCAATTTAGGGTATACTATGGTCTAGAGGACCTTTCTTCCTCTCCTTGCGAATTAACATGTTCAAACTATTGTGATTGTTTCTGATATGAACGGACATGTCGCGTCTGCATGCTTCGATACAAACCCCGGCCCTGCCTCCCAGTTTCCAGCTCTGGTGAAAGTCCCATCATCATTCTTCTGCAACAGAAGACCATATGTATGGGGCTTTTTCGATGTTTCCAAAACTGCAAGGAGATACATGTTCTTTTGGGAGATCAGCCAAGCCTTCCTTTCAGCCTCCTCCCACAGATGCACAGTATCGGCGCTGATGCCAAAAGTGTGCCCTAGTATAGTTTGTATGTCTTGATAGCCATCACGACCAGGTCTACCTTCGGCCAAGAACTCTTCATCATTGGCGTCCTTGAGGATGAGTTCATCAGACGCTACTAGAGGTCCAGTCAATATTAAAGAAGCAGACTTTACTTGACCGAATTGGTTATTTGGGTCAACCAATTCCACCGCAACATCGACTACATCGACTAGAACAGTTCCTTCACCGTCTAAGATATCGAATCTCACACGGCAATCCAAGCTGGCCCAACTCCAAGACGGTGCACGGTAAACCTTCGACCTTCCTAACTGCCCAACGGCAGACATCTCCCAAAGAAGACCTTGTGGCATGGTGCTGCGAAAGATTCCAGCACAGTAGTCGCTGCCAAACCATGAGATACAACGTCGGGCGACGGCGGCGAAAGCAACAAGTTTGTCTTCATCCGGATGACTAAGTTGACGGTTCGTATATGGGAACACAAGGTCGTAGTAGTATGTGAAAAGATCTCCCTTTTCACGAACACTGAATGCGTTTTGGGCCAAGCAGTCGAAGCCGTTCCATCTATCGTCGCTTACTCCTTCTGGTAGATATTCAGTGAGGTTGTGGCTTCTATCACACTCCCAGGAAATGCGGTCTGAACTAAAATGTAAGGTTCTGGGCGAAAGGAGTCGCTCCTGGAATACCCATGCCCTGTCACTAAGAGGGAGATCTACTCTTGCCCAAGAGAAATCGTCAGCGGTAAATATTGCGCAGATACTCCAGAGATTTGACTTTTCTGTGCCATCACCTATGTCGTGCTCGCTTTTGCTTGAACTTTTGGGAGGTGCGTAAAAAGGAGTCCAGACATAACAGTCTTGCAGATACGTCGGATTCCTCGACCTGAAAGCACCTCCATGGGGGTTCTCGGAAACATCGATGGAAATATTCAAGTCACAGTTGTGATAAACCAGATGCATGTCCTCTGAATGTGAGAGCCAATCTTCATGAGAACCGAGGCCAGACTGTAGGATGCAAAGCGAGTCGATCCAGATGTAGGGAATGCCAATTCGACGACAGGTTATAATTGCGTCTCTGAAGCTGGCTGGAAGGCTCTGTAGCTGGATCTCGCTGCAAAGGTCGAATAAGTTGTCGGATGTTAACATGAAGAACTTTGGGTCTTCTCCCCAGCAATGGCTCAATGCCGCATAACAGCCTTCGGGTCTCTCATTCTCCGAAATGATCAGTCTTGGGGACTGTTGTTCATTGCCAACATGAATGAGTCGCTTGGGATGCCAGCCGTCCTCCGAAGCAGATCCGCAATCATGACGGTCTTTACAGGTCTGAAGCCACCTCTTAGCCAGCCGTGCAACATCCTGGTGGCCGGTATTATTGGGGATATCTCGCAACGAAGGAAATTCCGTTCGGACCCTCGTGGGCTCCGAGCCTCGATCAGCAGCAACAAAGCCGAGAAACTCCTCATAACCGGTTGGAGGTTTTGATGATGAAGACACATCGACAAACACGCACCAGTCTGAGTAGATCGGGGACTTGCCGTCGTCAATTGATGTCTCGGTGCCAGTCTCGTAGAATTCAATTTCCCAATGAAGCTCCCATGCGTTATCCCACCTAACCTCATATTCTAGAGGCTTCAAATCCTCAGATGGAAGCTTGCGGCTTATGTAGTAACAGATTCTGCACCCATTCTTTGCAGCGGTGGCAACACTTTTATAATCTTTGTGGTGATGCCCTTGCTTCACGTTAGTTTGAAACATAGACATGCATACTGCACACAACATCATCGTGAAGATAGATCAGCGGAGTGTTTGCGAAAGGGATTCGCATGAGACTGAAAATATCTCATTATGCTGAGTATTGTGAGCTGACACGAGTGGGGTTGCTTGGGGGCTGAAATAGGCAACCCATGTCAGATTGGACTGCTATTGCATATTGCTTTACTCACCCTAGTAACAGCTATATAAGACTTTCAAAAGTTCCTTTCTTAATATTTATATTCAAAATATCTAAATATTAATAAGCCTTTTATATTATATCATTTGCTATTTATATAACTATTTCTTTATTTATTTTTAGTATGTATAGGTGCTACCGAACTTCGTGAAAATGTGCGGTATCTCATACTCAGACTGTTCTACGCTACCAACTGCCTATCGACGCCATACCCTTGCGTTAAAGCAGGAGGAAAAATAAAAAAGACTTATCTGCTTCCTCGTCACAGTCAAATTGGCCACCACCAGAAGCTTGAAGCCCCCAGCTTCAGTTGGCATGAAGTTGATGCCCCAAACCCGCACTAACACCAAACAGAAGCTAAGATCGAAGATCGTGTATCCACTAGACTTGGACAGAACGAGACAATACCGCGGCAAGCACCGAGGCCCAAAAACTCTCTTAAACACCGCTAAACCGATCGTGGACCAAGTCCCAGCCAACCACACGATAATTGACGTGATGAACGGGTCCCTTTGTCAGGAATGACGAAGAGCATTCGACGTCAATCTTACTCGTAGCCAAGATTTTACATCTGCAAGCACTTACACTTACATCTCTATTTTTTGTCTTACGATAGATCTATCTGAGTTAAATTGTCTTATCTTTAGAGTTACTTCATCTGCCGATATGCCTTCCAACAACGCCGCCTGGCTGGTCGCCGCAAAGACGTCACCACTCGAGGTCAAGGAAGCCCCCCTCACCGAACCATCTTCAGGCCACATCCTCGTCAAAAACTCAGCCATTGCGATCAACCCCGTTGACATCGCCAACCAATACGTCGGCATCTTCATCCAACCCTCTCAATACCCCGTTATTCTCGGCGAAGATGTCGCCGGCACCGTTGAAGCCGTAGGCCCTGATATCACCGCCTTCAAGCCCGGCGACAGAGTCCTGGGCTATGCGACGTCACTCGCTACCAAGGATAATGCGCACAGCGCATTCCAGGAATACACGGTTATTCGCGCCGAGTGCGCTTCTAAAATTCCGGAGGGTTTGAGCTTTGAACAAGCTGCTGTTTTGCCGCTTTCGCTTGCTACGGCTGCGTGGTCGCTTTTCGGCGATGTGACGCTGGCGATGAGATATCCTAGTCTTAACCCTACGCCTACTGGGGAGACGGTTCTCATCTGGGGAGGGGCATCTAGTGTCGGTGGTTCAGCAGTTCAACTTGCTAAAGCGGCTGGCTACGAAGTAATCACGACTGCATCTGCCAAAAACCACGAATACGTCAAGAGTCTTGGAGCAGACCACGTTTTCGAATACAAGTCTCCCCAGGTCACCAAAGACATCGCCTCTCTGCTCACCGGTAAGAAGCTCGCGGGTGCGTTTGACGCCAGTGGTTCAGAAGACGGCATGAACAGCGCAAGCCAATCGATTGTTCACGCCGACGGTCTTCGCAAGCTCATTTGCGTTCGATCTGCCTCCTCTGAAGTCGCGGGCGTTGAGGCCAAGACTATTCTTTCCATTGGTATTATCAACACCCCTGTTGCCAAGGCTGTTTTCGGGGACTATATACCCGCTGCTTTGGAGCAGGGCAAGTTCAAGGCTGTTCCAGAAGCGGAGGTTGTTGGAAAGGGTCTAGAGGCTGTTCAGCTGGGCATCAATACGCTCGCCAAGGGCGTTTCGGCTAAGAAGATCGTTGTTGCTCTGTAAAGAGGAATAGAGCCATACGAATCAGATTCTGTATAGGACTTGGAATATAGAAGACTGTTTTAAGAAATATAATTCGTTTGCCAGCCAATTTTGCTCCAATGTGATCACTCATTTTAACCTCGGGTCAGTTTCCCCTCTTCTCCACCAAGACTTCAGCCTCAAAATTCGCGCTATCATCACGCCATAGACTTCTGAACCGTCCTTTCATTCACCATAGTAAAAACTGGTATAATGTCTGAAAGTGAAAAGAAAGAAATAATTGCCCTCATCGGCTTGGGCACAATTGGTCTTTCATTCGCCGCACTGCACCTACGCTATTCCAACGCCAACCTCAGACTGTACGACGTCCGCAGTGATTTGAAGGAGCATATCGAAAGGCTCTTACCGGTGTATCTTGAATCAACAAAGAAAGAAAGTTCAAAGGTTGATCTTACAGTCGAGAAACTCGTTGCCGACGGTCGACTGCTCATATGCTCTTCAATCGAAGAAGTTTGCTCTGGCGCAACAATCGTCCAAGAGCAAGGACCGGATAGTGTTAATTTCAAAAAGTCCAACTGGGCTGAGGTCGTTAAATACGCACCTTCAAGTGCTCACTTATGGAGCTCCACCTCTGGGATAAGTGCATCGAGACAGGTGGAGGATCTAGAGGACAAGACCAGAGTTCTCGTGGTTCACCCTTTCAATCCGGTGAGCTCGATCAACTCTCCTTCTCAAACCGTCCTACTGATATCGTCATCAAGCCTCATATAATGCCATTGATTGAAGTCGTCCCCTCGCCTCATACGGAGCCAGAACGAACTCAATTCGCCATTGATTACTTCAAGAATCTCGGCTCCGGTCATCGCCCCGTTAGAATCAACAAAGAGACCCAAGGCTTCGTCGGAAACCGTCTAGCATTCGCTCTATTCCGCGAAGCTTGTCATCTCGTCTCAAACGACGTTGTCTCAGTCGAAGATCTTGACACTATCGTTGAGGCTAGCATAGCGCCGCGTTGGGCGGTAGCTGGACCATTCAAGACATATAACAGTGCCGGCGGGATTGGAGGAATAGGGGCATTCCTGCATAATTTGGCAGATACTATGGAGGCTTGTTGGAATGACGCAGGCGATGTTAGTCTCAAGGGGACGTCTGCGACTAAGCAAGGGACTGATGCTGACGGCGATTGGACGGATAAGATCACGACGGAGACGGAACAGGCTTATGGACTACCAACAGCAGAGTCACTGGCAGAGCGTGATCGGAACTTGCAGAAGGTCATAGCAGCTCAACCAAAAGGAACTTAGTGTTTTGGCACTCTCACTTCAGTCATGAATAATGCTTTGTAACACCAATGATACTATGAATATATGTCAATATCAGACATGGAATGCGTTCAACAACTAAGAACGCCTTCTTTGGTCCAATTCAGCCCGGATCGGATGGGAACAGAATATGTCTCTCCCACAAAATCACCCCGCAACAAGTCATACTCATCCGTAGCCGACCTCTTGGCTTTGACATCTTCAGAAACCTCGTCTTCATTGTCCCATTCCCGCCATGCAAGCTTTTCTCCAGAAGCACCTCCATCGTCTTCACCGTCGCCAGTCTTTCCGGCCTTGCTACTGCCTGATAGTTTCCATCCCATTACCACTGGACCGCTGACTCCAGTCCTCTTGTCATTGTGTGTACTTGCAGGGCATTCCAATCCCCGGAAGTGGCCAGGCCCACAGCGCAGCGTTGATTCTGCACACGATGATGATGGATCTGGAGTGTCCAAGACGAGATATAAGTAACTGTCTTTCTCATGTGAGCCTCCATCGCCGTACATAATATGGGGGTCGCGGGAAATAATCGATTGCGGGAAGAATAAAGGATGTGTGAGTGTCGATGTTCTTGGTGGGAAATCTCTCGGCGTGCTGGCCTGATCTTCGACAGGCGAAAGCGATATTTTAATGATCTTCGGACTATAGGTCAATGGAGGCAGAGCCAAGACAACGTATTCAGCTGTCCAGTTTGTCATGATGTACGGTCGAGGTAGTTCGTCGACCTTGCCCAGGAATCTGTAGCTAAAGCTTGTCAATATGCCATTCTTGCGAGTTTGGAAGCTATATCCAGAAGTAGTTTGAAGAAATTCGAAGCATGACACGGTGACTTGACACTCCACACAGACGTCCTTCTGGTAGAGGCTGATGGACAAAAGCGTGAGGAATTTCCCGCACGGCGAGAATTGCACCTCTAATTGAACGTCAGCATGAATGTTCATCATTCATCGTAAAATGAGTAGGTGGTTGCTTTACCTCGTGACACTGCCACAGGCTCTACCATTTGGTCTTGCCCCTTTTCAGAGATCTCCAAACTTGTACTGGAGCCACTATCGTCGTTGAGTAAGTCGAGTCCACCAAACTTATAAGAGACAGCTACGATAGGCAATGCCGGATGACGAGTGCCTATTATTCTAGACCACGATAAGCGGTCGGTCTGGATTGGTCGCCAAACAGGTCTGCCAAAGTCATTTGCCACGATAAGACATTCTGTCATCGGCTTTTTGCGTTCTCCATCCAGAATATCTGAAGTTTCCAGGCTTCCATTCCTCTCCCCATTGATACTGTGCGTATCACTTGAATCAGAGTCATCATCAGAGTCCGAACTCCAGCCAGAGTCGTCATCAGAGTCTGAACTACTGTCTTGGGAATCTGAGTTGCTGACGATTACATTATTGGGTGACTTTGCTCTTTCATGGGGATGAACCAGGCATTGACCCTTGCGGAAATAGAATAGCCGAGTCGTTGAATCCGAGTCTTTTCGAGTCGGCTGTGTAACGACATCAATTTGTACGAGATTCCATTGTCCTTTGCCTTCCAGTCCCAAGTCCAGGTCTCTACACACTTGCGGAGGGGCCTGGTCAACTCGGTTCCCTGACGCGCCCCCCAGAAGGCAACGAGTAATACTCAAATCACGACTGTTTACTTTCCAACTCTGTAGAAAGGAGTCGCCCTTCTTGCTATCCCGGGCAATTGTGGTGATACATTCGCTGTCAGGGGCTGATGAGTCGAGGACGACCTCTCTATTTTGATCAGACTTCGACCGAGAGAAGACATCCACTTGATTCACTTTGACCCGGCGATGGGGCATCAAACCGTTCTCGCGAATGATCTGAAGCTGCAGTGTTTTACCACGTTTCTTACCCGTAGAAGAGAACGACGACTCCAATACACGCATCTCGGTCGTTGATTCGAGTAACTTGGCAACATATTTGATGTGAACTTTTTGAAGCCCGTTGGGAGCTTTGAGGTGACAGCTGGGTTTATAAAGAGTGAGCGGAACAGCATGATGAAGTTGATCAGGGTTCTTAGTAAGAAGTTCGCCCCAGTCCAGAACAAAAGCACAGAATGAGCGGTCCAGCGATACGTAATCTGCGGACGAAGAGTCTTCTTTCCATGGTGGCAGGGGAAGTCCAAATTGAAGTGCTGCATTAGGTATTGTTCCCAGGATCTGCTTATAATGACTTGTTTCCCGCTTATACCGTGCGAAAAGATGAGGGGCTGCGTGACTTTGTACGTAGATACAAGTCCAAAATGCAGGGCTCTTGAGAAAGTCTTCAACAGTCTTCAGGGTTTCAGAGCTTGGCGTTATGTCTTGCATATGCATATGCCAAAAGACGGCGGCGTAGCGAAGGAAAGCATTGTTGTAGGATGACTCTGACCTTGTGACCAGCGCTTTTAGGTCAGACGGATCTTGGTATCGTTCCTCACTGAGATACTCGATGCAACTGACTCCAAGCTCCTCTAAAGCTTTGTTCTCGTCGATAAAGAAGTCAGGCAGGTACTCTTCAATTCTCCTCTTGTTCTTTGGGTCGATAAAAAAGTCCTTGACTGACTTGTGGCACAGTGAGATCTTCTGAGAACCATTCGTGTCTTCCATGGTGATCAACGGGCTGCAGACGTCCTTTACTCTGTCGTAAACGCGAAGTGCATCTTTCTTGGACTTGATGCCATTGTTGGCAGGATCAGTATAAGGCTTGAGGGCGTCAATAAGCTCCATCAGGGTAAGTTCCTTTTCCGACAATGTAAGGATTCGAAAGGTTCGCCTGTGACAGTACGTTAATATTATTGGCTGGCGTATGGGCACTAGGTTCATGTATCGTTATGTATCAAACTTACTTGGCTAGGTCCTGTTTGTGATAGGGCAGTCCTGAAATCCTGGCCAACGACTTGATATAGCAGTCTTCCAAGCCTCTGGGGAAGCTTTGCAGGGCATCAATGGTTCCTTGCTTAGTTCTGTAGGCCTTGTTCTTTGCAATCTCACAGATCAGCGCTGCATAGAGAAAGTTGTGTTCGTCTGTGTCAAACCAGGGCTCATCGTGAGTTGGGCAGATCCTCTGGGCGTCGAGAAAGGCACGGATGTCTTTGGAAGTGTTCGTGAGGTTTGGACTAATTTCGACAGCTTTGAAAGCGTACTTGACGGACCGTATCTCCGGAACGTCCCTGCTAGTAAGGAACCACTTTACTGTTCCGAGTGTGTCCAAGTTGAGAAGCTGCTGCAAGCTGTAGAACAAAGGATTGCCGTGAGTTCGAACTGAGCACTCGTCCAACCCATCTAAAACCACATAAACCTGGGGAAAGCGGCTATGATTCAATAGTGCACGGAGAAGTCTGACCATTACTTCTCCGTCATTATTAGTCAGCTCGTGCTTGCAGGTCTTCCTGGCCCGATCATACTCGGCTTTCAAAGGGTTCGAGGCCACGTCCAGTTTACCCAAGAGCTGCAGAGCGATGGAGCGTAACCCACAAGTCTCTTGTCGCTTGGATGCCGCTCTGAACGAATAGAAAAAGTGAACAACTTCTGATTCAGGCTGTTCTTGCAAGTGGTTAATGACCGCCGATGCCAAAACGCTTTTCCCCGAGCCTGGAGGCCCATTGTACCAAAGAACAGAATTCTTCTTGGCGTCTCTCCAATCTTTGAACTCTTGTCTCTCAAATAACCACGTGCAGGTGCCCTCGGTGCGACACATATTCCTCAGTTCTAAGTCCTTCTCTGCATCAAATGAGTCGGCTTTTTCGCCACCTCTTATCCACCTGAGGATTTCATCTCTTGTTCTCTCCTGATTTTCCCTTACTCTCTCAATTGCCATACTTGCAATGAGCAATTGGCTGACTTGTTTGGAGTCTTCTCGAAACTTTTCCCGGAAAGTCTGGATTTCCTGCTTGAATGGTCTCATCGCCGAGGATAGAGTGACTCTTGTGTAGCTCTTGGACAACACCTTAGCCGAGTAGGCCCAAAACTGCAGAATATTCTTGTATGACTTCTTGATGGCCTTCGATATCTGTGGAGAGTTCTGTTGTGACATCGCAGTCATCTTGTAGCAGTCCAAGAGTGGAGGGACCTCCTCCAGAACGCTGAGGATCTCTTCCACTGCACCATGAGCCTTGGTAGCAAGTTCCAAGACGATTCGGAACCCAGAAACAGCGATTGCAACGCCAAAAGGTGCAGGCTGAAGAAGGCTTTCGCATGATTTCGTCAATGTAGTGATGCTTTCGATGAATGGGTTGATCCTTTCCCGCAAATGATGAGCCTTGCTTCCTGTCCATCTTTGTTCGACCTCGCGAATGCATTGTTGCGTCTGCTCGATGGGGTCATCGTGCTCCTCATCTTTACCCTTTTCAATCTGCTCCTTTCTGCAGGTGACGTATCTCACAAAAGGGTTGTCGGCCAGTTTTTGTGTTTCGGGATCGTCCAAAAACTCCTTGATTGCAGTTTCGCAAAGAGCGTTAAATGAATTTCCGCCTTCGGTGGTGTTGAAGGATGATGGTTTCGAAAAGGAGTATGTCGACATGTTTATCCTGACTTCCTAGTTTGACTTTACCGTCCCTTTCTCACGAAGGATGTCGAGGAACGAATGCAAGAGTTTCTCCCTGCTCGTGGAGGATGGTTGTATAGGTTAGACAGGAGCGTTTCATTATTCATGCATGGAACGTGGGATTGAAAATAACAACCCCGCTCACCCTTTATCTTTCAGCTGGCCAAGACCAACTGATCAAGGAACATCGCGGATTTATCCTGAAATATCCGAAGAACTCCAAGACTTTTGTCATTTACCATCAAGGTCTCCATTGGTTGCCTCTGTGTAGCGCTTTTCAGCTTGTCAAGGATGTTTCGCAATCAGATGGTCTGACTCCTGCGCGTGATTTGATTCCATGCCCCGAACAAAAATGCATATGCCGTTGGTCTTACAGATCTTACTTCTGGGGCTTTAGCTGCAGTAGCTGCGCCACGTATACAATGTTCGTCTGACGTGCTTGCGCTATTCATGCAGGCTGACCGAGTTGGTTACCGGAACAAGATCTCGGCCCGTTATCTCTATTGAAAATGGAACTACAACAAAACCCCGTTGCTAAGTTCATATCGCAGCTTCGGTTGCGAGCCATTGTAGCGTCAACTTCTGGTTTCGCGACATTCTCCTTAGTCTTCATCGCCGCAAGATGACTTCTGATCAATTGCATCCTAAGCTTGAGAATGGCACTGAGCCAACCTCCCAAGAATCGATTTGCGAGTCCAAGGTCTATCACCATACTAAGAATAAAGATGGCAGAGACCAATGCAAAGAACAGTTCCAGGACTCTGAGCCAACGAAGGACTCCGAAGATGACGAGGACAGCCCGTATGCCTTGATTGTCAGAAGACGATTTTCAGAAAAGCGAGAAGTCGAATCAACTACTGTATGCATCAACTCACCACTGATTCATAAAGCATTTCAAGATGTCATCGGCTCTTACCCAACGGTTGCATCAGACTTCAAGAGCTCTTTCAAGCTTGAGAGCCCATTTCAGATCCTTCTGCACTACTGGGATCCACTGGAGGCCTACCGAGATGAGGCCGCTTCACCTCGGATGCGGCAACATCTCAGCTTACTCTTCCGTTTCATGGAAGAAGAGATGGGTCCTGAGAGACGCACCCTCCAGCATATGCTCCAGAAACACATGATCACCTTCAAGCAGGCATGGGTAATCTACCGTCCTGGGGACCTTGTTGTCAGTGACGTTCTGGGAAAGTCATGGTTATCACGCGTGGAGAAAGTTTCTTATGGGACAAGCCGAAACCGCGGACCATATGTGACGATTCATATGAAATACTGCGACGCCAATGATGATGCGATTGGGGAAGCCCAGCGATCTACGAATATCTTCCAGAGCGATTACTTTGCGTCAGATCATCCAGCCAAGATCAAAAGACTTCCCGTTTATCCAAGAAAGTTCTGTGACCGTGGCCCGGACCTGGAAATTGAGCTTCTTGAGCGAGGCAAGAAGTTCATCACCAATCGCGGAATACTGACGAAAGACTATGATGGCATCGCAGAGTGGCTGAAAGAACCCCCCCTCGACTTTTTCGATCCCAATATGGCAGACTATCCGCCTATTTGGCTACCATTCACGGTAAGTATTCATGCAGCTTCCAGGAATAGTACTGACAAGGACAGGAAACTGGACGTGTCGTACTTGATCGCAAGACCTTCGAAGAAGACAACTATAGCCACGTTACCATGATTGAAGAGGTTGAGGATCCGGAACTTTTCCTCTGTCCGCCGTATGCACTAGGTTACTCAACCGGCCGAAAAGAGTGGTGTCGTTATTTAGTTGATAATCTGAGGGATGTGTCATGGAAGGAGGACGCATGGCCATCGCTCATTTTGGACCAAGAACAGAAAAAGGTCTTGAAAGCTCTCGTCATGTCACACAAACACCCTGAGAGAGTAAGGAGCCAGTCAGAACAGAAAGGAAAAGGACTGGTGGTTCTTCTGTAAGTCTTGGCTGAGTACTGTTGGGGTGATTGAGATTGACAGAAATATTAGGCATGGAACCCCCGGTTCTGGTAAGACGCTCTCTGCAGAGACAGCAGCCGAGATGTCCAAGAAAGCTCTTTTGTCCACAAGCATGAGCGAGCTAAACAGATATGATAGGTCAGTAGTACTATATCAGGGACCTACTGGGGGCGCATAAACTAATGTGTCTCGTAAATGAAGAGCATATGCCTTTGAACATAGGCTTAAACAGATTCTTCAGTACGCCACAACCTGGAACGCGATCATCTTATTCGACGAAGCAGACGTCTTCCTTGAGAGTCGAGATTTTACTTCCAACAGCACTACTCGCAACGCCCTTGTGGCTGTGTTCTTAAAACACCTCGAATATTTCTCAGGCATCGTCTTTCTGACGACAAACCGCTTGAGCAGCATAGATGCTGCCATGAAGTCCCGCATCCATCTGTCGCTTTCGTTCGGTCCTCCCGCTGCAGAGGTCCGCCGCCAGATCTGGCGACAGAGTCTCAAGGCCGTCCCTATCGATGAGACGGAGATTGGCGGGGACGAGCTTAGTAGTCAAGCAGCTGATGATCTGATACATCATAAGCTGAACGGACGCGAGATTTCCAATGCCTTGAACACGGCGAGGACTCTTGCGAGATTCGAGGAGGCCAAGTTGTGTTTACATCATATTGAAACGGTACTCAAAGTTGGACAGACATTTGGGAAGCATATAGGACCATCATAGCTTTCTTTCTGAGGCGCGGTAACTAGTTGCGAGTACATTGAGGCCTGGACTCAGCTTTCCTTGCTCGATCCGTAGAGAGAACAGGTAGCTTACAGTGGTTCCATTGAGTAGCGGGTCGTTGTACACACATGGGGAATCATCAATACCTTACATAGAAGATATCAAACAGGAGTTGAGACTAAATATCTGTTATGGTTGAAGGCATGGAGAGCCCTTGTATGCACCCCTCATTAACACTCTAGTAGCAAGATCTCAGACCAACAGCATAGGTCTTGTCTTACGGCCATCCCTTACGCATCGGCCAAACCATCGGGAAACATAATCCCAGCCAATGGACGGATCTCTAGCAGCCCCAGGGTAGGCAAAGATAGGTTGTTATTTAAAAAGGCCAGTGCTTCCCCTTTCAGCAAAGCGTCAGTGATTCTTACACTCTTGTTGTACTTGTTCTCGAAGTCATCTCATGGTAAGTACGATAGCTTCCATGTTCTCCAGATTCTCGTTATGTAGCCTCATATTCAAGCCCTTCCTTTTTAGATCCTTCATAATCTTTCGATGTTGTCTAAACCTCCGTTCTAGTTCTTTAACTTCTCATAGAGTCTGACGGGTGCGGTGTTGGGCCAGGGAGATGAGTTGAGACTCAGTGGTAACTTTTGCTGGGAGCTGGTGTTTGTCGCGCGCTTTACGCCGTTTGTAGTGGCTACAAGGGCTCTCAGGCTTGGCGGAATACGTGGTGGCATGATGAAAGATTCAGTCGTGTTATAGGCGTTTAGTGGAGCTTATGGCTGTTATATGTAGCTCCTTTGTGTTCTATGTGCTTTTTTGGGTGAGGAGGAGTTAGGTTGAATTGTGTTCAGGGGGGTCAAAGGACTTCATTAATACAGCTAGACCCGGTTATCACGATGATAAACCTCTCGTCACAAAGTATCACCCTAGGCAGCAGTGAGGACAGTGCAGTGTCGTTCTTGGTTTTATGCTGGGGCTTGAAGCTTGTTCTGGCCCTTTAACCTAAAGCTTGTGAAAGATAATTGTGGCATTGTGGTTTAGTGTATGTCCATGCCCAGAAGTCAGAAGCCACTATCCAAATCTGTGAATTTTACCACACGAGAGACGGTCCTTGGTGCTATTGTTTTCATGATTTGGAGCATTTCCCAAGTACACACGAACGAAAAGCCATGAAGAACGATATCGGGTTTCCTCAGAACATAACGTGGCTAATCAGTTGTGAACGCGGGATATTCCGTTTTAACGTTTCAACACAATGCCATTTCGAACCACTCAATCGAGGGGGTTTGGTTATGCGCAGTCAATTGAGAGCCTGACGTATTATCACTATTCGCCTATAGTGTACAGTAAAGTAAGCATACTTCGCTTGGGGTAGTGCTGAGTAACGTGGTGAATCACATGATAGGTTGTGGCGAAGATGGGAGGTGAGGGCCATGTAAGCAAGATGCCAATACAAGGAACCCAACGAGGTGTACAGTACGACAGCCCGGTCGCACTAAAGCAGCCCAGTAGCGACACGCCCTTTTCTGTAAGCCTTGTTATAAGTTGGGGTAACACAGCTTGGAATGGTTGCACACCATCATGTTTCCCCTCATTTTGTGAGACAAGACTTTCGAGCCTGATCTGCTCTCGAGCAACGGTGTTGGTCACTCTACATTAGATGTGCCGCAGTAATACATTCGTCTCTATCACACAGGCTGCAGTCAACCGTCGATTCTGATCTGGTATGGAGTTCAGGGTATAGTATGGAAAAGCAAGTTCTGTTACCATTGGCTACGTATGAGAGATGAGGCTCTGCGGAGGAAACGAGATCAACGTTTTCGCTCAAACCTGACACTCTCACACTCTGTGTAACCCCAGTTCCCTTCGATCCTGCCGCCGATGATACAAATTGCGTATAGTCGGGGGCATCTTGGGTAATTGCTGGACAAGTTGTTTGAGCAGACTAGCCATACAAGCCTCGACACTTTGCTCATGCTGTCTTTTATAACTGCAGTATATGAGCGCGACACCGAGTCTGTCCTCTGTCTCGAATTTATACAGTAAATCATCTATGATAGATGCAGCAATGACGGTCTTGCCTCCACCTGGAAGACCAGGGCAGAAAAGCGTGCTGCGAGTTGACTCTCGCCAATTCACATATTGCTGAGAGGTGAGGAACCATTTCCCAGTACCGGACTGGATTCTGGTCAAGACATCCTTATTCTGCGCTGCATTTTGTAACGACGAGAGCTATTCCGTGATAATACTGAACTCCTGGTCTTCATTGAAGTCATGAAGCTTATCAATGCCCTCCTGGACCTTGGCCAGAGAGTGGCTGCGGGTTTGTCGGACTCCCTCTTCCCGGAATTAGTAGATGGACAACCTACCCCTTCAGTGTGTCCTTGATGGTGCCTTGCGACCGTTATTAGCTGATCTTCACCCCTTGTTCATTTCACCTCGGACTTACCGTCTCTCTTCCGCCCGCAAATTTCCTGGAGCTTTCAGACATCATGGCTGTCGACACTTCTAATGATACCCAATGCATCGTAAGCCCTCTACACGTCAGTGCAGCTATCATAGTGGCGCTTCTGACTGCCCTTCTGTGGCGACTGTACAATGACACCTTCGGTCACATCCCAGGCCCTCTCATCATCCGATTCACCCCGACCTGGCTATGGTGGCTTACCTGGACAGGAGTTGAATGTTTGCTGGTACCGGCGCTGCGGGAACGACGATGTCGATACTATGCTGGAACTTAGCTCAACATCCCGAGAAGTAATACATATGCTTCGTCTCCATCTCCGAGGAGTACTAACCATGTTTTCAGATACGATCGAGTTTACAAGGAAGTCATCGAAAATACTGATCAAGATGTCTAGCCTCTGCCTTATCTCACTGGTGTCGTGAAAGAAAGTCTACGTCTCGCCATGGCTAATCCAACTCGTTTCCGTCACATCGTCCCTCCTGGTGGAATGCAAGTTCCTGGTCTGCCCAACATCCCAGCTGGTACCAGCGTCGGCACCGGAGCATTCATGCTGCATCATAATCCCGAGGCCTTTCCAAACCCACGTGAGTTCATGCCATCGCTCTGGCATAGTCCATCTCAGGAGATGTTGCGTGACAGCTTTTACTTCGGAGCCAGGTCACGACAGTGCATCGCGCGGAATCTTGCATCTGCTGGACTTTGGCGGGCCGCTGAGGCTTTGGTACTAAGCGATGTACTTCGAGGTGCAATGGTTGTTCAGGACAAAACTGAGATTGTCGAGTGGTTCAATGCAAGGATCGTTGACGAGAAGATCGAGGTGCATTGGTGAATAATGCCAGGATGCACACCTGTGAAAGACTACGCGAGATGCAGCCTGAAGCTTCGCCTACTACAAGAGGCATAAGCTCTTCTTTGGGCGACCCTGACTTTTGTTGAGATTCTATATAGTTTTGGCATAAACCACCCTCACAAGAGCATTCGGAGGCTTTGAGAACTCAAATGTAGCGAAGTTCTCGAGACTTGAGTCCAGCATATAATATTTAACAGGGCGGCCCTTCAATGAAAACTTCACTCACTAAATCGTAAAAGACCGTATAGTTAATAGGCTCTAAGTGATAAGCTAAGTCTAGTATATGGATATCATGAATGACAATGAAGCAAACAATGATAGCACCTATTTTGATTCAAGGGTGTATAAAGGATTTGGAGGAATTGGGTGATATTTACGTTAGCTCAGTCCTTTCCCAGCAAATTTTCATTTATGGAATTAATGATAATGGATTAATTGAGATAGGCTATACGTTATCATGCCATTATGTTTCTTCATGCGCCGTAGATCGACAATGGCCTCGAAATTACTATTGTAAGGCGGCGTTGAAGTGGAGACAAGCGGCAATCTTGTCCAATGCGTCAATGCCTGCGGGGCCGTGCCTTTATTCGGTGCAACAATTGCCCCGATGTATAGAATCTCGTACAGACCTTGTATACGAACATTTATAAGGAAATCGTGACAATTTCGAAGCGAAAGGCCTCGAGGTATCAGAACATCGAACATGCATATAATTGACCAACCCTGCACCAACAACTGATCCACGTTGCTCTGAATGTGACCAATAAAAGCTTGAACAACAACCAACAAACTTTGAAAGCAACAGGCTTTGTTCTAGCTTATAAATACGGATAGGGTCCGTGGAATTAACCGCGCGGTGCATAACGTTATTGAAAACGTCACAGAATGTTCGATGGGCCCGGTTCATATACTCCGCTGAGTAACTCGGCCGGCGGATTAGGACTAAACGATTCATGTGCCGAGGCAAGGGCCCCATCGCCAACTCCACTTGCGGACTTTTCATGTAACCTAGTCGCGATCTTGCGGAGTGGTCTGTTCTTTTGTTATGGCGCAAGATTTGCATGGAATTTTATAGAGTAGTTTATATAAAGAGTTCTCGCGCCATGTCTTGCTAGTCTACATTTCCGAGAATCAAACAAATTGTTCAAAACATCATAATTGATATTTCAAAATGGCGCCTGCAAGATACGGAAACGAGGTCGTTGACCCTTCGCCTCTACTACAACCTCTCGACTATGTCTTCGCTAAGCGACAAGCGCCCAATCGCTTCCTCAAGGCAGCCATGTCTGAGAAGCTCGCCACATGGGATGCCAAAGACGTCTCTGCTCGAGGGTATCCTACACCAGAGCTCATCACCCTCTACAGAAACTGGGGTGCTGGAGGCTGGGGAACCATCCTAACCAGCAACGTTATCATCGACGGCATCAACCTCGAAGCCCCCGGCAACCTCGTCATCCCCACCGATGAGCCCTTTGAGGGTCGTCGCTTTGACGGCTTCAAGGAGATGGCCACCGAGGCCAAGAAGAACGGCAGTCTATTGATCGCCCAGGTCTCTCATGCTGGTCGTCAGGTCGAGGAGTGGATTAACCCCAATCCCATCAGTGCCTCAGACGTCCAGCTCGTCAACTCTGGTTTGTCTGGAAGGAGTTTCGCTGCTCCTCGACCTGCTACCAAGGAAGATATCGCCAACGTCATCAACGGTTTCGCTCACGCCGCTGAGTTCCTTGACAAGGCTGGTTTCGACGGCATTGAGCTCCACGGCGCTCACGGTTATCTCCTGGCTCAGTTCCTTTCTCCTCGCACCAACAAGCGAACCGATGAGTACGGTGGTAGCCGCGAGAACCGAATGCGCATTGTCCTTGAGGTTTTTGCTGAGATCAAGCGTCGTGTGAGCCCCAACTTCATCGTTGGTATCAAGGCCAACTCTGTCGAGTACACCCCTGGCGGTATTGATATCGAAGATGTCAAGGCCTTTGCCATCGCTCTCGAGAACGCCAAAGTTGACTTTATTGAGCTTTCTGGAGGAAATTACGAGAAATTTGCCTTTGCTCATGAGCGGGAAGAGAACAAGAAGCGAGAGAACTACTTCCTTGTCCAAGCCGAGGAGATCGTCAAGGTTTTGAAGCGTGATATCAAGATCTTTTCCACTGGAGGTTTCAAGAGCATCAAGGCGATGGTTGACTCTCTCGATATCATCGACGGTGTCGGTATCGGCCGCGCAAGCGCCCAAGAACCCAGATTCGTCGAGACACTTAAGAAGGTCTCAATTCCTGGAACAATGGAGCAAAGGTTCGACCACGATGATGTTCTCAAGAGACTTGCTGCAGCTGGAATCCAAATCTCCCAGATTGCCAATAACTTGGAGCCTGTTGATTTGAGCAAGCAGGAGAATGCGGATAGTCTATGGAATGATGTTATGCAGTACTTCCAGCAGGCTGCTCAAGATACAGAGCATAAGCTGTACAAGTGGCCTGCTCTGTCACAAGTGGCTCATCCTTATGGAGAGTTGGAGTTATGACTTGTAAAATTATGATTTAGCGAATTAGATTAGAAGGATAGCTTGATATATACGAAAGTTAGAAGCCGCTCCCAACTCTGCTACCAGGATGAAACTCTCGATATCACTTTGAAACGTCCAGTATGGAGGTCGGCAGATTTGAGTTAAGCTTCTCTCGTAAGCTTAACCCCTCCCATCGGCATCGGCAGTTGTAAGACCAGGGGGTAATCACTAATGAAGTATCCTGCATGTCTAGACTGTCTGACATCTCGCCAGGCATTTTCTTGCCCCGTTTTTCCAACGTAGTCGCCTAAGCTGGGAATGGCTCACTCGCTCTTTGACCAGTCACAAGTGCACAGTGACTACAGCTCACGGCGGCTTGGTCGCTGAGCCGCATGATTAGATTGCAGCCAAAAACATACCTATCTAGCACGGAAACCCGACTGGTGGCTCTTTCGAAATGCATCCCTGCCAGCGCTTCAGAACGGCTGCCGGCAGGACACTTTCTCCTTCCCTACTGTTCACCAGACTTTCAGAGTCATCCACCATTGTCAGCTTCTACCAAGGCAACAGCTTTCTCTTTCTACATCCAACGCAAATACGACATCGCATGGTTTATTCAGAGTCCGTTATTCACATTCATTACAATGAGGAACTGGATATTAGTTGCGTCTATAAATATAAGTAAGGGCAACTCTCTCATCTCCCCAGCACCCTCTCTCTACTTACCATCTTGGGCTAGTCATTTTCGCCCTTACAATATGCGTTCTGTCAGGAGGCCGAACGGTAACGTACCCGCAATACAGCCTCGTCAACTGGCCACGCAGAACAATCGCGCTTATTTAGGGAGAAGAGTGCGAACATCTTGCCGAACACCTACCAGATAAGTACCAATTCGGACTTTCTGGTAAGCGACTACTCCATGCATCACGAATCCGGTCGATCCTTATTTACCGTCTTCATCATTCAGTCGCTAATTCAAGTTTCAAGGTCTATGTAGAATCACGAAGGAGAAAAAGTCCTGCGTGAAACGTGTCCCAGGATCGCTCAACCTTACAGAAGCTGTTCTCCAAGATATCGAACAATACGAGCCCAGTACTCCCGGGGAAGAGCGCACTCTACAGAAGTGCAAAGATGCCATCAACAAACAAGTTGACCACCAGTCAGCCCAAAGTCTCGGCAGATTCCTGTTCTGGTTCCTCATCTGCTCCGTCATTACCAACATCGCATCTTTCTACGTCATGCATAAAACTTGTTCAATATTCCACCTTTTTACCACGCTAATTCTCGGCTTGGACACTATGTTCCTCTTCGCAAGTCTCGCCTTGTGCTTTGTGGCGATGAGCTACGAAGCTGGCCCGTACTTGAAAGAGGTTGAACTATCAGAATTTTCAGATATGGAAATGATCGGTCCTGCCTTTTGGGCATTGCTCTCGATTCTGATTGGGCGCCTGATTTCGAATCCGCCGTTGCTCTTGGGTGTAATCCCGTTGGTGGTTCCTATGGCCGTCATCTCTTATTTCCTTATACACACGAAGGGCTTCTTCACTATTGTCAGCACTACTGTTGTGGAGGATCTAACGAGAATGGCGCCACCTGAAGGGATGTGATGGAGGCACGTAATGCCATGTGCGTGTTCGGGGCGACGACTCTTGCCGACAAGGAGAAACACAGCACAACCTTCATTTGAATGCTTTACAAGATGTATAGATTAGAGTATCCCACGTTCAGGATTCTTTTAATACCACCAAGGTTATCTTAAAGTTGATGGGACATCTCAAAGCCCCATCCCTTCATCCTCAACCCTCTCTCAAAAACCCAGACTCCCATCCAATTCCTCAGTCATTCCCATGAACCCAATAGAGTGGCGCGTTCCTTGCATGGGCAGCAGCGCTTATCCAGATTCACTAACCTTTTTTTTGCCCTGGAATCAGGGACCAAAGCTTAATTCCACAATAGCCCAGGGTCATTAAGCCACAATTCCATAAAATTCCAATATTTCAATCAAAGAAACGAGACTATTGAAGATGGTGGCGTTGAGAAATGCGCTGCGTTTGGCTTAGCTTTACTGTTCCGGGTTAGCCCACGTTGGATCTAAGGATTGAAACCGGCCTTAGACATGTTCCAGACACCAAGCTATTGTTATCAGAACGGCGTCTAGCATTCTAGACCGATATGGCATTCGTAAGCTGAAAAGAGATGGGAAACCTATATATTCAAGGGGATTTCCCTGAAAATGATGGTGTTCACGGTAACTCATTCTCACCAACTTCGTGACGACTCTCCTTAAAGTGCGCTTTGCACTATCTTCCCTTTCCCTTCTACGCGGCAACACCGCAGCATTCCTTTCCTTGTCTCCCCCTTATCTTTACAATTCTCACCATGTTCTCTCCTTGGATCCTCACCATCTTCACATGTCTGTTCGCCATCGCAGCGGCAGTCCAACCACCCGCCTACAGCGGCTACACGCGCGTCTGGCATC